CAGGGTTACAGAGCATACCTGCCGTAAAGACTCTAGAGGAGGCGTGGTAAGGTAACCGATTTTAGGGTAGCGAGACACGGAGTAAACAAGGTAGTTACTGTGCAGGACATCCAGCACTTACTAAACCGCAACGATGACGCAGGCCACAGAGCCGATAGAAGCCTGCCTCGAGACTTTAAAAGTAAGAAACGAAGCGATTGCCGTTGACAAGCAATGTACTCCGTACAGCATGAACATCTGAAGAGCGGTTGGTGATGTTGGGGTTTGGAGTAATATGAGCAGTGTGGATGATTCGGGGTAGAACAGGGGCCCTCGATTGGTTCGCGGAGGAAAAGAAGGGGCCTCTGTCCAAAAGCCACGAATGAGAGGTGACAAGGGGAGCGTCCGATCTTTTCGCATCTTGGGGAATTTCGGACCGACGACCGTTATGGTATGGCGCCACGCGCGACCGCCGTGCCGTATTCAGGCTAAATACCTCGTGGCACACTTGAGCAACCTAATTTGGTGGCGCCATACTCTTCTGGCCGGATTCTCGTTCATCCGTCATCGTTAGAGAGTCGGATTCCCTCCGTTGCTGGTTGTTTTCCGAGGGAAAGGGGAGCTCAACATTGGTGAGTACGTTTGTTCGAGAAGTCGTCTAGAACATGACATGTCGTACACTGGAGGTGAAGTCTCTTGAGGAGAAAATGGTAAATGTTGAGATGGTTACGGTCACTTGCTCTCTCCGCCATGGATTGCCCGGGCAGGTTTGCAAAACTCGAATGCGAAGTTTGGTAGCGAGGTGTTGGCCAGACACACACGGCACAGGATGGCATCCCGCCACCCAACTTTGTGCGGCGACCGCGATTTCGACCACATCGACCAGGATGGAGAGGTTTTTCATCTGTCGGTGACTTTCGTAGTAGTAACTCCAAGACCGGCTTGTTGAAAGGAGGTCCCCCAGCTTTGAGAGGCTGTGAGAGAGGGCCGTCATCATCGGTGCTGGGTTCATGGCTGGTGGTGGTGGACCAAGGGCCGACCCTCCATCAAAAGTTCTCCAAAGGCCCCACACGCACTCTCACTGTCGCCGTCAGCTAGCTCCTCCAATTTCTACAGTTCTTCAACTCGTGCCAGTCCAGGAGGATGCCTGGGGCATATCTAGTCTCAGGGCTCGTAGCTGATGCTCACCTCGGGCCGTCTAGATCCAATAGCCAGCAAAGGTCAACACATTTGAGGAAGAGGTTGCGAAAGGGACGCTCACTCAACCTGCTCCGAGGCACTTGAAACCCGAGGCACTCGGGTCGGCAAGACGAGCAGGTGTGCCTCATTCAAAGGGCCGAGGAAGCTCAAGAAGCAGATACAGTGAAGATGGCACCTCGAAGACCAGTCTTGCGAGAGATTCGGCACGGTCCCGCACCCGGCGTATCTCTCGGGCAGGACCGAATGGAATCTTTGGTTGTGGTGGTGGTAACAGCCCCAGTGGTGGTGTGCGTGGTGTGGGGAGGAGGCGGGATGACTGCAACGGGGTGTGGGAGGTGAGGAGAAAGAAACATCCTTTGCTCCGCATGTGCGGAGAAGCGGTGGGAGGCGTTTTAGTGGACCGGATCAGATTGACCGTTTCTCCATGCTCATCTCAAGCGCGAGGGTGTCACTGGGCATCTATTCTGTACAGGAGGTGAGATTGGTGTGGCAGCCTGCAGAAGGCATCTGAAGCGGACGCGAGCCAGTTGAGATGGATGACGGAGAGCCAAGCTGGATGTTCCTTTTGGTACCGTGACGGTATGCGGGAGCCCGTTTTCGATGAGTCTAATGCTGGTCCAGCTTGTGCATGACACAGTTCGTTGTGAGGTACTCCGTCCATAGAAGAAGACTTGTCGCTATCGACTTGATCCACTGAGAACAAGCAAGACTTCTGCCCGTTACTCAGCTGTGACTGACATGTTGCTGTCGACGTCGCCACGGATAGAAATTGGTTTGGGAAAACCTAAAACCCTTTCTTGGGTTTGGGCACGATTGCGCAGCCCTTGAAGCAGGCCGCAGCATACCCCTTACAGCTGCCTTAGCTGAAATTAAGTCAACACCATCACCGGACAACAGGGTGCTGACTCTGGCAACCCCAAGGGTTCTTCTGTTGTGCTGGGGACGATGGGGCTGCCGTTGTCGTTGGGTCCGGAGGAGCTGGTAGGGATGCCCTTGGATTTACCGGCACTCGACCTGCGGGTCCGGAGCTGAAGGTTTGCAAGCGTCTTCGTTCGGGACTTTCCTCGACATTGTGCGTATGGAGGAAACGGGGCATTGTCGTCGCGAGCCTTGGACCAGGAAGGCTCTGACAGGTAGTGGTGAGTGTTGCACTTGCGTAGAGAACCAGAGCGTACGGAGTAACAGTGTCTCTCCACAGTCGAATAAGGCAAGCCAATCGACTTGATGCAAAGAGTCCACAACCACCAACAGTTTGGTGATGAATGTGGCGTTGATTGTGATGATCTTGCCGGAGGGATGGGGTTGTTAAGGGTACGTTGTGGCTGTGGCAGTGTTCGCGGTATAGATGGTCCTAGTTTACCTTGGAGGGGACATGCTAGCTAGCGGAGGGGTGCACCTTCCTTTCCAATCCCCAGAGTTTGTCGACGCGTGTCTAGTGTAAGAAGAAGCTTCTTCTTCGAAGGAAGGCTTGATGGAACTTGGGAGGGGGCTAACAAAAGAGTTTGCTAAGATGCTGTCAGGGGAAGGACTGCCACATGTTGTTCTTCACACACGCGCGCCGCCGAAGAGCATGAGCATCAAGGGGTTGAAGGCAATCTCCGTCTTTAATGAAGCTTGATAAAGTCTTTCAGTTTCTAGATGTAAGAGAAGACCTCATCTGAAGAGTGTTGGAGGATCATCCTGAAGACTGCAGATACAAAGTGACATGTTCACCAGCGACAACTTGAACTTGGACGCAGGAGAGAAGACACTCTGGACGGGCTTTCGGAGTGGGCCCTCCGCGTGACTGGCAGCACTCAAATTGACTCGGTGTCATCCAAGTACCTCTCCTCATACTAGTGTAACCTCCATCTCTACTACTCCATCCTCACAGAGTACTCCTCATCCTAACCTCTCCTCCTCCCATGTCCCTGGCACACCTCTTCGTCGGGTTCTTCCTCTTCCAACTGTTCTTCTACCGCACAGACCCCTGCTATGCGTCTTTCGTCTGAACGGGGGTTTGTACTGCCATGTACCGACAGCTCCAGCACAACCCACCAGCACCGAGCACCTGCATCAGAAACCTGGAGAGCGCAGACTGGGGAAACGAGACAACTCATCTCCAGTCAACGCAGTAGAGGTTGCATATGTGGCGCGGCTCGACCGATGACGGATAGCGATGTCGTCCCGGACAGAAGAAACGGCGAGAGGCTGCAGAACCACCCGTAAACGCCACCCTTCCAGGGGTTCGCTTCCGCCTAGTGTTGGCTCCAATCCGTGCGCCATTGTCATCACGGCAAAGGATTCTCTCTAGACGCCAACGAAAAGGGTCTTTCCCCCCATGCCCTTGGCTCCCGTTTGGGCAATTCCCATCAAAGTATCCAACGAGAATCCGGGGCTTTCGACAGGGACGTCGTCCCCTTGGCCTGCGCGCGCTCTTTCGAGCGAAGGATTTCGTCTTGATCCCATTGCAAGCTTGGATCAGGATGGTGAGCATGATAATGCCATCTGTTGACCCTTTCCACCACACAAGGGCATGTCCACCGTATGACTTGCGGCTCGTCGCTGGGCACTTTGCAGCGTCGCCATTTGGGACGATACGACCAGCAGAAAGTAGCAAAAAGCCCATCCACGCTTGGTTCAGATGCTGGAAAGGAAGCTCGACTCCGTCACCCCGTCTATAGAAAGCATAACGAAAGGCACATATAGCGCCTCAAAGCTAGATGACCGACGAGTAGCTCCGAAATGGCCGGACCTTCTGCACGTCTGCCGTTTTCGTCGTAGCAGCGAACGAAGCCACACAATTCCGTACCTATATCGGCACTTCGCTATACATTGGGATAAGAGAGCAAACCGCTAAGACCGGCGGAGGCGGGCAAGCCAAAGCCCTACAATTCACGCCAGAGAGCGAGGCTGCGTGGTCGTCTCTATACCGGACCAACGAGACCGGTTCCAACAACGGCGGTGCGTCTGCTACTCGGCTGCACTCAGACCGAACGAGAACTTGAACAAGCCAAGCAAGCCTTCCGCCAAGCCGAATGGCATTATTGGCCAGGATGGCACAGTCCAGCGAACCAAGCTTGTTGCTCCCAACCCACTTTGGGGCCGCGCTGGTGGAGGTCTGGAGACGAGCCTGAAGACTGGAGAAAGCGAGCGAGACTCAAGCTTCCAAGAGACGATTCCCCATCTTCCTCTCCCACCTCCTCGTTTACCCCCAGGGCCCAAAATGTGCCGCGCCAACACCCCCGCCCTCTTCGCGCAGACGTACGGAGCATAGCTGCCACACCACGCTATCTTCGGCCGACGTCCTAACCCAAGCAGCAGTGACTGTCATGTTGTGACTAGGTATTTGTCCCGAGGCAGGCCAAAAACAAAGCCGAGCAACACCATGAAAGCAGTGGGGATCCTGTCCCGGTGGGGAGGAAAAGGTTTGATGACAGTCCATGCCGTCTTGTCACCGCCATGTCATGCCTTGATCCTTCCAGAGGAATGGACCGGAAACGCGTTCATCACCCTCACCGGGCTGGCTCTAACCTTCACCTTGTTCTGCTCTTGTTGATCAACCAACCGAACCCAATGCTGAGCCACACATACACACACACTCATACAACCCCGTCGCTCCAAACCAGGACGAGATGATCCATCCTGGAGAGGAGGAGGATAGACCATGGATGGGATGAGCCCGTCGTTCTAGACCGGCGCAGCGTCTTTGGGGCATGTGGCCCTGTTCCTCGCCCAAAGATGCTCATTGATTCTCCACATCCACACCCGTAAATGGCCGCCCGTCGCCAGTTTTCCTCTCGATGCCGTTCGTTGCTCCTCACCTTACCGTCGCCCATCGTCGAGCCATCACCCCTGTTCCCCTCATTGCAACCCTGCCCCGTCCTCGCATGCCATTATGTACAAGCGTCCCATATAATATAGCTAAGCCCGAGGAACCACAAAGTCACCATTTCGCTTCTTCCCCCCCTTCGAGAACCTTACCTGACGCGCCGTTGGTACGTCTGTACGTCTGTCTGTACATGCGCATGCGCTGCCGCTGAGCATCCTATCTCTCAATTTTAATTTTCTTCTCGAATCATTCGCGCGTGTCCCGTACATACATCCATCCTCTCGCTGCTTCTGCGGCCGCCGCCCTGTCTGTCACCAGCCATCCTCCTCCACACCTTTCGCCCTTTCATCCCGCCGTTTACAGTATCCTACCAATGTAATTGCGATGGTCCACGTTTTCATACAGCAAGCGGACCAGCTAAACTGAGCAGTAACTCAACGGCTTGAACAGCATTCACGTTCCATCGAGCCATCTCTACATATTTGCCAAGCTTCGGGCGCAGGCCATCTGTCAGAGAGAGCCAAAGTGGACATCGAGAACTTGAAGGGAGGAGAGCTCCGAGCCAGACGACCGAAACGAAGATCAACATCGAATACAACGCCTGCGATACAACTTCAGAATAACCACTGTTTACGAGCTTCCGAATTGCCTTGATACTACCACCTCGCCTTTGGATATACCAACCAATTGTTCAAGATACCCTTCCCGCCGCAGCACAACACGCGAGACACGGAACGCAACCAAACGACTCAACTATTTGGAACTCTCCCAATTACGGCAACGACCGACATTCATAAACTTCACGGGTTGATCTCCAAGGGGTGAGTTAACTTGGGTCTCGGTCCCAATATTCCACTTTCACAGAAAGCTCTCTTTCGCTCAACCATCTTCTGCGCCGCACTCCTTCAGGCACCCTGTCGCTTGTCCCGTCTTCCTTACCCTGTCACCCAAGCCGTCTGTACATCAACCCCGCCATGATTGTCGTTGCTCTATGCTGCGCCGTTCTCCAACGACGCTGCAGATCTCACGCCCACCACTTGTTCTCAGTTTAGCTCATATTACTATACCCCATGCCCATCCTTCTCCTCCGTCCCGCCCCCTTTTACGCCCCCAACTATCCTAAACGGCCTACGGCAGCGCTGACCGAAGCAGAAGTCACCTTGTGTTATTCAAGGCTCGCATATTATCTATCGCTTGCCCCAGTCTAAGGGAGCAACATCGCCAAAGCTGGTTGACCTAAGTCGTCCGACCACTTCGAATCCTTCCAGTCGCCCATCTCGCAGTCTTATTCACGTCCCTATCTGCATGAGAGAAGGCAGATAGTTGCTCGTTGTTCGAGTAGCACTTTCACCATTCAGCCACTACATCGCCAACAGCGGGCTTGGTCCCAGCACGAGGAAGACAAGATGCTGTCCAACCCGCTCCACCGCTTTTCGCCATACCATGGCATGCAGTCCAGCACCCTCTTCTCCAACGCCCACCATGTTCCAAACGGCCATGCCCACGCGAATGGTCTCGACCCGAGCTCACACTATGCTCTGCAGCAGATCCAGCAGCAGGTTGGGGGAGTCCACAGCCCGCACCTCGCGCGTGCAGGCCCTCAGTCGACAAAACACCGCCAACACCCATACGGCGGCGGACCCGCGGGTCGTTCTTCTAGCACATCCGGTCCCGTCCGCAGGAGAATCAGTCGGGCCTGTGATCAGTGCAACCAGCTGCGTACAAAGTGCGACGGGCAACACCCCTGTGCCCACTGCGTAGGTAAGAAAGAAACGGTTGAATAGACGATCGGCGTGGCGCGGGGGAGCTGGGCTGGACTAGACTGACTGACATGTTTTTCAGAATTCGGATTGGGCTGCGAGTACATCCGCGAGAGGAAGAAGAGAGGCAAGGCATCACGAAAGGACCTTGCCGCGCAAGCTGCCGCGCAAGCAGGGACATCAGGAGCAGAACAGGGCCCGAAATCGCCTTCCGACGACAATGGGCAGCCTTCGGAGCAATCCGAGTCCAACAACGCCAAGGCAGGGCCATCACTAGGCACGACGACTTCTCAACACGGCCACATCGGCAAGGCCATGGACGAGCTCAGCGAGGAAGCCATACATCAAAGCCAGAGGACCGGCTCACTCGATAGCATGGGAGATATGGTCAGCCACCAAGCCCACCTAGCAGCTCATCATGGGATGGACAGAGATCAACTCGAAAGCCAGACAACCATGGATCTCAACGGCTACGGGGGTGTCCACGGAGGATACGACAGGCAAGGCCTGGGCGCGCACATAATGCCGGGACCGGCCCACGCAGCGTACGGCCCCAATCAGGGCGGCATATCAGCATATCCCGACATACCGTATCCCATGCAGACCCAGAGTCCAACGGCATATACCAATGGCGCGCCATTCCGAATCGCAGCCAGCCCGATCAGCGCATACCCCCTCGGTGGTGAGCCGACGTCTCCCGGGTGGATTTCCATGTCCTCTCCGCCGGCGGCGCAATACCAGTCTCATATGCCTCCGAGCAGCTACGGCCACCCCGGTCAACAGCAACTACGATACCCGGTCCTGCATCCTCTGATGCCCCATCTTGGAAACCTCATCCCGGCGGCTCTGGCATGCGACTTGATCGACCTCTACTTCGCATCCTCGTCCTCGGCACAGATGCATCCAATGTCACCATACGTCCTGGGCTTCGTCTTCCGCAAGAGGTCTTTCCTCCACCCCAGCAAACCGAGACGGTGCCAGCCGGCCCTGCTAGCCAGCATACTCTGGGTGGCAGCCCAGACGAGCGATGCGCCCTTCCTGACCAGCGTCCCCTCAGCACGGGGCAAGATCTGCCAGAGGCTGCTGGAGCTGACCGTCAGCCTGCTCAAGCCGCTCATCCATACACCTTCAGGGGACACATCACCGGTGACCAGCCCTGCCATCGATGGCGTAGCACTCGGCGGACTCGGCGTTGCGCTTCCGGGGTCCATCAGCATGGACGCGCTGACGGGCGAATCTGGTCCGTTCGGAGCCGCCGGCACCCTCGACGACGTTATCACCTACATCCACCTCGCGACAGTAGTCTCCGCGAGCGAGTACAAGGGCGCGAGCCTGCGGTGGTGGAACGCGGCCTGGTCCTTGGCCAGGGAGCTGAAACTCGGCCGTGAACTGCCACCGACCCCTCTTTCCATGAACCAGAGCAACGGGCACGACGGGGATGGCGCAGACGGCGAGGTTGAAGATGAATTGGCGGGCAGCGGGCACCCGGGCGTCATCACGGAGGAGGAGCGTGAGGAGCGCCGAAGGATATGGTGGCTCACGTACATCGTCGACCGCCACCTAGCCCTGTGCTACAACAGGCCCCTATTCCTCCTCGACCTTGAGTGTGCCGGCCTGCTGCAGCCGATGGACGACACGGCGTGGCAGAATGGCGAGTTCAGACCCGCACACGCCACGACGGACCCTAGCCTCGGAGGAGACGCCACAACCGGTGCCGGCGGCGTATCGAGCGGCCGTGTGCGTGGCCCGCACTTTGAGTGTACGGGACACAGCATATTCGGCTATTTCCTCCCGCTCATGACGATCCTGGGTGAGATCGTGGACCTCCATCACGCGAGGAACCATCCGCGGTTCGGTGTGGGATTCCGCTCGGCTCGCGAGTGGGACGATCAAGCCAGCGAGATTACGCGCCATCTCGAGGCGTACGAGAAGAGCCTTGGGCGGTTCGAGCAGCTTCACCTCACGCGGGTGAACAACATTAACCTCGATGATAACGGCGACGTAGTAGTGAACCCGGAGAGCGGCAGTGTAGACCACGGTCCGATTGCTGATATTGGCACGCCCTCTGTCCACTCAGTCCACACAACCGCCTCTTCATCCCTCAACCGCATGACGGAGAGCGACATCCAGACCAAGATTGTCATGGCGTACGGCACGCACGTGATGCATGTGCTGCACATTCTGCTGGCGGGCAAATGGGATCCCATCAACCTCATCGACGACAACGACCTCTGGATCTCGTCGCAGGGGTTCATCACGGCGACTGGCCACGCTGTCTCGGCAGCCGAGGCTATCAGCCACATTCTCGAGTTCGACCCGGGCTTGGAGTTCATGCCGTTCTTCTTTGGCATTTATTTGCTCCAGGGATCGTTTTTGCTGCTCCTTATCGCGGATAAGTTGCAGCTTGAGGCGTCGCCTAGTGTCGTCAAGGCGTGCGAGACGATTGTGCGCGCGCATGAGGCCTGCGTTGTGACGTTGAATACAGAGTACCAGGTAAGCCTTTCTCCCTTTTCACGCTTCTTCTCTCGTTTCAAGAAGGTGGGGTGCTAACTTGCCTTTTGTAGCGCAACTTTAGCAAGGTTATGCGAAGTGCTCTGGCGCAGGTCAGGGGTCGGGTGCCGGAGGATCTCCACGAGCAGCACCAGCGTCGACGGGAACTGCTTGCTTTGTACCGTTGGACCGGCGATGGAACGGGGCTTGCGCTCTGATTTTTGGTTAAGCCTTGGCCAGCGCGGCACAGCACATATGGCATGTGGGGAGTTTGGGATATAGTTGTAGGGTTCATGGTAGATGAGAATACGGCCTTTGGGATGTCAAAAGTAATGGGGAACGACAGAGGGGTGGATGGAGTGTTGGAATATGATGACAGGTTATAGGAAAAGGGATTCGATTGCTTCAAGGGAACTGGAGTGAAGGAGAGAGCCAAGGATAGGCGAAAGGAACTCCCCCATTTATTGCAGGTTTCGTTCTGAAAAGGTGTGCTGCGGCTTCAGTTATTCTATACCTCCAGTTGATTGCTGGGTTTTGCTGTGTTGGTTTTATGGTGTTTCGGTGGAAGGACAGCGGGGTTGAGGATAAACAATGTACCAGACAGGCCTCGCTCGAGACTTTTCCTAGGTCCTGAGGAGCGGATAGAGACTTGGTGAAGGAGAGTTGAGTAGAAAGAAAACTGCTGTCTCTTGGATGATGCCTGCCACTGTTGTGACTCTGAGTTGCATGTCGATGACTTGAGCACAACTAACAAAACATGTGAGTCCGGGTCAACATTAGTGATAGGGTAGTGTTGAACATTTCCATGACCAGAGGCAACTGTTATTAACTGGCAAAGTTGGTGTCTCTACTAATAAAACGCGTATATCAAGGCAGGAATAAATGAGGATTCAGCACTCGGGCCCCCGAGTGACGATACGCCCACCATTCACTCACTACAAAACTACAGATGCAGAAATACATGAGCAGAGGTAAAAGAGGAAACAGAGCATCTCTACGGCATCAAAAAGGTCGAAATTGCAAAAGAAATGCGTCGAGGGGGAATCGAACCCCCGGCTCCCCGACGCTGCTGGATGGCAACGGAGAATTTTACCACTAAACCATCGACGCGGCTTGTGATTGGATGCTAATCGTTGCTGCTTGCCCGCTCTTGAAGCGTGCGAGCTCAGAGGGCGGGCGCAAGGTCGGGCGGCCGCTCCTCTGTGGGCTTTCCAGCTCGCAGGGGTCGCGTACCCGAAAAGCCGGCAGGCGATATCGGCGGTCCCCTGGGGTCGAGGCGCGATTCGCAAGAGAGCCGAGGTGGCTGTCGTCTGAAGCCTCAGTGTGGTCTTTTGCCAGTCAGAGCCGTTGTGCGACACAGAGCCTGGGGAGCAGAAGGCTGCGAGGAAGGGGCTCATATTGAAAGCTTTGGCCCCCGAGACGAGGTCATTGTTGAAAAGGGTTTCTGGTTGCAAGTTGGGGGCGCTTTCTGGTTGCATTGGTGACGTCGATGTTCGGGTAGAAGTGCGAGGGCGCAGATGGGGAGAGGAAAACTCCACTGGGGCAGGGGAGTTCGCGGCAGGCAAAAGGAGCACCGCAGCGTATCTGTGCAGGTGCGAGAGAGAGAAGATGCATGAGAATGGATCTATTGGATGCTGCATCTCGTTCTCGCTCACCTTGATCCATTCGGTCAGTGATATCTGCGCATTGGATAAGACATCATGGTGTTCAAGCAGGATACTAGGTAAAGCTACCCTTTCTTTTGAGAATGCAGAGCATGTTCCGTGCCGCGAATGGTGTCTGCATCTAGTATACGCAGTGCCCGTGTCTGATCAGTCCTCTCTTTCTTTCTCACTCTCACGAAGAAGTAAGTCGAAAGAGCTCAAGTTTTCCAAGGGCAAGGCATTAGAAGTCTAGAGCCTGTTTTCAACCAACGGATCTACGGATATACAGGATATCTCAGAAATGTCAAGGGTTCGTATGATCCAGGTCCTGGAACTGGCATCACGCTCGTCTGCAGTCTGCATGGTGGAATGGTGGAATGGCGGCACTCGGGGAGGTTTTCCCGGCGAATCTGACCTGGGTTTCTGGGGCCCGAGACAAGACAAGCCTTTTTGCCCCCCGGCGTGGTTTAGTGCTGATCTGCCCACCACTGTAGCATGCCATGGGGGGAAGCCCACGAGGTGGTGGGTGTAGGAGCCAAGGATGGATTGAGTGGATAGTTGCTTGACTGGATCGAAAGAAACCCCCCAGCCATCAATGATCAAAGCAGGCAAAGCAGAAGCAAGCCTTGCGCCGTTGACCGGCCGGCAGTTGGATTCGGGGGCTTGGCCCATTGGATGGATGGGCTTCCAAGAGGAGGGTTTGCTGTATTCGTACACAGGTCTTGCTGTATGGCCGTGAACCGTGGGTACGGATCCTCACCTCGGTGTCTTCCCGCTCAACGTTTTTTATCAGATCAGATGGTAGGCGGATGATAGAGAGGCAAAAAGGTAACCTGGAAGATGGGACGGCTGGGGGTTGTATTGCCCATTGTTACTGGGCATGTAATGATCAAGGGGCGGGCGGGCGCGTTGATGCTGCGCGTATTCGTTCTTTGCCCCCATCGATCGCGGATTTCCCTCCGTAAGTGAATTGGTCATCCATCGCGTTGGATCGTTGGATCATGGAACCTGGGAACCGGTACCGGGTAATGGAACTGGTTCAAGACATTCAAGACAAGGCTTGCTGTTTATGAAGCTGTTGATTCTAATAGGGACTTTGGCTGCTCAATCCCATGACCTGGATTAGCTTGTCGAATAGTGAGCAAGACACAGAGACAAGTGTTTCCCCTCTTTTCTTCGAGTGCCCTTGTTCATTTGTTGGAGAGAGAAACAGAGAGCGAGACGTTCCGCCGTGTCGCTCCCGGCCAAGTCCCCCAGTCCCAGTCCCAGTCCCGGCCAGGCTGAGAAAGAGAGTTTCCCTCTCCCCCAATTCCCGCCGCGTTCCGCACGTTCTCTCCCTTTCCCTTTTGTCTCCCTCCTTATTCCCATCGCAATCTCCCTCCCTTCGTTGTGTGTGACGCCGCCGCCGCACCGCATTTCACACTGCCTCTATCACCTGTTTATTCCCAGCGCAACACCGCACAAACACACACATCCCTCCGGCCTTTTTTGAGCACCGGGCGACACCGATACCGACACGGATCAAATCACTATACTTTTTCCCGGGAAACTTTGCGCAAGGCCCGCCGCCGCCGCGCCGAGTTGTTGCTCATCCACTCCGTCTGTCCTCCGCTTCGTCAAATCTTGGCCTTTATTCCCGGCGGAAACGGAGGCACCGCATTGGAAAGCTCTCAACCAACCCGGCCGGTTGCGACGTCCGGGCAATCTAATTGTTCGAATCGGTCACAGTGTCTGATTATCCCGTAAAGTCTCTTACGACGCTCCGCCCGGACAGTCAACCGCCGGCTCAATTGCGATTCTTTCGGTGAAGCATCGCCTTGGGCGTGCCGCAAGCGGGAACAAGCAGCAGGAATTGAATCGACTGCCTTTTCACTCATCTTCGCGGCGCCATTAACAATCGGCATCAAATCGGTCTTGGCACCGGCCGCTCATCTAACAACGTAATTCAATCGTTAATCAACACCTTCAACTCATTCAATTGAGGCGTCGCGCAACGTTCCAACCGCCCACAATGGCGCCCAAAAACCATCTCCCGCATCCCCAACCGCAACCCTTCACGCCGAGCTCGGCCTCAACAGCCTACGCATCGCCAGTGCCGGAAAACGGGCGTCTACCATCACTCACACATCCACAAAATGGAGGAGCAGCTGCTGCCGCACTCTCGCCGACGACATCAGCGGCGTCGGGACCGTCGTACTCGACGCCCGTCGCGCGGCAGCAAACGGCGACACCAAAGAGCTACGGCAACGGCAACGGCAACGGAACCCATCACCAACACCCGGATGAGAGCGTCGACGGCAACTCGGCTAGCCCCGATGACGGCGGCGACAAGGGCCCTGCGAGGAAGAAGCAGAAGCGGAATAAGCCTACCTTGTCGTGCTTTGAGTGCGTTGAGCGCAAGACAAAGGTTCGTTCTGTTCATTTTTCATTTTACTGCCCGTGTTTTTGTCATCTGTACTTCATGCCTTGTTTTTCTCACTCCGTGTTTTCATCTGATCTGATTTCTCATCATTGCGTGCTTATGCCCCCACACTGAATTGTGCTGTTGGTTCGAGTGTACCAATGCGACTAAAGTTGAATGTCATATCAAGAGGTCTTCTTGATCATTGGGCACATGATGCTACTTGCACGACGTAGGCATACGATATTTGATGCTCTCAGGTTTGACACATGGCATGCATACGATGTAAACCACGTCGGATTAAGTGCTGTTGCTCTCAAAGTGAAAGCAGCAGGCCTGTCAAACCCACCAAGTTAAGCCAACGCTCATACTAACACGCACGCAGTGTGACCGAGGTCGACCCAACTGCCTAGCATGTATCAAACGCCAGACGGAATGCCAATATGCGGCTGTAGCGACGATACTCGAGTAAGCACACTCACACAGCTCTCGCGACTTGTCGAGACCCTCGAAACACAACTGACAAAAGAACAGAGAAACAACAAGATCCCTCGCCAACGGCCGCCGCATGACGAAACCCCCGAAACCAAAAGGCCCAGGCGACATCTCCACCATCCCAAACGTAGCAGACAGAGGCCTCATCGAAGGCCGCGGCTTCACCTCCCGCGGCTCCGTCGGCTCCGTCGCCTTCTCCTCCTCCACGGGCCTCCTCTCCAACGTCCCCTACTCCCTCCCCACGGCCAGCAACGTCTTCGGCATCGGCTCCGAGCACCCCTTTGCCAACTACTGGACCTGCGAGGGCGGCCTGCCCGAGGTCATCTCCGTCCTGCCCGAGAAGGTCCAGGCCGACATCTTGCTGGCGCAGTACTTTGAGTGCGTCGACCCGGTCTACCCCATGATCCACCGGCAGACCTTTTACGCCGACTACGAGCACTTTTGGAGCCTCAGCGCCGAGGAGAAGAACCGCGTCGACGCGGCGTTTGTGGGGCTCATTTTTGTGATGCTCGCGCTGGGCACGCAGTTTGTGACGTCGAGTTCGCCAAACGATGCGAAGCAGACGGCGGAGTTTTATGCGTCGGCGAGTAATCAGGCGCTGCGCATGTTTTCGTACCTGAGTGCTGCTTCGTTGCGCTCCATTCAGTCCATGGTGTTGTAAGTGGTCCCCTTTTCATGTTGGGTCTGCATACAGCAACCTTAAGACCGTTCATACTGACCAGACCAGGTTGACGTACTTCCTGATCAACGACAACCACGCCTCGGACGGGTGGGCGTTCGCCGGCATACTCATCCGCCAAGCCTACGCAATGGGTCTACATCGTGACCCCAATATCGGTACGAACGTTCAAGTCATCTACCAAAGAGCATCATAAACTAACACCATCGCAGTAACTCCCGACGCCCCCATCTTCGAAAAGCAACAGCGCCGCAAACTCTGGCAAGCCGTCCTCCTCCAAGACACCTTCCTCACCGTCCTCCTCTCTCTCCCCCCCTCCGCGACCCACACCGACGTCTCCGTCGAAGACCTCGTCGACGACGGCTCCGCCATCGCCTCCTCGGACCCGACAGACATCGCCTACATCCGCGGCTCCTGGACCCTCGCCAACCTCGTCCAGGAGACGATCTGCTCCCCGCGCTCCTTGGATCTGCCCATCTGCGCCACCGTCCGCCACAAGTCCAAACTCATCGCCGACTTCCGCTGCGTCTACCGCTCCTTCCCGGACGTCTTCCGGTCCTGGGACGCCGAGAGCCTCGCGAGCCTCGCGCGGACGAATAAGCGCGTCGTGAGGCAGACGCTGTTCCTGACGAGCAATTATCACCACAACATCATGCTCGTGTACGCGTCCGAGAGCGCAGAGTGTCCTTCGAATACGAGGGGCACGCTGGAGGCGGCGCACGAGGCGATTACGTCGTTTTTCCTGTTGTTTGACATTTTTGAGCTCGAGGCGAGGGTGTGGTGGGTTTTCAACCACCGCGCGTTCCTCGAGGCGCTGTGTATCGGGAGCGTGCTGCGGGAGATGGGTAAGGACCCTGTTGCGGCGGAGGAGGCGGATCGGGATCCGTTGTTCCAGAGGGCTAGGAGTGACATTGGTGAGTTTCTTACCCCCGTTATTCTCCTGTCTCTCGTTTTTTCCATTATTCTCTCACTATCGGCTTCATGATCACTGTGTGCTAATCAACGTGATGCAGCAAAAATGATCAAGATCATGGTGTTGATGGGCGAAGGCGAGCAAGGGTCGGATGTCGCGCGGGCCCGTGTGCAAGTGTTGAAGGACCTCCTGCCACCCTTGTAAGACGTCGGTGCCGGTATGATTGCTTGTTCATGCTCTCTAGGTTACGGCGGGGTCTGTTCTACGGTTTTGCCTGTCAATCTAGGGGGCAGAACCGCAGAGTTGCGATTGTTTCGCAGATCTCTTGTTTCCCTGGTGGGGAGGAAACAGAGAGTCCGAGAGCCATGTTACACACATGCAACTCTCATTGCGTAGTAGTTGACGCGTGGACGGGTGGGAGTGTTGACTACACTATTTGTTTCTTGGGTGGTCAGTGGTGCGAAGCTTGAGCCGCGAGGAGTTGCGTGGTCTTTTGTCCATGCTTGTTTTGTTCTGTTTGTTGGTTCGTCTCGTACATCTCCCTTGCCGACCCTGCATGCGTATCCGTAGGTTAAACCGTTTGGCAGTCTACGGCGGGGCGAGAAGATGGGACAACGGAGGAAAGGGGGCGTATCCGGCATATTCACTTATCTTTCACTGTCTTGACTTTACAAGGTACGGACGGGTATTCCCACATTCAGGCGTTCTCACGGGACATGCTTGTAGGATTACGTTGGAAAGAGACTACCTTAGTGTATTGCTTAATCATAGGCGAACGAGCCTTCTTTTTCTCTTATCAGGTTCTTCTTCTACCCCTTCTCTCTGCATTGGGTCTGGTCTCGTCTTTGACCCCTCCGAACATTCTCATCGTACCACATGTTCCACGCCGTCGTCGTTTAAAGGTGGATGGCCTCGTGGCCACTGATTCGGCTACTAGTCGAGCAGGACCCGCGCGCCCACGGCGGCAACGAGGACTGTGAGTCTGTGACATGCCAAAATGGGTCGCTTATAATGCGCATGGCCACCCATTTCCGTTCGTTCTGGGTGGCATGCCGCATGGGTGCAAATAGCTCCACCCGATCGTGGAACCGAGGGACCGAAAATAATCAAACAACCCCAAGGCAAAGGACCAGAAGCGGCGTGGCCGTCCAGGAAGTCGGGAGCAAAAATGCGCGTCCATCAGTAAGTGCAGCAATGTGCCAGTGCCGGATTCCCATGAGTTCATCACTTCATCGCCTCGACGGTGGAGACCCCCGTCGCCTCGGAAGACTAGCGCCGCCCCCCACGTTCCGGTGTTTAGCCCGTGGTTCGGGATCCACCCGACTCTGCGGTTTGCCCAACAGTGAGGACACAAGGAGACCAACAGCAGTCACCAGTCTTACAGCAAACGGGACACTGCAGCAGTCTCTGCACATTGTGATAGCCTAGGAGTCTAGCTGCAGTGTAAACGTAGTCAGCAGGGCGGCAACACCATACACCATGTACCTTTCTTGGTACTAATTAGTGTTGGTGTTGTGTTCGGTCGAGAAGGTGGAAACAAGAGCAGAAATAATTCCCAAGGGCCATCGCATCAACCCCACCAGTCCGATGCTTAGCTAACATGCGCTGATTCCTATTGGTTGTATGAGGAAGTGGATCCCGGCTCGGGACTGGCAGTTCGGAGTGCACGAGCCAAGCAGCAGATACGTACCGGACGAAAATCGAGGGACTCGTCAGCTCATCGACGCTGATTGGCCACCACCGGTCCAGCGGCGCCGAGAGGATTGCGCAGCTCACGCAGCCCCAATCTACGCAGCGCAGGTTGGCAGGTGCGAGTGTCCCTGAATGTGCCCACTTGCCTCCTTTGCTCTCAGTGTAAGCCTACATTGGGGAAGGAAGGGACTGCGCGTCCCTCGACACTGCCTCTCTCCTTCCCTGGGTGTGTTTGTTTCCATCTCTTGCCATCCTTCAAGTTTCACTCCTTCTCTCTTTCTCATTCCTTCCTCACCAATCTCAGTTCATCACTTTTCATTCTCCGTGGAAAGTGTGAATACCTTCCACTCGTTCTTTTTTCATACTTGTTTCGTTTCCTAAGGGGGGTTTGTGAGTGTGTGTGAGAGAGAGAAGGTGTGAGACATCATCGACGGTGTAAGACGACTGGACTAGCAGCAAATAAGTTGGCACACCGAACCAACGCACACCACCAGCCAATACACGACTCGACGACTTACATATCTACCTACTACGTACACCTACCTACCCAGGCAGCCATTTATCACCTTACCCTGCCGTCCACTCTCCGTCATTCCTTCACCCTTCACTCCTCGTCAACCCGACCTTAACCTAACTCAACTCAACGCATCACAACATCAAAAGGACGACTGACGACGACAAGGACCCATTTAGTCCAGGCAGAGGGATTTCTTCAAATACGAACATTTGGGGATTTGTAACCTACTCGGACAGGCAAGGGGTTGACGACCGTTGAGTCTCAACGAGGGTAAACCTCATATCCCATCCATCAACCAAACATCCCCCAAACCGCCCATCATGCGTGGCTTGGCGCAGGCTCTCCTGCTCGCGCCCGCCCTCGTCGGCGCCGCTCCCTCCAAGATTGGTATGGAAAAGGCCACCGGTATGTATTCTTCTCTCAGCTCCCATTCCGCAATCTCATCGTCATCTCATCATGACTAATATCCTCCAGATGCCTCACCATCAACCTTTGTCACCTTTGACATCCCACCGGGTTTCAACGAGGACCAGACCAAGCCCTACGTAAGTTCATCCCCTAATCATCCAAATATCTCAAACCTAACACATCACAGACCCTCCACTTGGAAGTCCTCGAGGCCCCTTCCCCCTGCGCATACCCTAACATCAAGATAAACGACAACGCCCTCTCCCAGGGCGGTCACACTCTCGGCCGCGGCACCTTTGCCGGCGACCACGACGGCTCGACCTTCATTGCCTCCTGGTCCGCTACCTGCGCTGGCGACGAGCAACTCCTCCGCTTCACCCTCGAGTCCCTCTCCGGCCGCACCCTCGCCTCCGACCTCGCTTTTGTCGCCCGCTTCCGCCAGACTGCGCCCGCCGCCATCATCGAGGTCGCCGGCAACGTTCGTACTTCCGACGTCCACCCGCCTCCGCCCTCCCAGACGCTCCCCGAGTTCGAGGGACACCCTCCCCGCCCCGGTGACGACGAGGATGGACTCCTCGAGGATCCGCCTTTCCCCCCGCCTCCTCACCACCATGTCGGCAACCACCCGGACAACCACCCCGGCGAGCAGGGACAGCGTCCTCCTCACCACCGCCCCGGCCACGACGACGACCACCGCCGCCCTCACCACCCCGAAGAGCACCCCGAGCTCGACGAGAAGGTCCTGGCAGAGCTCGACGACCTCGAGTGCATGCGCCACCAGCTCCACGCCTTGAAGCACGCCATCCACGAGAAGGAATCCCGCCTCGCCCAAGAACACGGCATCTTCCCTCCCAGCCACCGCGGCTTCCGCTCCTGCGACTCCCTGAAGTGCGTAATCGACACCCTCATGCACCGCGTCCGCGGCGGTGGCGGCCCCGGCTTCCACGGCAAGGGCCGTCACCCGGGAGGCAGAAGAGAAGGCCACCACCACGGCCGTCGTCCCCACGGTCCTCCCCCTTCCTGCCCAGGCTTCCCCTTCCCCGGACACGGCGGCAACCACACCAAGGGAAACCACACCGAGCCTCCGCCGCCTGGTCCCCCTCCTCCGGGCTTCTGCCACTGCCTGCCGCCCCCTCCAGAGGGTCCTCCCGATGGACCCCCTGAGGATGCCCCTGAGCCGCCCCCGAGAGGACCTCACCACGGCCCTCCGCCGCCGTTTGACGAACCTCATGGACCTCCTCACGACCACCATGGTCCGCCGCCGCCTCCTCCTCCTCCTCCCTTTGACGGACCTCACGGACACCACGGCGGTCCTCCTCCTCCTCCCCCACCTCCTCATGATGGTCCCGGTTCCCACGGTCACCACGGCCCTCCTCCTCCCTTCGATGGCCCTCACCACGGCGGTCCTCCCGGTCCCCGGCCCTCCGCCCCCGGGACCCCCTCCCGACTTTGAGCATGAGCACCCCCTTGACCACGAAGGCGACCACCGCGGCCCTCACGGTCACCACGGCGTAAGTCCATCCCCCTTTCTCCCCTCTTCACAAGACCAGCAAAGACTAACCCTCCCAACAGCCCCGGGATTCCCCCCTCCTCCCCCAGGCCCTCACCGCGGCCCGCACGGAGGCCCTCATGGACCCCCCCACGGGCCCCCTCACCTCCCCCTCCCCGCCAAAATCTCCGTCGCAGTCCTCCTCTTCATCGGAATCCTAGCCCTCCTCCGCGCCGGCATCCTCTCCCGCTCCTCCTCTAGATCCTCCCGCCACAGCGAGTCTCGCGCAGAGCGCCGCGAACGCAAAAACTCCCGCCGCGCCCTCCGCCGCGACTACCGCGAAGCCCGCAAGGAAGCCTTCAAGGCGACCCTCACTGACTTTTGGTCGCGCATGTTCACCACGGCCGGCACCACGGCCGAAGACGAGGAGAAGCAGGCGTTTATGAACAGCCGGCCCTCCATTTCCGAGTCTGAGAGGGACTTTGAGACGATGGAGAGCATGACGGATGAGATTACCGAGTTCCGTAACGCCGCGACGCTTGTTTCGGAGATGGTTGCTGCTGAGGAGCGGAGGCAGCGGATGAGGGAGCAGGAGCAGCAGCAGATGGCACAGCAACAACAGCAACAACAGATGCCGTGCCAGCACCAGCACCACCTCATGCCCTCCCACTTCCAGCGCCCCGCCATCATCACCCCTCCCTCCCCGACCACCGCGTTCGCAGAGTACATGGGCGACGACGTGCTCCCGGCCTACGACGAGCACGCCGCCCCCTCGGTGATTGTTTCCGACGGGTTCAGCAGCTACACGCCCGGGTCTAGCGACTATACCCCCAGCGCGGGCTCGGATACGGCGTCCAATATTGATGATGTCCTGGGAGAGACCAAGAACTAGACTCCTGTGAGATAGTCTCATCTTTTGCCATGTAGAGAAGGAGAGGGGATGTATATGGAGTGTAGTGAAAAGAGAGTCGGTTTTTTTTGAGTATAAAACACATTGATATTTAGTAGAGATATCCCGCATCTATATCACATCTATTTTTTTTTCTCTCTTACGCATTTTTGTTTGTGTTTTTTTTTTTTTTTTGCTATGTATATATATACTACCGGGTGGTTGGCGTTTGTTGGCCAATGGGCTAAACAGGAGTAGTGTTGTGGGCTGGTTGGGTGTCGATGTAGATACTCATGGCCATTAAGAGATGAAGAGATAATCATGAATGATAGAGACTGATTCGAATACATCATGTATTGATTTAATGGTGCAAAGTAGAGGAACAATCACTGAGCGAAACTCATGCCGTCATCCTAAAGACCATGGCCGTTGAAAATCGCTTGTGATAAAGAGGGACAAAAGAAACGAGTGGTTTCGCGTGGGTGGTTAGTGGATGTAAATGCATAGGATGCGCAATCTGCGGGCGCGTGTGGAAGTTGTCGTGACTGCAATGTTCGTTCTGCCTTGTTCAACGTCTGTCACAAGTGCATCATCAACATTTCTTAGAGTCCATCACGGAGAGGTATTTGGCATCTTGGTAGTATTTCTACGTCTTGCTACCCACGTCAACCAAAGATGAACTCGCGGTAATTCTTTCCTATGCGTTCCACCCCCTCTTGCAATGTCCACTTTTTGATCTCGCACACCTTTCTGTACATCTCCTCTAGCCTGGCGTCCATCTCTTCACCGGCGATGTGTAGGTCACTCTCAACCAGAATGCTATTATCGGGACACGCCTGGAGAACCTCGGCAATCTTGTCAGCGCCAGCTTTGGTGCCCATGTTGATGGCCGATGAAAAGGAAAAGAACATGCGCGCGGGTATGGCTGGGTTAGTATACTGCTTCAGCATCTCAGCAGGTCCAGAGTACGAATGGAGGCATATACGCGGGGGGTACGGCCTCGACGGGACGCCTTTCCTGCCAAACTCATCCTCCTCGAGCTCGTCCTCGGAATCAAAATCCTCGGCTCCCTCGGCGACGAGACGACGCTTCTTCCTGCTGACGACCTCCTTCTCGTGACCCTTCCACAGCGAAGAGAGGGTATCATGGAGGACACCGTGGGCTTGGACGCCGTGGACACTCACAGGACGGCCAAGCTCACCGGCGAGAGCCAGCTGAGCTTTCAGCACGGCAACCTGGTGGGGCATCTTGACATGTTGAGGCGCCAAACGACGCCCCTCGCGACCACCTGGGGTAAGGGCCTGGTCACGAGAGGACTCGTCGGCGTCCGTTCGTCCTTGGGGCAGGCGAAAGGCCTTGTCGAGGCCAACCTCACCGACTAGAGCCAGGGGATGATGTTGGAGGCGGGCCCGGGTATCGGCTAAAAAGGCCGACAAAGAACGCGGGGTGGGCAGGGCGTCGAGAAAGTCGGGGTCTTCAGGGGCGGGGGCTAGCACGGCCTGGTAATGGCGCTTCTTTGCGTCGGGCTGGCCCTCGTGGTACGTCCTCTCAGCCTCGGGCACGGTGTCATCGAACAGCTGGTAGGAGAACCACGGATGCCAGCCGAAAGAGGGAATCAGATGGCCCTGAGACAGCTCGTACTTTGATCGCACGCCGTGGGACGCAGCAACCTCAGCAACGAGGGCCTGGTCTTGGCTCCGGGTGGCCATGACGGTTAGGGTCGAGGCGCGCATACCAGGTATAGCCTCGATGGTGGACATGGTGTCCGTGGGGTGGCAATGAGCATCGTAAATGCCAGATTCCCAGGGGAAGGGGTCTGATGATGTCGAGACAGAGGTGACGGCAGTGGAGCGGGTAAGCTCCTCACCGTCGTGATGGCCACACATGCTGGTGCTTGGCCTGGCCTGGAGCTGTGTGGTGTATCCGTACTGGGTTGACCTTTACGGGCAAGCGGAAATGACGGTGATCGCCTGGCCTCAACCAGAAAGAGACGGCTGTGGCTCAAAGGAGAGGTATAACACGATGGGTAGATAGTTTGACTATCGCTACCTCCAACCGGTGAACTGCACCCCGGAACCTTCCACTATCTTTGGCCGTCTTGCAAACGCAAATGAGTGGCCAGGAACGGGACGGCTGGAACTATGGGATTGGGTGACGGTTGCAAGCAGGGACCGCGGTGCGCTGGGACGGTCTTGGACGGCGGCGGAGGGGTTGCGAATACGACGGGGTCTCTAAGCGTGGACGAATACCTCGAGGCACGTTCAGGGCGCAGATGGAGAGGCAGCGGTGGTGTGTTGGCTGAGGTGCCGGAGATGGATACCCGTCGACTGACAAGTGAAAAGAGCCGCAGAAAGGCTGTCACACTGGCGCAAAGGTGATGATGTGTGGTGATGTGATATTTTTGGAGTGGGGCATCTCGATGTTATCGAAATCAAAGGGCGCGATGATGCTGTGGCAGTGACAAGCAGAAACGCGGGGCAGCAGCTCTGAAGCCTCTGAGCCTCTGAGCCTCTGAGAGCAGGCAGATCTGGAACGGGCAATTAGTGGGGCTACTATGGAATGATGTCAAGGGCAGGAGCGACCCGATGGAACATGGGCTCTGCGACTTCCATTTCCATTTCCATGTCTAATGGATCACTTCAAGTTTTGGAAGGAACGACGGGAAACGGACGGGGACGGCCGGGGGAAGGAAGGGACCGGGAGCGGGCGGGATTGGCAACTACCTTCATGTGTGACACGGAAAGAGCGCGGATGGAAAGGAAAGAGCTTGGTATGGAAGGCAGGAAGGAGACGCTCGAGACCCTTACTGCGTTGAGCTTCCCAAATCCCCAAGAGTTAGGGTTAGCATCATCATCCTCTACATCCTCTTCATCCTCTTCGTTGCCTCGTCCAAACTTTTTCTAAATCGGAGGAAGAGCGTCACTGCCACCGTGACATCTTGCGAAGATGTCCTACCTACCAAGAAAACAGACCCCAGTCTCTGTGTCGTCTCTCGAATGTCATGCCGCAGCCAAACACCACGTCGGTCGGTATCTTCGGCGTGTAGCGTATGCACCAGCTGCAGAAACGCACAACACAGACACAGCCACCCTACAACGACGACACCCTCGATGACCATCGAATCCTCACCGGCAAACCCCAAGCTGGCGAATCACATAGAACCCATACATACGTGACCAGTCCAGGCCGTACCCTCCAGTACACCTCCACGGCTTCCTATCGCTAGAGAGACCCCAAAGTCCCACCGTCCGCTTGTCAGTCTATCGGGTCTAGGGCTGCGTCTAAGTCTGCACCTAGGACAATGAGAACTCTACCGGTTGCATCGCCGTGCCTCGACCCCTCCGCGGTCTGCGCTCGTTGGCCGTCGCAAGCTTGTTCGGGGAGCTTTGGCTTCTGACGATCACCATGCCTGTTTTTGCTGTGGCGTCTGCCTTTATACCAATGGCGCTGGCTAACAACCGCACAAGGGAAGCATGGGCCATGGGAACTTTGCAAAGAATGCTACAGACCACGGAGTACACTGACACTTTCCCCCCAGACGACCGCCAATGGTCGTGCTGGTCTGGTCTGGGGTAGATGGAGTTGACACCGACTGCACAACCAAGACATCCCACATGCACCCCGGGATTTTCATCCAGCTATCCGGGCTGTGACTGGAGAAAACCACTTGCTCGATGTTGATATCGCGGGGAAATCAAGAGCATCTTACCCGCCTGTCCAGGGCCAACCCGGTGCGGCAGGCGGCAGACGGCAGTCATGGCCATGGCTCGTCTCCCAAAGTTCGCCATGCCGAGCGTTTCGCCCTTGCTAGGGATCTTCGCTGTGTCGACCTACCGTTGACAAGATCGGTCCAATCTTTGCGGCTCACGCACCACCGTGGTCTGCTGCATACATAGAGAACGCTAAATCATTACACACATAATTAACGTTACCTCGACGGCACGCAAAAGCTACATTTCTCGAGCCATTCTGCCCCTCCTTGCCCGTTGCTCGTCGCTGCCGAGCTCTGACTGGCAACGTTCTTGTGTTCTGGACTTGCGGGGTCTACAGTTCGGGATGCCTACGGTACTCTCCCCTGCACTTTCCCCAGACCTTCCATACAACGCCTGACCCTGGCACGCCTTGAGTCTGGAGATGCGGAGACGCGGCGATCGGTTTCGGACAACAAGCGGACTCATCTCACCGAAACAGACCTCTTATCTGTCTGCCTACCAACCACATGGTGGACTTGCATTTGTCTTTACCAACCAATGTCTCGTCTGGCGACGCTGATAGCGGCATAATACCTATTCGTAGACACACACACACACACACACACACACACACACACACACAATGTCCACCCATCCCAAGTCCGGAACGCACGTTTGCTGTCTTTCGTCACTCTCCCATGAATACCAGGGCGCATTACTTGGGCATTGGCTCGCAGGCAAAGGATTCCGACCCCCGGAGGCGCATAAGTCAAGACGCTGATTCACCCGGCAAACTCTGTTTTCCGCTTGCTCCCCACAGCCGTTTCTGTCAGTCAGAAACACGTCGCTCTTCACATGGAAAAAAAGACACCGTCCAGGAACTGCAAACTCTGTTCACTCATCCGTCGTCCCAGCGAGATTTGATTTGAACAACATTCAATATTGGATGGCCTGAAGTATCCAGGCTCGGAAAACGATGACCCTGTGGAATACGAAAGAGAGCCCACAGGCCCTACGACAACGAAGTACATAGGATTTGCTCAAATTCTCTCCTTGCCGGAGCCCCCGTACATGGTGGGCAGAAAAACTCTCCTGGCAAACGAAAGCTCGAGCGCACAGTCAAGAGCACTACAAAATCGACTCGCATTCCATCATCAGCCAAGTCACTGGCAACAGGTGTAGTCGCCCCGCGAGACCCTGTAGCTTGTGATAGTCCAGCTCTCGGCTTCTCCAGTTTTTTCTTTCACTCTGATAAGGTAGCGTTACACTGCATCGAACGCCCCCTTGGACAAGAAGGGCTAGGAGACCAAGGACAAGGGCAGAAGAAGACAAGGGCGGTGCTAGTGCTTTGCCGCTAGCTTCCGGCATGTGAAAGAGACCAAACAAAGTCTCGATCCGACGGCGACTGCACCCCTACTTTGTACGGAGTGCTGCGTACTCTTTTCGCTTTCTCTCCGGTGTGGTTCAGACCCCCCTCCGTGCTGCCACACCCCAGAGAGCCACCAACCTCTAGGTTTGAAGGCTCGCTCCCGGCTCCCCTTCGTCTCATCCCAATTCTCTCGAGCATACCTCTCCCGTCCGCCATGTCTCTGAAGTTTGGACTTTAGGTGTGCACAAAATCTTCCTACACAATACCTGACATTCCGTTGCCGCATCATACAAAACCGCCAGGTTTCCATCCACACAACTTTGCTTAGTTTTTTCCCTTCCTTTTCTGTTTCCAAGTGTTGAAGGAGCGGGAATCGTCGACAGTGGGCTGGGTATTACAACGTTATCGAACGATCGGACCGCCGACCGAACGACAGTGACCGGATCATACGATTCAGTCACCGGGACTTACTGGTCACACCCGGAACCACCCTCTTGCTTCACCGAGAGATAAACCACGCACCGGCCAATTTTGAGGGAGCTGAGGAGATGTTGTGAACGAGGGGCTTATCGAGATATCGATCATCACGACCCCAAATCAAACGGCTTTTACGTCTACCAATCGCAGCCATGGCTCTCATCAACCCCGTATACGCCATCATTGTCCCCTTCCTTTTTCTCTTCACCATCCCGCTAGCGATATTTGCCGGGATTACGACAACACTTGCCTTCACTGTGCTCATATTCCGAGTCATTCTCGTCTACTTTGATCTCGCGATATCTCTGCTCCCGTCGTACATCACCGGTCGTCCTAGGTATCTTTCTTATGCCTCCAAGGCACCGGGGTCCGGTAGTCCGTCACCGTCGCTAACGCCCACACGGCGTTCCGCCTCGCGTCGCGCAAGACGACCGTCTTCTGCCTCCGCCGTCTCCGTCGGCACAATAACACCCATCTCGGAATCAGGGGGCATCGGCTTATTCCCCTCTGTCGGTATCGATCGGGATTATGAAGGTCTTGGTGGTTGGCGCCTAGGAAACGGGAACGACGATGAGTTGTGGATGACCATCAACTCACGTCTCGAATTGCCCGATCGCCAGTATCAACGACATCACCACAGAAGCCCTAGCGGTGGACCTACCACCCCAGGTGGCGGTGATGGCTACCTCATGATGAAGGGAGGTCGCAACCGGAGCCCGGAAAGCAATCGAGGCGGGTACACTGCTATTGTGTCGCCCAACAGCTCAAGAGCACGGACACCGACCAACACGCACATTGCCTTTACAGCACTTGACGGTGTCGATGGCGACTACTTTCCATCACTATCAACCAAGTCAGTAAGAAAGGTTGCCGTGGCGTGAGAGGAACGTTTGTGGTGTGCTGGTCTGCTGGTGGATGACGAAAAGTTATCATTAATGGATGCGGAAAGAGAAAATCATGGTTCCTATCTCGACTCCCTCGCCACGAAGTTGACGAGAAAGGTACGCCTTCGAGAGTGGGTGGTGTAAGAGAGTTGTGTGAATCATTTTCTTTTGTCTACAACCGGGATACAAGGCATGAATCAAGTCCCTGGGTCGGGCAATGGGAGGAAGGTCAGGTAGAATCGGGATATCCTCTATGAAGGACAGTCTCAGACAAGGAATGGGAATATTGGCCCGGCGAGGCTATCTACGGACAGGATTAAGGACTGGAACTGGGAGTCAGTAGGCGTTTGGCTGTAACACATCTCAACAACAGTCCAGACGGACGATCATTGAATCAACAATGAAGAAATCATCAATTTGAACGCGGCCATTCGCCGTCGCAAGAACCGAATTCCATGTTCAATCCCATATGAGCGACGGGTTGTGTTTCCCATCATTAATGGGAATAGGGTAATTGTTCAGCTTTTGTACAATCGTGAAGAAAAGTGTCTGTTATTCAAGACGTGGTATCCGATCATAAGTCCTCCAAACGCCGTCATTAAACCCAAACAGAAACCAACTTATCCCTTGAAACGCCTCATTTACAAAGTCTGCCAAAAGTAATTGGCATAAAAGAACTTTGAAAACTTCTTATCCATGTTCACAACATGCACATCCCCCTTGCGGTCGTTCCTCACAACCGCGCGCGTGAACTCGCCCGAGCCGCTACCGTCCTTGCCGTCGCGCTCAATCTCGATGCCCAGGCTGCGGTACACCTTCAGGCGCAGCAGCACCTCGTCGTCGACGGGGTCGCGGCGGCGCGCCTGGTCGTCGGCGGAGCCGTCGAGCCCCTGGATCTCGAGCTCCTGCAGGCGGGCGTTGAGGTCGGCGGCCTGCTGGGCGAGGCGCTCCGCTTCCATTTCCGCGTCCGAGGCGGCTTTGGCGGTGCGGAATTTCGTGGTGTCGAGGCGGGCTATTTCGGAGGCGTGGGCGGTGGAGGAGTGGGACGAAGTTAGTTCTGCGTGTTGAGATGTCATTGTGTTTAGTTGGCGGGAGAGTTCTGTGGGAGAATGTTAGTTTTGGTTCGGTTTTTTTTTTTTTCGATACGGGTTTGAAGATGGGTTGTGGTTTTTAGGAGGAGGTCTTGGATGCGACTTTGGCTTTTGAAAGGAGAGATGCTTGTGTGACTTATCGAGGAGGGGGCAGGAGGAGACGGAGGATGGTGACGAGGACGTACTCTTGAGGGCATTCTCTGCCTCGCGGAGGCGCAGCTCGCGGGCTTGCTGGAGGGTGGAGAGGGATTCATTGATGCGGGCGATGGCTTGCTTGTCAGGTTGGATGTTGAAGTTGTCGATTGTGTGCGAGATGAGCTGTTGGCGCGAACGACATGTCTCTTGTTAGCGAATTGCTTCTCCGAGTAGAAAGTAGATGCCATCAAAAATGCGGGATGACGGGAATGGAGGGGGTTCTTACCGTCGCGGGCTCCTCTGCTAGAAGCATCTTGGCTGATTCTTTCGTGTTGTCTCCGTGGAAGATTGTGTAAGCGGCTAGATTGAAGTGCGTATGCGCGGTAGGAAGATCGTGATGTCGCGTTGTTTTCGTGGGTGGTGTTTGGTGTCGTTAATTGATTGACTTGGATCGATGGATTTATGCGACCAGAAATCGTGCAGGTGGGATAAAGCACGGCAGAACGAACCAGCCTAACCCCAATACAGAAATCCCCCAAACAAAAAAACTGTCGCTACCCGTCTGCCCCCGGCTCACCTTATCGCACGGCATCACCCGGACGACAATCAGTGATGACTAAGTTTCTGGTTGTGAGTGACCCCTGGTCACAGACTCAACAGCCCCACCTCAGCTCGTCTCCAAACCTCGTCATCCGCCACACATGACGCCGCCGCCGTCGCCGCCCCCCAGAGTGGCCCGCCCGGAAGGAGAGTCCCCACACATCTTCAAATGTCAGAGCTTCAGCCACTCTTCCCCGATCCCGTTCTTCCCAGCTGTATTGTAGCCTGCCGCCTTTTTCTCGATTTCTGCATTCAGCATCTTCCAACGCTTTGGCATCTTCAGCCCTGTCATACCTTGCGACCGTGACAGCTGCTTTCGAACTTTCACACGATCGAATAATCCATCCCACGACAACACTACGAAGTTCGAACACACTCGTACGATCCGTCAAAACAAAAGAAAATTACCTTTACACACGACATTTCCATAGCCACGAGTCAACCGCATCATCGCAGCCATGGTTGATCTACCTTGTAAGTCGCCCTCCCCACCCCGCCTCTCTCCTATGCTGTGAAAACGATGTCGCCGGGAAGAACTTCATGACTGACCATTTGCGCAGACGCCCTTGACGCGGAAACGTATGTCTATTCTCCTGCTCATCTTCAAGGCCACCTCCCGCGAAACCCGCCCATGCGATAGCGTCGTAACTAACAAGCCCCCCTCGCACCGCAGGCCCCTCAAGGCATCCGAGCTCCAGGTCCTCCGCGCCCAATATGAAAAGGAAGGCGACATGGTCGGCGTCCAAACCAAGTTCAACTACGCATGGGTACGATAGCCTCCCCTTCTCTCTTCCCTCCCATGTAGCCGATATCATCTACCCCCAAATCTCATACCCCATACTCCTATCCTTCCACCTTCCAACGTCAACTAACCTTCTCGCCAAAAAAACAGGGCCTCGTAAAATCAGACTCCCGCAACGACCAACAACTAGGCGTCCGCCTCCTCTCCGAAATCTTCCGCGTCTCCCCCGAGCGCCGCCGCGAGTGCCTCTTCTACCTCGCCCTCGGCAACTACAAGCTCGGAAACTACGGCGAGGCCCGCCGCTACAACGATCTCCTCCTGGAAAAAGAGCCCGCCAACCTCCAGGCCTCCAACCTGCGCCAGCTCGTCGACGACAAGGTCGCCAAGGAAGGCCTCATGGGTGTCGCAATCATCAGCGGCGTGGCGGTCGCGGCGGGCGTGGTGGGTGCGTTTTTGGTGAGGAATGTTAAGAGGAGATAGGTGTGACACCTGTGAGAGACGGAGAGAGAGTGTGTGTGTGGGACGAGCTATGAGGTGTCGGGGTGAGGGGCGGGCACCTGAGATGAAGACGATGATGAAAAGGAGCGATTGCATTCGAAGGGGGGGGCGAGGGGGATGTAAAGGATGACACACGTGCGGGTACTGCTACGGCTGCATCGCGCACCGCTTGTGTCGAATCCTTTACTATCTCGTGCTTCTTCCTCTCAAGTATCTGGTAATGTGTATTTGTATGGAAGTAACGACGGCTATTTGTTTGACACCGGTGTACGGGGCGTATACACATCTCTATTCTACCTCATGAGCAATATATTTGCAACAGAAACGCACGCAATTCCTTCTGCTTTGGAGTGACGGTTACCATTTACTTTTACGGTAATACCGAGGGATGTTCAGATACTGGCAGGGCACTCGGGGCGACCTCCATGAGATTGAAGTGAGACTTAGTTTTACGACACATCCTTTAGGGTAGCCACTTAAATCTGCCTGGATCTATTAATCCCGCCGTAAATGGCTCATCCCAGAACACACTCATATACTTCACATTGGGACGGCGACTTCCTGTTTAATGCTGACTGCAGTACGGAGATTTTATCCTGCCTAACCCTCGCCACCAAAAGGAAGATGCCTGTCTGTTTTCCTGTGACAAGGTCCCAAGTATGTACAGAAGACGCCCTGCGGGTCCTAAAAGTCTGACCCACGGCGGCGCGGTCGAGCTCAAGAAAAAAGAATAACGGTCTCAATGACCAATGCTAAACGCCGTCGACCCTCGTCGTAATTCGTGATATGCCTACCGGCCGTGTTGGAGCCGCGTGGCTCGCTCAAATCTTTCATTGGCAAACCACCCAGATCCGTTCCGTTCCATTAATCACTGCCACAGGCTTACTGTCTCCGTCTCTCACGCGGGTTACTGTCTCCCGAACCCGATCCTCGAGAAAACTGGTTTCTCAGCCAATTAAGCGGGCCGTGGTTGGATCCCGCGTCCTGGTTATTGTCTTGGTTGCTATCCTGACCTCTATCCCAATTTCCAGACGAGGGACTCCGCTGCCTAGCTCGGAACACATCGGACTGGTGTCGGCGGAGGCTCGGGGGCGAATGAGAGTCTCGTCTAGCGGATCGGAAGCTGGGCATTCGGCTCGTTTCCTGGGGACGTTGCGGGTCACTGCGGCCGGTGCTGGAAGCCCCGTAGCGTCCATAGACTTCATCGACAAATGACGACTGGGGTCTCGTGGAGTCGGCAGGTACCGGAGGGGTCGTGTCCATGTAGCTCGATCGAGGGGGAATCCCTCTCATCGAGTTTGCCCAGTGTCCCGGATCGTTACCGGGCCAGAACGAGTCTTGATGGCTCTCTGAAGAACCAGGCGCTGCTGCTCCAGGGTGGGGTTGCGAAGAGTTGTTGTTGTCGTTGCCGCCGTTGCTTGAACCGCTCGCATTGGCGTTGTTATTATTGTTGTTGTCATTGCTGCTGCTGCCGCCGCTAGGCTCTTCAATCGGCGTACGGCATATGGGGCAAGTATTGTGCTCCTTCAACCACATGACGACGCACTGGTCGTGGAACCAATGCTTACAGGGTAGCACTGTGGCATCGTCACCCTCTTTGAAGTCGTCAATGCAGATTGTGCACTCGGTCTTGCCATCGGGGCCAAGCATCTCCTTGTCGACCTTTTTGCGCTTCAGCTTGCTGAGCGCATCTTCAGTCGCCGGGGGTGCCGCGTTCGATGCCGGGTTCTGCTCCATCAACTGAGAAATAATCCGGTCCAGGGCCTCCTGAGTGTACACTGCATCGCCGTGCGAGGCATTAGCTGGGTTGAGCATGTTGAGAATCTCATGGAGAAGTGTGGGCGCTTGATTAGGCGCCCGCTGTCCCTGGCCTGGACCCATTCCGGCCGGTTGAGGGGGTCCCGCTCCAGCCAAGACGCTGCTGAAGATACTAGGAAGTTGGTCAGCATTCGTTCTAATGGAAACGACAGTGATTCGAGGTCCAGGCGGTGGCTGGCCACGAGGTTCAAGGCTGACGTACGACTGGAAGGGGTCGCCTCCAGCTCCAGCAGGTGAGTTGGCTCCTCCTTGGTGAACATGGATGGGTCCAGTGGCGATCGTGAAGCTCGTGGTGCCTCCGGGACCTGTTCTCTGGAATGTGCGAACATTGCCCTGACCGCCAAAAATATTTCCACCAGTGCCAAAGCCAGGAGGGCGAGTCTCGTCGGGAGGTCGCGGCGGCATGCCCATGCCGAAATCATTCACCATATCAATAAAGCGTCGAATGATCTGGTCGCCATCGTTCACGTCGGGGGGCTGGCGGGTGTTTGGGTTTGGACTCTGTCCCGGGCGCTGGGAATTGTCCCAGATGGCTCGGTGTACGACGAACCCGCCTGGGCCGCGATGCAGATGCTCCTCTATATCGGCCTCTTCAGGATCCGAATCGTCGTCGTAGATGTGACGTCTGAGTCTCGGGGAATCGTGAAGAGGAGGCCCATCCTCGATCTCTCTAGGGTCGTTCTCGGGAGAAACCTGGGTATATGTCAGCAAATGTGGCAGGAGGGGGGCAGTGGATATATATCGTACAATCTCTGTAATCTCACTTTCGCAGCGAGGGCACTGCAGACCATGCTCATCTTGCCACCACTCATGGGAGCAGGCGTGACAGTAAACCACCTCTCGGCCATCCGTGGCAACCAAGTGCCCGCCTCTTGGGGCGTGTGAGTCCATCTCGGCCTGGTTGCTATTGTAGGCGGCGAGGGCTGTAAGACCAAGGCCTACAGCGAGGCCGGCAGCGCGAAGAGCTCGGAACGCCAGACTGAATGATTTATGGAGTCGTTTTGGGGTGGCGGAAGCTTGAGTATAGGCAAGAGTTGCGCTGTTGTCGGGTGACTGGTGCTGAAGCTATTGCGGAGCTTCGACTGCTTGTTGACAGTAGCCGGAGGTCTGGGTCAGAGTGGAAAAGAAGGCTCTCATGGAATGCCCAAAGTTGGGGCAGGCGCAATCCAAAGTTGGTATTGGTGTACGGTGTAGAGCGCAGAACATCAGCCGAAGCGATGTTGGGGTCGTTATCGGTGGAGAACGGAAGGTGCGGTAGGACAGCGTTGTATTCTTAGGTCGGCAGGTACCTGGCAGGTGAGAGCAGCGCTGCGAGTGGAAAGACTGGCGTGAACACGGTCAGTACCACAGCCTGCTTGAATTATACGGAAACCCCAAAAGGCATAGCCAATGAAGCGCAGATGTGAGAAGTGTATGCTGTGAGTTGTGTCTTTGGCATGTAATTCGGGTCTGTGACCGGCTGCCGCTTTGGGGGTGGTGGGTGATGTGAGCTGGAGGAACCAGAAAGACGTACCTGAGCTAAACAGAATAATGGAGCATGCGCACGTCTCCAATAGTAAGGTCACGGAAGTGAACGGAAAGGGACCGATCGCCACTGCTGCGGAGTAAGGTAAGGTGCGAGGAAGAAAAGGAAAAAGGCAAAAGGAAAGGTGGTGGAAGAGAGGCGTGAGGGTGTTGGGTGAGGTTGTTGGGATCACAAAAAGAGAGGCCCGCGGCACTGCTCAAGCTCGGGATGATGCAGTGGACAGTGAGTGGACTGGAGAAAGAAAGAGTGCAAGCGCACCCGTCACGTCAGTTAGCGCTGTGCTGCTAGGTAGGCTGGGGGAGGTACCTCTTCACCGGAAGACGTGACGTGATGCTTGTAGTGGGGGTTACTTCCCGGCTTAGTAATCTTGCATTGTCCAGAACACCGCCACGAGCCACAACAGCATTGATCCGTGTCTCCACTTTTAAGCACCTCTCACCTTCCACCAGCTTCGGTGTGGCAGTGCGTCTTTTTACCACCCATCACATTGCATTACCACCTCACACCAAGCCTTTCGACATTCCCCAAGCCGGTATGACCCCCAGCTATAGTGGATATCCTGGCCTAAACACTTACACCACATGCCTTATGGACACTGTTCCAGCTGAAAGAGTGTGGCTTGGAAGGGTTGTCCATAACATGTCAGTGCTTCGGGATAAACCCCAGCCGAGTTGTGTACATATACTTGATACTGACGCTCAGGATGTCTTGATTCAACTGTATTAACCTCTCTTGGTAAGGAGATGCGTTCCAATGTTATCAACTCAGGAATCCTCGTCCAAATAGCTTCTCAGTCTCGCTTGCGAAAGAGCATCTTCCATAGCCCACTCATCCTCAGCTCCCCTATCCCAATTCCAAGTCGGCGCCCTTTTTGCCCCCGCCGGACTCATCTCCTTCATGAGCTTAACAACCTCGTGATGCTTTCGACTCGTGGCCAGGCGTCGACTAGTCTGCCCACTCGTATCCCGAGAATCCGGATCCGCCCCGGCCCTGAGCAGCAACATGGCCGCCTCGACATTATCCCTCCAGAGCGCCACGAACAACGGGGGCGAAGAGAACCGTCCGCCTCTCTTGTTGACGTCGACCTTGTACTCTGGTCTCAGTATCAACTGCAAGACGGACGTCATGTTGAACGACGCGGCGTAGTAGAGCGGTTCCGTGTGCCGAATGACGTCCAGGTCCGCCGAGCGCAGGACGAACTGCACCCACGCCTCAAAGGCGCCGCCGTGCGAGAGCTTCTTGGTCTCGAAGAAGTCGAGGATGAGCTTCTCGTCTTCGTCTGCGAGGGGGAAGCGCTCCGAGTGGATGGGCCACATGTTTGTGGCGTAGTTGAGCAGCGGGTAGGCTGCGAACCTGGCTTTCACGTGCCGGAGCTTGTCCAAGGGGCCGGTGGTGAAGGGCTCAAGTCTGAGGTAGGCGAGGCACTTGCGCATGATCCTTTGGTGGCAGGCGGCTGCGTCCAGCGCGTATTCCGAGGCAGGGGAAGTCCGTATCCAGTCTGATTGTAAGAATGTGCGGATGGAGTCGTGGGCGAGGGTGACGTGGTGGTCGCTTACGTGGGCTAGGTCCTGGCAGATCTCGATAATGGCGGAGGGGTCGGTGAGTCGGTCGTCATCGTCAATGTTGACTTCGTCGCCTTCGAGGATGATAGCTTCGGCGAGCTCGCCGAGATGCAGCGGCCGGAGAGAGAAGCAGAGCCAGGCAAGAGCCTCGCGGGCCATGGCCCGGTCTTGTTGGGGTACACGGGTGAGGATACCGGCGTAGAACCCGTTGAGTGTGGACGGGATATCGACTAGAGCTCGTCGTACGTCTCTCCCGGTGCGGAGGGTGCTGAGTCTATCCATGCACAATTTGGCCCATCGAAATCTGCAGCAGTGTAAGTCTTGACCACGAAGGGGTGGAGTCAGAACACTCACGTTCCATCCGCTTCTGATGTGACCTTGTCCTTGATCTCGGCTCGTATCTTCGCACTCAAAGATTGGAAACTGTGTTCGCTCGAAAGTCTTTTCTCCACATACACCTCGATATCACAATCAATAGACTGTGTGCTCATGTGTCGGACGTATATGCTGGGTTCAAGCTGCACCGGCTCGCGCGTACACGTAACCAGGACCCGTAGGTTAGAGTGCTTCGAGCAGAGGTGCAAGAGGGCTTCGACAATGACAGGTTCTTGGCTCGTCTCATTGAGAGCATCAATCATGAGGTAAAAGACATCAAACAGCCCGAGAGCTTCGCCCATCACGTTGTAAATCTGTTCGACGGTCAGGTTATTCTGCGGAATCAGATTGTTCCCCGACTTCCTCAGTGGCCGGACGTGATCGAGGATACTGGGATTCGTCGCTCCTATCTGGGCCAGGATGGAGCCAAAGACGTTCGGAACGGCTTGGGATGCCGCATCGTCTAGGGAGCAGCAATGGAAACCGACGCCTATGTTGCCATTCTCTTCCGAGGCCTCATCGCTAGGGTGTGCTCTGAGGTCCTCAACGAGTTGCGAGCTTGTATCAGTCAGTACGGCATGGACAACGAGAGAGTCTTATTTATGCTTACAAAAGCACCGTCTTGCCGGATCCTGCTGTTTGTTGTGTCAATGGGATGCTGCGCGGGCTACAAATATGAGCGACATGACTTACACCTTCCTGTGATCCAGAATACTGGCCGATCAGTGGAAGTGCTCCTTTGCCATTCCAGGAAAGTCTTATCGACTATCCATCTGCCAGTACCCGGCGCGCGATTCTGCCTAGAACTGACAAGCTTGTCCTCACTGTCGACGGGCGAAAGCCACTTTAGCAAATCAGCCGTCTCCTCCAGCATCCGATCCGTCTTGCGCGCAACAATATCCTCATGCACAAGCGCCGTCAGCTTCTGCATCTCTGACAACACAGATGCCGTAGTATCGAGCGAATCCCGCATCAAGACCATGATGAACCAGGTCTTGGCTCTCTCAACAGTAGCAAAATACGTCTCTATATCACCCTGCCGAAAAGGCCAGGCCAGAGTCTGGGCAGCGCGGCCCAGGGACGACGTCTTTGGCGTGCCAAGCTTCTTTCGAATGGCGTCGAGGGTTTCCTGAGTCATCTTGAGCATGGCGCGGGCCTGCTCTTGTAGCGGATTATCCATGCTTCGCTCATTTTGAACGTGGAAGTGGTCCATTGCCCCTTTGAGGGCGAGGAGCTCCTGGGTGAGCTTGCGAATGTCATCTTTGGCGGATTTGACAGCCGAGATGTATTTGCAGAGCCGTTCGACTACTTCGGTGATGCAGAGGGCGACCTCTATTACGGTTAAGGCTTCGGCCATTGGGTTGCCGCATTTAGCACTTTGATGTAAGCTAGGACTCAGAGGTATCGTGTTTGCGGTTAGTGGCCATAGCTCCAGCGCAAGGTTTCTCAAGTTCTTGTGGGCAGAGAAGCGCCAATCTGGCACAACTTGTGGTGGACGAAGATGGCGTCTAGGCTTTTTCTCGACAATGGAGCTCAAAAGGAATAGTAAGACTGAAGAGCCTGATAGCCCAGGATCGATCGACAGACGTCAGAAGCGGAAGCCAGATGGGTATTCGATCAAAGTATCGGGAGTCCAAAGTAACGGGAGTTCTTCAACATTCGAGGGCCGTTCCGTGGCCGGGGAAGCCCCGCGTGCACGGATCAAAGTGAAGGTGGGGGATGAGTTGGTGGGGGTGTGGCACGTGCACGTATTTAGCGAGACCTTAAAATGTCTTGCGCTAGCGGATCTCTGCAGGGACTTGGGTGAAGAGCATCATGTCCCTCTGCTGTTTCAATGAGAATGGTATCATCAAGCAAATTGCGATGAATCTGTCCGAGTCTGCTATTACTGCCGAGATTTTCATGAGTTCAATGATCTGTTTATCATGAGTAATCATCTTGTTGTCGGCTCGAGATCTGAGTTGCTTTAAACATACTTAAGTAAGGATAGAATACTAAGTGAATGATAGTAAGGAGTCCTTGACACTTCAAGCTGGACGTTTCGACACCTTGAAGTGTCTTTATTCCAAAGCTCATGTAAACAAATAACTGTAAAGTCATTTGCATCTTATAACACGTCTTTATCCGTCTACAGCTTAGACTTCTAGTAGTGTTGCTGCTACAGATACGCTACCAGTAGAGACTACAGTGGAAACCCCACTATGCCAGTCGCATTACATGATGACTAGGGTATCCCTTTCTTCCCGGCTCGCCTCCCAATTCGTGGAGCTGCGGGCCGCGGAGGTATTCAAGTCGTCCCAGCCGTCAGGACTCTGAAGGTGAATTGTCAGCAAAACTCTTTTCCAAGTTTTTCTTCAATTACTCATTTTCTGCGACCAACTTGCAGTCACGGGTACGCAGAAGAGACTCGTCAGCTGGCCCCTGTTGAGACTACCTTACCTTGTCCAGCAGTGCAGTGCCACAGTATGACGAAAAGGCAAGCATTTTCTTTCCTTCAACAACCTTATACTCCGCCGGCGGCCTCACGCAGCAACCCGGCATCTGATTCCACATTGCGCCGGAACAAACGTGCCTAGGCCGGATCTACCTCTCCACTACCGCAATCGCCTGTTGGCCTGCCACACCCCAAGTTAATCCCAGCCTCTGTGCATTCAGGCCAAAGGTAGTCGTCAAGTCAAACACTTTGGATTTCTCATCACACTTTCCAGAGACCCGGAACAACAATAGAAGCTACTGTGCTTCTCCCACCGGCGCCGGCGCGAACTTACTCATCCGCTTCGGCCCCCTTTCGAGCCGTCCAATTGCCCCTCCCGCCTTCTCAGCGTTTCCTTAACGCATTGCGGCTTTTAGGCAATACCTCACCTCACGCATAAATTGCCTCAAGCCGAGCATTTTCTGGTACGTAATATGCAAGTAGCCAATTCTCATATGCAATACTGTCGTTAGTCCCCCGAACTGCCCGTGGCTGAGATGCGCCAGCGTCACCTTTACTCCAAGACATGTGCTACCGTACTTTCTCGCCCAACCGTTATTCTCAGTCATCCTTTCAATGAGAAATCCCACGTTCTGATGGCTGTGTACCAGGCAACTCATGAGCGTTCTGACAATAACTAACCCAAGGCTGACTCGAGGCTGCAATATCGTCCAAAGAGCACAGCTGCTTCAGAACCGATGAGATAGCGGCAGCCCACCAGTCTTTAAGTATTATATCGTCATCAAAGGCCAAGCCTTGATAATCGACTCCCTTGGCTCGTTATCAGGCGTCGCGCCAACTCGCACGCTCTGCACGCCCAATAGCCTGCCGCTTCTTTATCTCAACGACAGGGTACCTTCAACATCGACGGAGAGGTGAGACGCCCGCAGCCCGCGAACTACCCCTCCACACCCCTCTCTCTCTCTCTCTCCACGGTTCTCGCTCCCGTCCCTGCGGTACCCCCTCTATCGGCATCGGGTATCGCTGTCTTGCAGCTCTTGATTCTTATTGCTCCGGTGGGGGCCCCTGGGCTGTCACTTCAGCTTGCTGCCGCCCGTCGCATCCACCCCGTCTCCCGGGGACTTGCTGTCCCCATCTGATTTCCACATCTCCGCGCACCGCATCAAAGTTGGACTCAGCATCTCCGGTCGCTCACTTCACCACTTCCGGTGCGTCAACCGTCATCTCATTAGTTCGGAACTCGGCAGCCAGAGGCGTGTCTTGGAAAGAAAGATGGACGATCAAGATCTCCTTTTGTCGTCCACACCCGGCGGCTCCCTGGCCAATCCCCCGGAACAGCCTTCATCTTCATCGTCGTCCGCACCACAACCACCACCACCGGCGGCCAAGAAGAAGTCGTCGCGCAGAGGAGGCGACTCGGCGTCACAGAAGCGGCGCTGCGTGAGCACAGCATGTGTCGCCTGCCGCCGGAGGAAGTCGAAATGCGATGGAGCCGTGCCCAGCTGCGCTGCATGCGCCAGCGTCTACGGCACCGAGTGCGTCTATGATCCCAACTCGGACCATCGCCGCAAGGGCGTCTACAAGGAAAAGGTCGATAGCATGAAGGCGCGCAACTCGACACTGCAGATCCTTATCGAGGCCATCCTCAACGCAAACGAGGATGAGGTTCCCGACATTGTGAAGAGGATCAGGACCTGCGACAGCCTTGACACTGTCGCTGAACAGATCTTGAAGCATGAGACTATGATCCAGGAGGCCGAGGATAACGACAATGGAGACGATGGTTACACGATCGACATGCCCATCGAGGGTGAGAGGGAACTCGCTCGCAAGATGGGCGAGCTGCGCCTCGAGAACGGCTCAGTACGCTTCATCGGAGGCACATCACATCTCATCTACCTAGGCGACTCAGGCGACGCCAACACAAACGAGCCCGAATCCGACACGAACCTCACCAATGAAGACCCCGTCACCAGCTGGACGAGAGTTACGCAAGATAAGGAACTCATCGCCCACCTCATAAACATGTACTTCAACTGGCACTACACATATTTCACGACATTATCAAAAACACTATTCTACCGTGACTTCTTCAAGGGGAAGCACGGACTCAACTACAAAGGCACCATCTACTGCTCACCACTCCTAGTCAACGCCATGCTATCCCTCGGGTGCCACTTCACCAGCGTGCCGGGAGCGTACGGGACGCCGGGGGACAGCCGTACAAAGGGCGACCACTTCTTTGCCGAGGCGAAGCGCCTTATTGTCGAGAACGATGAGTACGAGCGACCCAAGCTCACTACCGTCCAGGCCCTGGCGCTCATGTCCGTCAGGGAAGCTGGCTGCGGGCGGGAAGCAAAGGGTTGGGTGTATTCGGGCATGGCTTTCCGCATGGCCCAGGATATCGGCCTCAACTTTGACGACGGCGGTATGTCTAATGATAAGGAGAATCTCGGCGAGCACGCCGTCGACGCAAGGCGGATGACGTTTTGGGGGTGCTTCCTCTTTGACAAGGCGTGGTCGAACTATCTGGGTCGCCTGCCGCAGATACCAAAGAACTCGTACAACGTACCCAAGTACGACGTCTTCCCCTCTGAGGATGCGGAATTATGGGCGCCTTATACGGATACAGGGTTCGATCAGACATGCAGCCAGCCATCTAGGACGCGAGCCGTGGGGTTGCAACTCTCTAAGCTTTGCGAGATAAGCAGCGACTTACTCTTGTTCTTTTATCATCCAAACCATATCGGTCGCTCAAGTGGCAAATCTGTCGAACTGAAGAAGCTCAGTGAGCTTCATCGGAGGTTAGAGGACTGGCGAAAGGAATTACCAAACGAACTGGAACCAAAGGAAGGACAACTCCCCAACGTAATCCTCGTACAGTAAGTCTAGCACCGCCCCCTTAAACAAACTCACGATACTAACATCATCCCAGCATGTTCTTCCACCTCCAATACATCCACCTCTTCCGCCCCTTCCTAAAATACACGCCCGCAGCCTCCCCTCTCCCATCCCACGTCTCCCCACGGCGCATCTGCACAGCCAACGCCGGCGCAATCTCCAAACTCATGCGCCTCTACAAGAAAAACTGGAACCTCCGGCAAATCTGCAACATCGCCGTCTACATGGTCCACAGCGCCTGCACGATCCACATGCTCAACCTCCCAGAAAAGACAGCCAAGCGCGACATCATCCACGGCGTGAAGCACCTCGAGGAAATCGCCGAAGACTGGCTCTGCGCGCGCCGCACGCTGAGCATCATCAGCGTGCTGGCGCGGAAGTGGAACGTCGAGCTGCCCGAGGAGGCCGAGGCCGTGCTGCGGAGGACGGACGAGACGTACGGCACGTTTAGTACCTCTGACGTGCCGTCGCCGAGGTCGAATCTTACGGTTGCGTCGTCGCCTTCGCCGACGCAGGGTCCCGTTTCGCCGGTGATGGGGAAGCCGGATCAGTATAGCCCGCTTAATCAGTTTGCGCAACCGCAGACTGGCGAGCAGGATGTGGCGCCTAGTCCGACGGATCTTTTGATGGCGAGCGCGTCTCTTGCGCAGATCAGTGGTGCAAGACCACCTTCTCACCAATCTCACAACGGGATGGGAATGGGGCCGAACTCTCTAGGCGGATGGTCCCAACCTGGCCTCACCCAGTCAATACCAACATACCAACAGCAACAACGCTTCACACCAATGAACAACAACCTCGCCCCATCACAGACTTCCCGCGCCGGGCCCGGCAGCGCGTCGCGGCAGCAGCAACTTTCCCCCGGCCAAGTCTTCCAGGGCCTAGACCAGGACTGGTTCCTCAACGACGGCGCAAAGTGGCACCAGAACTTTGAAGCGTGGAATATGGCTACGTCACAGCCCGGCGGCGGAGGCGGAGGCGGGATGCCCGCGAGCGATCAACTGTTTATGTTTTCAAGCGGGAATGGGGGTATGCAGCCGCCGCCGCAACCGCAGCCGCAGCCACCAAGGCAGTCGTCTGAGGATACGGCGAGTCCTAATTTTGAGGGGTTGAGTTCGTTGGATACCCATGGGTGGTTGCCGGGGCTGGATTAGGACTTGGAGTTCCATTGTAATCTACCTTCCCAGCAACAGACTTCATGTGCGGCCCTATGAATTGAGAATAGATGAATGAATGTAAGAACAACGCCGCGTCTTCCATCTTAATTTTGTGCCACGATGCGCTCCCACGATTGAAATCTCCGCGACTTGGAGAGGCTTGATTGATTTTCAACATGACCCCTGACCAGGATTTGGCTGGGCCGTCTTCTAGTCCGCAGGCATTTGCACGACCGATCTCTCATTTCGAGGCTCCTTTGTCCTCTTGAAGAATGAAGCGACAGGACTGTTCATCCCCTTACCACGTCCAAGTGGACAGGGTTAGCCATGGCAGGTTATATAGACCAACAAAGACTCATGAACAGCGTTATATCGATTTCAGGAATCATCGAGGTGGACAAAGTCTGAGGTGCTTAAACAAAGAATCCCGGCAGACCTGTCCATTTACAAACTTATATTCAGGTCTCGTTCGCAATCCCCAGCCGTTTCCTTACCCTCATCAACTTCTCGAGCTGCCAAAGATGGCGCCACCGCGTACTAGCAATGCGCTTGCTTCAATCAACACTATTTGTGCAGCAACGACGGAGAAAAACTTTATGGAACCGGCTCGTGTAGCAACCTTGGTGGAAAAAATGCTTATTGTCTTCCAAACAATTGACTACCATCTTCGCGGTCGAACACTCGACTTCTTCTATGAGGAGCACGACTTAGGACAAGCTTACAAAAGACTCAAAAGATGGTCGAACGACTACTGGGTTCCTACTGGAGACTGGGATAGGGAAGTAGCGATTAAGAAAAAGTTGCGATGCCTTACGCTTCGGAAATTGAACAGCATTGCAAGAGTTCTTTGTTCGAGTAAGTGGTCATGCAGCTGCCGGAAACACTCCAGGAGTTGCCTATTGACTCGAAAGAACATGAAGCTTACCATCTCATCCTCTTACATAGGACTCGCGGATCCGTCACTTTGGGCTGTGTGGGCACAGCAGATGCCTTATGAATATCTGATCACCAACGTCAGGGAACTGCGTGAAGAGATGGATAGGACCAAAGGTGCCTACTGCGATCCAGACTGCGGAGCTTTGGTACCGCTATATCGGACTGTGACGAACAAAGATGTCCGTCCTAAGATTACGGAACTTGCAGACGACCCAGCCGTGAAGCATTGGATTACACTGAATTACACCGCACTAGACGACAGTGTCAACCAGGTTATTGCAAAGTTGATAGAGAAGCAAGACAGCGAGTGGAAGGAGGTCTGGGTCAAGGCGATACTGAATGAGTTTGGTCAAATCTATGAAAGCATAGTCAGGGACATTGACTATTTGGAGGGGTTGTGGGAGTTGAAAAGGATTCTTCCCGCCGACACGGTCGGGGAAAAGCAGCGTCCGGTGTCATTCTTTCGGAGGTGCTTCGGACGCCGAAAGTAAAGACTTCTCGCAAAGGACTGAAGGTAGCAGGGTTCGTAGCAGTAATTCACGGTATGTTCGCGTTTTGTTTTCACATGATATGCCTACTGTTACCACGTAGTTGTTTACTTGACGGACACTCTTGTGGGCTCTTGTCTCGGAAGAATCGTCGCCTAGCCTATACGAGGAAAGGAAAGAGGATGTATCATAGTGTGTTGAGAATGGGCCTGTATCTTGTGAGTCCAGAATCGCTGGATCTTGAGCCGTGTCATCAAATGAATAGAAGTCTCCCGGGAGCCTGTGGGACGCTCACGGTGCGAATGAAAGGTAGACTGCGTGAGATATGGTCAACTTCGAGGATCGGCTTGTTGGGGAGATCTCACCTCGAGACAGCTTAGTCGTCTTTTAGTGTCTGATGGGTACTTTGGAGGCCCCTGGGAGAACAAGAGTTTGTCAAGTCACAACTTCCATATTGACTCGAATCTTTCCATCGCCAGACCTGATGGTCTTTGCAAAGCAGCTTCATGGGAAGGTAGGACGCGACGTCGACAAAAACTATTTCTGAGCATTTCTTGAGGTTGAGGAAGACAGCAATACTGTGAAACGATGCAATGACATCTTCCCGTGGTCTTCAAGGTTGTGTACTGCGGATATGCCTTGTCCTACCCGGTCGCAGCACAAATGCAAACTACCCCAGGAAGCTATCCAACATCTTCAATCGTCGCTGACATCGAGGGTCTTGATCATATCGCTCAACTCGCAAACCACGCTCTCGTACACAGCCTGCTGCAAGCGCGGCTTCAACAAGTCGTCGCCGAACCCAAAGTCACACTCCAGACACTTCCTAGTAAGGTCTCTATACTTCGGCCCCAAAGTAGGGACCTGTCGCGATAGCCTCCGAACGCTGAGAACGTCTTCCGGGGCCTCTAGGCTAGACCACCGTCCGATCTGAAGCAGAGTGATGCCGAGACTCCAAAGCGTCAGGTTGCGTATACCGTACTCCAACTTCGCGCGCTCGGCCGCGGTCTCTACTTCGTTAGGGCCGGCGCTGTTGCTGTCCGGCATGGCTGTCGCTTCTATCCCCTCCATGCTCCGTGGTAGGCTTGCGGCGGATGACTGGACAAAGTCGAAGCCTAGATGGAGGGTCTGAAGGCACCTGGAAAAGTCCCCGCTCATCTGAAAGAAGGAAAGGTCCCGTAGGGTGAAGTACTCTCTCAGCCACGGTGTCGAGTAGAACTTGAGAACCGCGCTGACCATATCACGAGCCAGTTTGAGTTGGTCGATGATGGAGAGCGTTGTCTCGGCGGGAGTCATCAGCACTTCGTTCATTGACATCAGAGCTTGAGGCGTGGTCATGATATGGTTGTGGTTGTCCACGGATCCCGGGTAAATCGAATGCCGGAAGGGATCTTGCGATGAGCTGTCAATGTACCCTAGACATTGGTCGCTACAGGCCCTTTCCGAGGCAAAGTTGAAGACACTATTCAAGGCCGGGCAAAGACCCTTTGAGCACAAGTTGACTGATGGGCCTTGGTTATGATGAATATCCCTCGTTGCGTCGGCTTCATCGTCTTCTTTGCCGGCCTCTTCTCGGATGTCTTGCGAGAAGCGAACCTTTCTTCGTTTCTGTCGGGGCCTTTCGTCTGGATCAGCTACAGTCGACGTAGAGTTGTCGGTTTCAGCGATCCAGGTCCGTATCTGTGATCGTACTAGAATTCTAGCGAGTCTTTCCTGTGCCATAGCCCTACAATCTTCAGCATACTATCCCGACGGCAAGAGCAATAAGAACGCCTACCTATCAGTAAGCTCATGGCCCATGCATGATATAGCAACATGCATCTGAACATCGTCCTTGACCGTGGTATCCAGAAACAGTCTAACAGTATGGCGCATGCCGAGTACCTCGGCGGAAGTACTCGAGGTCGACCAAGCTTCAGCAAGGGCTTCGTGAAAGGCTTTCGATGCCCTCCTGACTTGACCGATATGCCCGTATTCTTGGCTTAGTTTTCCACGGTTCGGCTTCGTTGCTATGAGCTCATTCTTATTTCGCCTCAGCTCACTCCTCTGCTCTCGGATACGTTTGAGGTCGTCGATGGACGCTCGCAGATCTTGGATATGTTTCTCGAACCTGGATTCGTCTAGTGAGATTTTCACCCGTCCGCGAAGCCGGCGCACAGCATCTTTGAGACTTTCGCCCTGTTTTCGTGATGATGTGTCAGTCCTCTCTTCTAGCGTCCTCTTATGCCATTTTTTACTTGCCTGTCGACACTCTGCCGTGAGTCCATCGAAGCAGCGGAAGTCGTCCTGGAAGCTTTGCGCCGCGCCGACAATGTCTTCAATCGCACCCTGGCAGACATCATAGTCCTTGTCTAGTGCCTTTCTCATCTCTTCCTCAATCTGTTTGCTATGCCATTGTTGAGTGCTCTCATTCTCGAGCATCAATGCGATCGTCTCTTCATCATCAACAGTTCGTCTAAGCAACAGGTGGATCTCATTCGTAAAGAAGTTCAGTTGGCGGTCAACTTGCTTTTGGATGCGCCGGATTTCTCGCGAGTAGTGGCGAAACGTCTTGAATTTCTTGCGGACAACAGAGCATGCCTTCATTGCTCCGCCGACCAACGGCAAGAGGCCCAAAGTCAAAGAGAATGGATCCATTGTCACAACCGTTCAGAGCTCCTAGATCATATTTTGATCGTAAGGGCGAGCTCTTTCCCCCACCTCAAAATGTAAGAATGAGGCTGTTGGTACCAGAGCTGGCATTGCAGGCGGCAAAAGGCGTTGGTTCATTGGTTGAAGCATCGGGGCGCCTTAACGAAGCAGGCTGGCGACTTTGTTGGAACTGTAATTACCCCGCTTTCACCTTCACAGTCTCTATCTTTACTCTCAACATTTCCAACGATCATCAAAATGAACTCTCTGAGAGATGAAGGGGCCGTTGACACGAATTATCTCATTCGGTTGTTCCTTGACACGCCAGCCGAGGCAACGCCTCATGTGGGTGCTAGTCTCGTTGCACGCCTGGCAGCAGGGACAATGGCTGTGTTTCAAGACATACAAAAAGGTCCGATTGACGGAGTCGAACGAGATTCAGAGTCTCAATCGTATCTTGTCAGTCTTGGAAGGAGTTCTGACAGACTTCGACTCTGGTCAGACGGATACGGAATTTCCAGTGGAGCCTCCGATGACCTATTTGAGCGATCTAGTCGACTGCGAGGTGCAACGCTTGAAATTCTATCCAGTATAGGTTTGGTTCTTACTGAGAGTAAGTCTCAAGCTTACTGACGAAACTTCAATCCAATAAACTACTTGTAATTGCATCGAAGCTGATAATCACTGTCAAACAATCAGGACTTGTAGCATCAACTTTTGGGGCGGGCCTTCTTGGGAAGACGCAACCTCCAGAGAGTTTCACAGCCAAGGTAGAACAGCTGCGGCAACTGCTACAAGAGGCCGAAGACGCCGTAGCAAAGAGTGAATCTTCGACTGAATCATCCGATTACGACGATGACGATATCAAACAAATCACTGCAGATCTCGAAACAGACACCAGAAGTTTGATGGAACTCGATACCTTATTCTCTGAACCTATTCTGGATATTGGACACATGAAGCAATCTCTTCCGTCGTCTTTGCACAAATGGGAACCTCATGAATCTTACAAACATATCATCACCAACAGATTTCCAAAGGCAGATGATGGGCTCATTACCAGTCTGGGAAAAGCCAATTATGAGCGATTCCTGAGAGGTCAAGAGCAGAGAAACATTAGTTCCCGGACACCTCTGGAACCTGTCATGTTGCAAGAGATCGAGAATTCAGACGCTGCTAGTTCTAAATTCAACGATTCGGGCATTGGATCATCCCTTCCTTCATCTTACGCGGAGACAATTATGTCGTACCACGGTGGTGAAGGGATCTCAATACGATTACCATCCCTACCCAAGTCGGCCAAGAACGGTTCAGTTTTTCTGTGTATAGCATGCGGCCTGCCAACCCTTATACAAAGCGACTTGGCATGGAAGCGACACTTATTCAACGACTTGCAGCCTTGGCAATGCTTAGAGCCCTCATGTGGGCACAAGGAAATCTTCAGCACTCGTGAGGACTGGGCCTCACATCTTGCTCTCGAACACTTCGGGCCCGAGTGGAAAGAAGCCGAGTGCCCTTTGTGCCGGAATGACACTGGCAGTGGCAAAATCACTATTCTCAAACACCTCGGGGGTCACCTTGAGGAGATTTCTCTTGCTGCTCTGCCTTCAAAGTCTGATACGGAGACAGAAACCCATGCTTCAGACCTCAGTCAGATGCCACCCATAACTGAGTACGACGGTACGATAAGCGACATAGACGAGAGTAATGATCTAGCACCAGAGATCGGCGTTGCAGACTTGTCTCATATGGAACAAATTAGACAGGGAAAAAAAGAGCCGGTCACTTTCGACGAAGCTATGGGCTTTGTTGACAAAGTCAAACGCCAAAAACCTGAGGTTTACAAAGATTTCTTGCATTTGCTGCGAGAATATCAAGAGGACGGGTATATTATAGTCGCTTCCCCATCATCGCTCTCTTGTCCACCCGATTAATGTTTCGATAGCCTCCCGATCCGAGAAGTCTATTCTAGAGCGACAGGTATCTTTTCGGCTGATCCTGAATTGGTGGAAGGTTTCAAGAAATTTTTGCCAGAATCAGCTGAGCTTCGCACTGTAGGAAAGCCCGGATTCATTATCAATCATCCTATTCTGAGTACCTCTGTACCGTCCGGGGTTATGGCTAACCCTACGGGACATCTTACCAATGAGGACGCTAGAGAGTTGTCCGAAGGATTAGCCATTTTAGAGGCCAGGCAGGAACGTTTACACCGAGCTTTAGAAGAGTTGGGAAGGTGACACTTTTGATTTTTCAGGGAGGTGAACATATCAGGAAGGAGGGAAGAGAGATGAGTGTACAACCACTATTGTGGCAATAGAAAGTATCTCCTTCGCTAGCATGCGATTGATATCTGAAGGTCGGAGGTTCAGCTCTGCTTTTGTATCTACTTTGTAGGTATTTTGATGCTAGGCCTTGAAATCTCGTCTTCGCCGAGTAATTTCAAGCTGCTAGCTTTGGAGGTGTCTTCTCTTCCTCACGCTGATATAACGGAACTAAGAGATTCCAGGATTTTCTCATTCAGAATTGCGCATGCCATGCTCAAGCTTTCCGCGCTGAACAATCGTCCCGGGTTCCATATCGTCGCCACAATCCGTACAGCCGCCCTCTTGGATACCTCGTCCTTCAACTGCGTTCCCTTGATACGCCATAGTGTGTTCGTGACGTATGTCTGAACAACATCTAAGTCTGTTGGAAGACTAGCATCACTCCTTTGTACTCTTGTTCAGAATGAGGTGATGTCGTTGTTCACCGCCGGGCTAAAAAGCCTGGCCACAACAGCTAGGGCAAACTAACAAAGATACATGAACAGCAACACAGTCATTCAAAGGCCCTTTAGTCGACAGCATCGAGATATTTGAAGATAGAAAAAAGCCACGGCAGTAAGCCACTTTATATACTTAGCCAACTATTACCTGCCATTCTCATGCATGTCGGCTTTTTCTTCTCTCCAGCACCTTCTCTCATTGCCAAAGATGGATACACTCAACGACAGAAACATCGTTTACCTAGAGAACTCTCTGTTATCAATCGCCGAAGCGGCGGCTCAAGAGAAATACCAGGTGGATAAGATTCGCTTATCTCACATGACAAGAACACTGACAGATATCTTCAAACTCACCACCATGATGTTGACACGCGACCTCGAGGCAAGACGAGGATTTGGATTGGAGCCGGAACTTGACAGTCTGAAAAGAAGCCTCAAAAGACTTGAGCTATGTAAAGACGATTTGAGAGTTACCACGAGGATTCCTGACGTGTGTCCAAAGCCGTCGTCTCAGTGGCAAAGTGCAAAGTTCGAGATTTTAACTCGCATCGCAAGGTCTCTTAAGAAATGTATGTAACCAGGACCTCAACGGAAGTTTGCCCCCCCCCCCCCTCCCTGTTCTTAGATAGGATCTAATCAGCTGAGCCGTGTGAAGGGTTCGCTGGGACAGATGTGGCACTTGAACGGATTCAGCTACTGCATAAACTTCTGAACGGAGACCACATGTTAACACATGACCTCATCCGGAAGGTGTGCGCTGACGGAGATAGTGGAATGATGCAACTTATTGCGCGGATAGCAGAAGACGGAGTCTGTGACATGATGGGCCAACTCATCCATGAGGCAGAAGTCGACGGCGGAGGCAACGTGAACAATCAACTTCTGCGATACGCAGAAATCGATGGAATAAATGGTGACGTTATAACCTACTAAACGCAGTAAATATCGCTGCAGACACTATATCTTTAGTGGACATGCAGTATGAAGGATACTCCAGCGCTGAAACTGAACAATATTTCTTACTGACGCTGGACAAAATTTGTGAAGGACGGTATGTCAACATCGCTGTATCACCAATCTGCCACCACTAAATGCCTTCAAACTTCCCTAACATTCTTACAGCCTCACCTGGGAAGATCTCAAGAGAAAATCGTGGGGTAACAAGATGAAAGTTCTCCATGCATCGGTCGAGGCTCAGCTGCACTGGTGTACAAACGAATCGCAAGAGGACACCCAAGAATTGGAGCAGGCTCATTTTCCTATGCTTAGGTATATCTTCCACCGGGCGAGCGTAGTCTCAGCTGCATCGGGGGGTGACCTGATCAGGGGAGATGAGGCAATGGCATATCAGACCGACTTGGTGATTCTTCGATAAGCCGCGGAGCCAATTAATGTGTCATATATCTATACTTATCATATACAAGGCTCGAGTCACTTACCACGTTTGTGGGCCAGTTATTCAAACACATAGTCTCACGATCACACTCGAGGCTCAGTCAAACCTTTGATATTTCTGATTGCGTCTTCAAGGTATCCGGCTGAAATGAGCCAGACAGTGGTGTCGTGAATGAATATCGCTGGCACGGAAGCCAAGTCGCTCTGCCGATTGCCTCTCATCGTCCCGCAAGAGGTCTGCTGTGTACTTGAGCCTCTTTTGAGGCTCTTCCGGACGTCATGATGCCAGCAGGGTGCTTCTCCAACAGCCCTGCCAAAGCTTATAATCCAGCTACAAGTTACATTGCTACCATGGCTTCTACTTTGTTACAACATAGGAAAGCACCACCTGTCACCGCCAGGGCTGGCAAGGTTGACCATGGCAGATGACGTAGATCAACAAAGACATATGAACAGCATTACTGTGATGTAAGAAGTCGTTGGCCGAAAGTGTCTGGACGCCCTAACAAAGACGAGTGAACAGTAAACCTCCATCTGTATATATAGCCTACTCTCGCCCTCAATTTCCATAGTCGTTGGCTTCATCTTATTCGCGTGACCAAAATGGAGTCATCGGACAGTGGCAATATCGTTGGCCAACACAACAACCCGCTCTCAGCCTTGGACGCGACGAGCCCTGAGACTCCTGCTAAGGCAGAAAACCTCTTGTATGACTTGACATTTTACACAATCGCTGCCTTTAGAGAAATAGACACCTCATTTGGCGACAGTTCCACCCTAGTGACTAGTCTCAAAGATAGTCACCAGAGACTTGAAGAATGTAAAGCCCCGTGGAGGTTTTCAGGGTGGACCACAGAAACCGAGAGCACTGCCGAATCTGCCGAATGGGAACGTGCAAAGATCAAGATCTTGAGCAGTATCGGCACGACTCTTGTTTCGCGTAAGTCAGCAACTCCCCGTGCAATTTAGACGGAAACATGGTTAATCGTCTTACTTTATGCACAGCGGAATTGGCTCGATTCGTTTGGAAAGGTAATCAACCTTCAACCCAAACCCTAAAGGTCATCGAGACCCTGCGTCAATTGATCCAGGAGGCAAAAGCCGCCAACGGAACTGCGCCTTCACCCGCTAGTTCCTCTGAGAACAGCAGTGAAGACTCCAGTGATTTCGTGGCAGACCTGGTGGCAGACACAATCTCCTTGAAGGAGAACCAAGATGCAGAATACTCCAGCCCCGAAAAAGACATTCGTTTCTTGAGGGCGTATCGAAAGATCTATGAAGGAGACTCACCATCAGACTATGCTCTCATTTCCATGTCACCTATCTACTACTAAGGTACCTCGCCTGCTTTACCTCAACTGACGTGCTTTCAAACAGCAAAATAATTCAAGAGTATACGTTACGGCGTATATTTGATCAATCGAACAAAATGTCTGATGCGTTCGCTGCGTCTGATCTACATCTCGGCCCCAATCCCGGCGTGAAGCACTCCATGGAGGAAATATATGAATTGAGGCTACCGTACCTCAAAAGATTTCTCAACTTATCTGAAGAAGACTGGGAAAAGGCAGCGAATTGGAGAGCAAGCGCATGAACTCAGCATATTTCTCGACTTGCCTCTTGTACGGCCTCATCCACGTCATGACGACAGCGGGGTATCTCCCGACGACCCCGCCAAACCTCGCACATCAACAGAGAATCTCACTTCTGCCTCGCTCAAACATAATTATCAATGAGAGAAAAATATTGCTTTTCGTTAAGATAGTATCATTGAATAGCTTCAATAAATAAAATATCCATAAGTTTCATTCTGCTGTGAAGGCTGACGCGACTCACCATGTGGCCCAATGATGAATCATAGACCAAAAAAACCACCTAACCTCAAAAAACCTCACACGACATTCCTCACCTCTCAACTTCACTCATAAAACAAACCTACCTCATCCCCGTCCGTCGCCCATTCATCACAATCCATCACAGCCCATAAACTCATGACCATCCGAACCCTCTCAACCCGCCGCATATCCCAACTAACCCACCACCTCCAATCCCCAACTTCACCATCACGCTCAGCTTCACCCAGCTCATCGCGCACCATGTCCTCCTCCCCATCAACAGCAAAAGCCTCACCAGGCCCAGCGCCCTGGCGCGCCCCCTTCCTCAAAAACGTAAACGAAATGGCCTCACCAGAATTCAACCTCGCAACAATCCACACCTCATCCTCATCCTCTGCCTCATCCTCCCTCACCCCCCGCCTCCGCACCGTAATCTTCCGCGGCCTCTGGGCCTCCCTCCCAGTCAACCCAAAAAACACAGCAGACCTCAACCCGCCCCTCTACGAATCCGACCTCCTGACCCTAACAACCGACGCCCGCATGGCAAAAGTGCCCGACTTCCTAAACCCCAACGGAGAAAAAGACGACGTCAAAAAATCAGGCGGCGGCGGCCCCGTAGAAGCGTGCTTCTGGACCGACGCAAAAGTCCAATGGCGCGTCCGCGGCGAAGCCTTCCTCCTCGGCCCGGACATCGACTCCTCCTCCTCCTCCTCCAAAGCGCTCCGCGAGCACCTCCTAGCCCGCATGCGCACCGTGACGCCGGCAGACGCCAAACGCCGCCGGGAGGAAGACATCCCCTCCGGCAAAACCGTCATCGGCTCCTCGGAACAGGACTGGTCCTTCGCCCGCGAAGTCACGGCGCACTTTGGCAACTTGTCGCCCATGATGCGCGGCACGTTCCGGAACCCGGTGCCGGGGACGTCCCGCGCCGCGAACCCGCCCTCGGACACGCTGAAGCTGGGGCAAAAGGTCGAGGACCTGGACGACGAGGTCGCGAGGGAGAATTTCCGGGTCGTGGTGATTGTGCCGACCGAGGTGGATCAGACGGACCTGAGCGCCTCGGAGGACCCGAGACGGTACCTGTACCGGTTCGTCGGGGCCGAGGCCGAGGGGGAGGAGACGGAGGGTGGTGCGGAGAGGGTGAATGGGTGGGAGAAGATTGAGCTGTGGCCGTAGAGGAGAGGTCTCGGTGACCCATGATTGGAATAGATCCGTCTACTACTCCGTATGCACGGTAGATTCAAGACATCACTGGCTATAGACTTTGCGTCGCAACCTCATCCAAGGAATATCATCATTCTGAGCCCATGTCACGCGCGCCTTCACATCATGATCGTACAATTGTTTGCGCCTCAAAACGTGGAAGATGTGCCAACGAAGCGCTAGCCTCAAGCAGCAGACCGAAAGTCCGAACCCCCCAGGTCTTCGTGCCTACCGAAAACACTCTCAAAACTTGGTCAGACTCGTCACAAAAAATGTAGATGGCTGACTACCAAGTACTAGTAGGTACCATGTTGCATGTTGCATGTCGCATGTCGAGGGGGGAAAAAGTCAAGCTACCAGGCCGAGCCGTGCCGTGCTTACACCCCCTCTTCAAAGGTTCACCGGTCGATCAGAAAAAAAAAAAAAAAGAGAGACCGGACACATCATCCACATTGCGACTCCTCGCCCGAAGCAGGCCTTGTTCCCTTTGCTGGCGCTGTTGGAACAGGGGTGTGAGGGAGAAAGAGACTCTGAACGAGTGTTCCAACACCCAAGTCTCCGTAAGTAAGCTGGGCAAGGAGTGGTACTCAGCGGGCCCCAATGGCCGGCTCCCTTTTTAGGAAAATGGTACGTCCGATGGGATCTGCATGGCTGCGCGGGATGGGAGATGTTCTCACGCATGTGAGAGGAAGGAGAGAAAGCAAAGTTCCCCATGAAGTCCGAGTTGGCGAATTGGGATCCTTGCGGATAGGGCCTTGTTGTTGCAACGTGTTGTGACCTGTAACTTATCGAGGCCTCTTGGTCAAAAGCGTCGGCTGCCGGCGTACGGAGTAACCATCACTACTACACAGTAGTTATGCATGCATGTTTCCACGATACGATACAGCCGCTGCTGGACGCGCGGGCTTGCGTGATCGCGATGCGGCGCGTACGTACCAAGTATGGGAACAATTTTCCGAACTATGGATGAAGAAAGGTGCCGAACGACGCGGGCATTGCTGCTTCCCGTCCGCGTCGGAAGCTTAGGTTCAATCTTAGTTTTTGGTCTTTACTCTTCGTCAACGCGGCCTCTGGAAGGTCGGATACGGTCGGGTCGGTAGTTTGTATCCACAGCAATTCTGACCCGGTGGGGGGAGAGGAGAAACTCCAGAGGGAGAAAAAGGGTAAATTGAGTGAGGGCGAGCAATATCGACAAAGAATCGTCTCGAAGACGGCCGCTCATGGATAGCCCTGCCACAAACCACATGGCACTTCCGATCAGAACAGCCAAGCTCGTACTCCAACTATTTGCAAGTCAGCCGATCCCAGGCGAGCTTCAGAGGATAGAGTAGCGACTTTACGGGGTTGAAACGAGATGAAGAACACTTGTTGACGGTTGACCACGTCTGTTCTTCCCCCCATCCACCAAGCTTGTTCCGTTGCTCGTTGCTACTGTAACGAAATCGACGGGTTTGGCATCCCGAATAGGGCGATCGCACCGATGAGCGGATGAACATCCCCAGTTCGAATGGAAGCTCTGAGTGGGCGGACGCTAGCAGACGGTAACCACCAACCCCTCGAGAGCAAGGGAAAAAAAAAACATCAAATCGTATGTAAAGCCACAACTTCCCAGCCTGTCTCCGTCGCTAGTCAGTCAATTCCACATGGCAGCCATGATAGCTCTAAACCACAAAGGAGAGCGCTCCCCACTCCGGATCTGGCAGCGCTGCTTCCGCGAATACTTGGCGGGCGGGCGGCCATCTTTTGGCGCGTAGCGTGATTACAGGGAGAAAGAAGTTGAACAGGAGGTTAGGCGAAGGAAGAGAGCAGGGGCATCTTTCTCTCTCTTTCTCTTGCTCTCACTCACTCACTGTCCAGACCCCAGCAGCCTGCTTTCTTCTTGTTCCGGCGGGTCATTCGGGACACGAGACACGAGACTCGAGGAAGGGCAGCAGATATCAGGCCATCCCCACGAAGAGGATATGCAGCCCCATGTGCGATGACAAGATGCATACTTTGTCTGTACTTCGTACTTCGAGGATATGCCCCGTTCGGTCCAGGGCCCCTTCTCTTCTTCGTGAATCGCAACGGCAACGGCGTGTTCAACAATTCGCCGTTTTTTACCTTGCGTTAGAGGCAATACAGCATGTTGTTTGAACGCGTGGGTATGTCAGGGCATAAATGCAGCATCCGTCTTTAGTTCGAGCTGCAGCTAGCGATCGGTATCCCCTGCGTGCTGTCGGTGACTCGGTGCCAACTGCCACTAGACGGTTCCGTCCTGAGTATGTGATTGATGGGCGTTGGCGGAAGCGCGCGGAGTTTCTTGCAACATCGTGTGCGCGCACTGCGCGAACAATACGGGCCCTGTTCTGACTCTGGATTCGTCAATGGCCAGGGTTCCCAAACTCTAAACCGCGCGACGGGGCCAAGTTGTTTTCGTAAAGACGACGTAGCTCACTGAGCTCTCAGCTCATCAATCACTGCGGAAGCTCCCCGCGCGCTTCATCAGTTGTCTCTCTCCCACGTGCGTGTGAGGCTGTTGACGGCGCCGGATGCAAAAGGAGGCGGCGTTCCATCAGCGGTCGGCCACCGATCATCTCCGCATCGTACAAGCCGATAGCCCCCCAACGAAAGACGATCCGGCACATGCATTGCTCGCCTAACCGCCGAGGCAGCATCACGAGATCAGGTGCCATGAATCAATGGAGCTCGCTTGTGTTGATTCGTTGTTTCCTACTCCAGCGTGTCCCGTTCTTTGTCGACACACGACAGCTCGTAGGCTGCCAACCGATTCTATTGAGGATCCGCCCTGTTGCAGGCCCTTCTCCCTCCCGAAATATCTGTATCGCACCTCTCAAGGGGATGTTGCCACTCATGTAAGCGGGGCAGCTAGAGAGCTGTTGCTGTGGATGGGTGGCCCCTGGGAGGTTTGCATGCAGATGAGAGATGATTTCGTAGCCACACTGTGAAGAGAACTTCAGATCGATCAGAGCTTCAAAGTGGCCTCTGCCCCGTCATAACGAGCTTGCGAGTAAAAGCCTACCTAGTTAGGAGTAAAACAGCGCTCGTGCGTCGTCCTCAGACACTTTAATTTGTCGACGCTGCAATTCGGCCAAGGTTCCTCCTGGATTATCTCGAACACGTACGCGTAGTCGCTTCGTCCCGCGGATCGATTTGAGGACCGAGTGCTATCCAGAACGAGTTCTGAAGAAGGAGCAGAGTTACTTACTGCAGGTTAGCCAAACGAAGAAGGAAATGCTTTTTCCTACTGCTAAAGGTTATGTGCTTCGGCACATATGTTGCTTGCTCAGTGCAATGAGCCCTGTTACATTTGCAAGTCAGTCCCAACACAGATGGAGGTAGCATGCCGCAATGCGCGTGTTATAAGGCTATGAGCAACAACATGCAGTGTCAAACGTCAGATTAATGACTTTCCTGATACGCACAGCCACTCTTGCCCACCTGTGCGAGTGGAATCGAATCTCTCTCGGATCGGACATGGCGCCGCATCGAACTCGGAGAAACCTGCCGCTCGTCATGGGATATCGCAAACCGCGCAGCGGCCAATATGCATGTCGCCGTTCTCTGAACAAACTCGGGTGTGTGGGTGCTGGCGGCGTCTTTGTATGGCTGAAGATGCTTCACCGTGATTTTCGGGTCTGGTACCCCGTCCTCACCCTGTCGCCCTGCCGATGAGCTGCACTGCGTATTCAATTCGTGAACTCCCAACATGAACAAGGGCACCGCTGCCCTGTCCTGCTTGCCGCAACATGGGACCGAGTTTGCAAGAGGAGCTCCACCAGAGCACATCTTCTCCAAGCAGTTTCCGCCCGCTATGCTCGCGGCCGCGATGATACCGGAAGACTTGGCCGACTTGAACTGGCATCATAAACCCTCAGCTGCCCGCCCAGAGAGCTTGCCGCCACCGAATAAGGGGTCAGCGTTTGAGGGGTCAACTCAATGGCGCTGACGCTTTCATGGAAACACAAGGCTCATGAACGCTATATCGTTGGCAACCTGCAGAGTTCATGACGACTTATAGGCTATACCTACCTTTACCTCGTAGCAATCGGAGAAATCGCTGTACGAGCTGATTTGATCAGGGTGAACTGGTGCATCTTGAGAGAGCGGGGGTCTCCCTGGCACCAGTATGGACTGTTTCGCGGGCACTTCTACTAATCGTCTCAATGAGTTGCCTGACTTTACCCCGGTTGCTCCGGGCGGAGGGAGCCGGGCAGCTCGTTCGTTACAATTGACAGGCTGTCTGTCTCGTTGTGTTCTCATTTGACCGTTTCTAGTTAGACGGTCCGATTGGAGACTGACTGGGCTTCTGCTGCGCCAGAACATCAGTTGGCTGTAACCAACAAGTCTGCGGGGTAATAATGTGTTCAGCAGAGTTGACTGATGCGCTCACCGAGTATCACCACACTGGCTAGACACACCCTATAGAGGGTTGTGTGTAGGCACAGATACAGATCGGTACATCCATCCTAGTCCCTTTTCTCAGACCCTTCGTTGACAAACCCCGTGTAAGCCCGGACAAGGTAGAATTATCAGATAGGTAGCCGGGCGATTGTGGCTTGTGTAGTGAACCCTCATCTACGAGTACGCGTGAACAAGCTCTAAACCGTTGACAAGGTCAGTGCCGCCAGCCACCTGCGTTCACTCTGCCTCGCACACTGTGGAGGGTATTCGACTTAGATATCCGCAGTGCGCAGGCAACCGGCCTTGACGGACATTGGCATTGTCAGCCAAAAACACCTGCGATCCATCTTATGTACTTTGTAGGCATCTTTGAGTGAGAGCCCATATCGGGTGGCGTAGGATGCGCAGGGGCCGAGAGCCAGAAGCGAAAAGACACAGAACCAGTTGCTGGCGGTCTGGCAAAACCGCCAACGCATCAAAATAAAACCAACTGGATGAATGATGGGTCAGAAGGTTGGGACTAGAGGCGGGCAGGCCGCTTGATCTGCAGCGGCATGCATGAGCAAGCGAGAGAACAAGGAGGCCGCAAGAGAGGATCGCACGCTGCAGGCATCGAGTGGATGGACAGGTGTCCGTTGTATGCATGAGATGCAGAGACAGCGTCGTCTCCCCGCTTTGGTTGATGACCGAGGGAGGCTGCGCCGGCCTTGTCCATTGGAAGTCTGAGGCCCGGCTACTGGCGTGGATGCGGTTCTCACCAACGAGAGCATCGAAGACGTGTGTGATTAGTGATGGAGAAAATTCTCCTTTGAGGCTCTAAGCGTCATTCCCGGTGATTGTTATCAGCGGCGATGGATGATTCGACTTGGAGTTGAATGTGCCACTGGAAGAAAGTGCCGTCGCGTCCTTATCCAACTGCCACCAGCATTGGGGACTGGACCCTGGACCTTTGCCTACCAATTGTTGCTGTTAATAACTCAAGGCACAAGCCAGACTTGGACAGTTCTGCAGTGCAAGGTCACAAGCGGCGGACAAGGTTCGAGCTGCGATATTGAACTCTCCGGGCGTCTCCTTCTTTGCCTCGCAATAGTGGCAATGTGAGCTATTAGTACGAATAAAGTCGGTTAATCTCCCTAGGCGGTGGGTGGGTTTCGAAATTGAAGCCGTTGACCAGCTGCTAACGGCCAGAATGAGCGTCTGAACAATGGCACGAATACCTACGGAGTCGAGAAGGAATAGGGCTAGCTAGTAGTGGCGATCGACGGGGGCCCGTTGCTTTGAGATGTTTCATCCTTGCTTGTCTCCGCTAAATGATTTGTTCGAGAAGGCCTGGAAGACACTGTATTTGGTCCCCTATCCGTACACTTTGTGGCTGTGGGTAACTTGGGCGGTCGAGCGACTTGCTGCCAGGGAGGGAGGAAAAGAACAAGAGGGTTGCAGCAGACAGTGATTTTCGAAACCGCTTGGAGGATCCAGAGGTTGAGCGACGAGGAGTTCCCAGACGTATAGTGTGCTTGGTTTGGTTTCCAAGCATAGCCAGCAGCTGAGCAGGACTGATGGCCCATATGGTGTGATCCATGCCCTTAGCATCAACTCTTCTCGCCTTTTGGCCCTTTCGGGCCTGCTTTCATAGGCGGTTTTGTGTTGTCGTATCCGTAGTCGCCGATCTCCTCGGCCGGCAGCCGACACGGTAGCTCGCATTGTCCGGCAGGCGGTATTCTTCCCGTGATAGACAGTTGAAATGGCACGGCCGCCCGAGAGTTTTGCAGTTTTGCAATTCAACAGCGCCGATCGTACGCCAGCCAGTCGCAGGCTCTGATGCTAGGTTGTATTTAATTCCTTATTATTGGCGCTGTTAATAAGACCTCAAGCACGGACATGGCAAGGGCGGTCGATTGCCCACTGGCGCCGTGCAAAGTTAACGGCGGAGACGGCACCGTATGTCGGAGCCACGTCCGATGTGAGAAACTTAGAATTTGTATGTAGGCTGGGGCGGTGACGGCTGCTGCCCAAGAAGGTTTGGTCAATGTGCCGAATTCGTATCGTGATAGGGCTAAGAAGGCACCGCTAGGTGAAAACGCATTAGGAGCAAAAGAAGATTGACGACTCGTCATTTTCTAATGAGACTAGGTCTCGGGGTAGACCACTAGTATGTCTCTGATTAGCGCTGCTTGGGTATGTCGGGCATCCATCATTCCAATCGAGAAACACGAAGAGGAGCCCTGAGGCTTTTGTGAAGGATGCTTGAGCCCCGAGCAGCAAGGCAAGGCAAGGCAAGGATGTCATGTGCCAGAGCCGGTGCCTTTGTGTTATCTCCAGAGAGGGCTGATGGCGTTGCCCTCCTCATTAAGAAAGGCTGCGACTCGGCGGGGGATCAGGACGCGGACTCTGGGCGTCTGGTGTAGGTAGTGCAAGCAACGGCCGTAAACCTTCTCGACGTCGGGGGCGTTGCATGGTAAGTATCGTGTGGGTGACGGCCGGGTGGTCAGTCAGGTACATAGCGGCCGGAGGAGGCGCTTTTCTGACTCTGCCACTTCCGTGCCGCACTTTGCATGTTGCCGCAAGACGGTGCAGCTGCATGTCAGTGCTAGGCCGCCGGGGCTTGGCCATCCGTGGCCGTACACCAACGCCTCGATCGAAATCGGAAAGGATGAGATAAGGTCAAGTACGTAACGTTGTGTCAGCCAGTCTGTGGAGAGCCGCTGTGTGATGTGAGGAGAAGTGTCCATTCACACCGTTCGCAACAAGCAATTGAGAGCTGGATTTCTTGCTGGGATTTTGGTCAATCGATGGCTGCACTGAGAACGATTCATCGCTGTGGCCAATGTGCAGTTCATCCGCGCCGGTGACAGATTGATTTCAGCTCCATGTTGCAAAAGCCTCTGGTGGTCTCGTATGTAGAGAAATATTCTGGCTTCTGCCAACGGTGTAATTGACCGTGCCTACTCCGTAGTTGGACTTTGGATAGACTTGTTTTGTGCGGGTGTGCGTACTTTAAGCCCCACTGTCATAGGTAGTCCCTGGCGGCGAGACATTGGATTGAATGTCGACCGTTGAGACCGCCGCCTCACAAACCGCCCTCAATAATACTCCATATTACAGGCAGCGTACTCCGTACATAGAGAAAAGTTGGCTGGGGTTGGGATCTGCAGCTATTGTGTTCGCGAATACGTTCCATGCGAAGTGCCAGCGTGCGTGCCCCTCACTTCTGCCGCGTTGAAGCCATGTGGTTCGGATAGAGCAAGCGATGCAGAACACCACACCAAAGTGAGATTCTCGCAGGACCACGTTCTGTTCCTGAAGCAATGGCGGCCAGTCATTGAACGATAGCTCAACACGTCCTCAGTGATGGCGGCTGGTTTTCGCAGTGAGGGCGCAGTAAGTGGGAGGAGGCAGTGAAGCAGATGTTGCTTTGAATCGACATTCTCGACTTCAAGGATTCGACTTGGAGGGTTGAAGGCTACGCAGTAGTGTAGTACAGTAGTGTACTGGGTAAGGGCCAGTGAGTGGCGGCAGGCCCCGTCAGAAAAGCAAAGCTCAAGATCTTCGCGCGGCGTGCGGCGTGCGGCCTGCAGGTGGATGGAGTCGCTAGTATTCGTAGTGCCATGTACTATGGAGACGAGGCGGGCTTCAAAAGACGATGAGCCGCCATTCCCCGTGTTAAGTCGCCGTCCGTCCAGTATCCGCTGTCAGACATGGAGAAGGAGATGGGCATGGATGTCTGGGGTGCTGTTTTTTTTTTCTCGTTGTGACCGAGGATGGAGATTTCCGATTCTCCCTTGCATGTGTGGACAGTGTGGTTGACTGAGTGCGTTCGAAACGATCATCAGATCAAGCGTGAAGCGTCCATCAAGCGCAGACGGGAGTACGAAATGTCAGAGTTGAGAGATTAGAAGGTACATCCGAACTCCGGCACCCGTCTTTTCGAAGCCGAAGCCGAAGCCCTTCAACTTTGAAGGTCGTATTGTAATCCGATTATTCGAAAGCGAGGCAAAGAGAAGGGTGGACGTTGACGTTGACGAATCCAATGACACGAGATGAAGATGGAATACTCCGTACGCATACGTACCTTGCCTTACGCCGTTCGTGGGTACGTACTGCAGGATACTCCGTGTCCGTTCCTTCCATCTTGATTTTGAGATGCTGAGGCAGGTGGTGGGTGTGACCTGGAGGTGAGGTGTTTCCGTTCTGCGGTACGGAGTACAGACACACAAAAGTACGTACCGTCCGGTTCTTTCCCCAAGTTGTGTGCTTCTTTCCTTCTATCCATCCTTCCACCATTCCTTCCCTTCCCGTCCGCTGTCCCCTTCCCATTTTCATCATCCTCTATCCATGGCTCCTTCTTCCTCACAGTGACAACAGTACCCCCGTGAGGTCCCCCTGTCTTCCATTTTGCGGAAAGAAGGTAGGTATACATATGAGGATGGATACGTACCGCTGCTATGCTGAGACCACGCCCCCGGTGTGGAGTCTCCGTGTGTCCCCTTGGCCCTTGCCCGGCCTGCCACCTCCTCACTCGCTCTCTCCCGTCTCCAGTCTCCAGCCCGATGCGATGCAGCGTGGTCTTTCCTTGCCCTCGTCCATCCCTTCTCCTCATCCACCCCCTCCCCCCCTGCTCTCTAACGATGGGACTCCACGTTGGCAGTACGTACCTCAAGACTCTGGTTCCATCTCAGGTTCTCTCCTCTCCTTCTCCTCTCCTGCTTTTTCGCACTGGCTGCATTTGCTTTGCATCCTCTCTGCATCGCTCTCGCATACTCCGTACACACACCTACTAAACACACGCATACTGGCACACATAACAAGTACTGTATACACAACATACACACAGCGACCACAGAGAGAAACAGACGAATAACCGTACCTCTCTATTTGACGGCTGCCTTCTCTACCGCTCTTTCTCTCCCCTCTCCAATCTCCTCCTGAGCTGTTGAACAAAGTCCCTGGGTTCCCCCGTTTCCCGCCCTGCCACCCCACCATCCTTCATTCACATCGCACAACTCGGGGTTCCCTCTCTTCCTCATAATTGATGCTCCCTCTTCCATCGTGTCTCGTCTTTCTCTGTTCTTTGTGCATCATAACGTAGCCGTTGGTTGCCCCCCTCTCCACCATCTTCCGAAGCATCCTCCGAAGCAGATACACATCTGTGCCTCTGTCTTCTTGCAGAATCATCCATCTGCCTATATCCGTACACCTCGCCACAAACCTCCATACGGCACAACATCCGCGCCATACCTCACAGATACACGGTAGTCTTTGTTTGAGACCCTCGATCCAGCCGTTGAGATCGAAAACACTACAAGTCTTCCCCCCTGCCGACTTTCCCCCCTCAGACTCCAGAGTAGCATCAAGCCGCCTCACCTCGACAAACAAGCCGCCGCCGAAATTCTCCTCTTCACCTTTCCCTCCCAGCGCTAGCGGCTTCTGTTAGTGCCCTTGAGTCCTTGACCCCCAACCTGGACGCCAAGCATACGAAGGCATAGAAACGGTACATCCATCCACTTGGCCGCATTTCACACATGAGCGACACCGACCTAACTCTCTTCTGATCCTCGTAGGCTTGTAGTACGGATATCCATACCTTAGCCTCTGTCTCCCCCCCAAAACTATCTTCCTTACCCACGCTTATTACCTGCCTATCCATCCACCGATCCATCATCCTTCATCATCCACATACCTTACTTTACATCTCACCTACCCTTTTCCACGTCCACATTTCCCATCAATCCGAGGCTTGGACACTTCCCGTGCAGATCTCGCCTCTGCTTCTAGTTGCCGATCACACTCGTCCAATTACGGCTCCTTTTCTACCGACGCCTTTAGCACAGCATTCCTCACCACCTATTTTACTGTCTGTCGCTTTCTGCCCGACTCACTTTTGCTACGTCTTTGCCGGCACGAGACCGCCGCTAGCCTCGATTCTGATTGCCGCCCAAGTCCAAGCGCAAGGCTTCTTTTTTACCCTTTGCTCTAGCATCGCCTGCTGTAGGAATCATCGACTATTGAGCATCTACCGACCCAGAGACTGTCGCACCAGCACACTCGCGCGAGAGACGCATCTCTAGATACGCCGACGCTTGCTAGCGGACCATGCTTCACCCATAATCGCGTCGATCTCTTCCTCTCTTCCCACCTTTCCCTGTCGACGACTCTGCAACGCCGATCATCGCCCCAGAATCCACCAAAGAATCCCCTCAAAACCTGCTTCATTCGCTGCTACGTTCCATTGCTGGACAGCATCCCGATTCAAACCTGCCACACTTTCTACAACTAGACGTTGAGGGTCCCCAAACACTCAACGCCTAGTACTCGCTGTAGCAATCACGGCTAGCTCACGAAAGAACGAAGACCAAGACTTGGTCATGGACGCCCTCAAGAACATCGCCAACAATGTCCCCGATTGGCTCAATCGTCTCGACGAGCTCGGGGACCAAATAGACCAACGTCAAGTTGAGCTCGCTGCCCTTGGTGCAGACAGCTCGTCGCGATCAATCAAGAACCGCGGCTCAACCGAATCACTCAAGCCAAAGGACGAACCCGCCAATGCTATCCCCCCAACAGACGACGAACTGAATGCCGAGAAGGCCGACGCTCAACGACCCACTGGCACCAAGACGCCTCCCCAAGACGAACCGAAGAGCAACGATCAACCTTCTAGCCCAAGCAGCGGCACGCCGTCTGCCCTCAAGAAACAAACCGAGCAAGCAATGGCCCTGGCACAAGCTCGAGCTCGTGCTGTAGTAGAGAAGAGGCCCCGACCGAATTCCGTCCTTTCAGTCGAGGAAGGCGCGCCGATCAAGTACCGATCACGAAAGCTGGTCATGGTCTACTACGACAGCTACGTGCAGCTCTTTTTTGAAGAGCTAGTCAAATTTGTGTCAGCTAGCCGCAACCTGATGCGGAAGGCCAAGATGGCAGCAAAGGTGGCACAGATTCGTCGCTTGGCAGAACAAGAACTACCCGAAGACGAAGACGGCGATAAGGCTGGCGATCTCCAGCCAGATACCAATACCAGTGCCTCCGACGCGCTGCCGTCCCTGCGGTACATGAGCACAAGGCGGATGGGACCCGGCGGTCGGAGGGGTCCTTCATTTATGAGAGCCGGACAGGCCGGCGGTGGTGGAGCAATGATGGGTGATGGGGCCCCGGATGCCTACGACGAGCTGGACAAGTGTCTTGAATACGTGCAAAATCAGTGCGAGCACGCGGCACACCAGTTCCTGCGTGATGGAGAGTGTTCAGAAGAAGTTGGCAATATTCAGCGTCGGTTGGCGGAGACAAAGGAGCTAGCCCTGAAGGAGATGGAGCGAGTCCAGAAAGAAGAGCCCGAGCTGCTGAAGGCGGCCAGCGAGGCGAACAAGGTGCGGACTCTTCGACCAACGAGCATGCGGCGGGAGCTCACGGCCGCCAAGGACAGCAACCCACCCATCACACCTAGGAAGCTCGAGGTTGATGCAAAAATTGAGGCCGATACCAAGACTCCAGTTGCCAAGACGATCGAGGTGGACATGTCGAAGCCACTTGAGGCAGACGATGGGCCGATTGAGGCCGACAACGACGAGGGCATTGACGACATGGAAATCACCCTGCCGCCTCGGCTGAACTATCGATCTACGAGGGCGATGCGTGGCTAGACGCCATCATCGGATATTGCAATCCATTTACAAAAGGCATATTTCTTTTTCTTTATTTTAATGAATGAAACGGCCTCACCTGGGGATGAGAGGAGCATTGACTGGGGACCAACGAGAACCAAAACGGGGGGGGGGGGGGGAGGTGGTTGGTAGGCACGTGGACAGAAGAGGGTCAAAAGATTTGCCGCCGATGATATCAAAAAACAACATGCATAGCATAGCGTCTGCTTCTTCACCATCGCTCGAATTGCATAGGAGATTGCTTGCGTCGTACATATTTGCACTGAGGAGGAATCTTTCTGGAAAGAGAAAGAGACGGTGAGAGAATTGGGTTTACTGTGAAGCACAAGGCGAGGGAATTGCATTTTATTTTACTGTCTTTAATAGTACGGAGAAGAAGGCCGGCCTTGAGTCAACCGTCTCGGGTACAGCAGCAAGGTCTCTGGTTGATCTGCCGAGTCAATCGAAAGGTTTTCTTGCATCATGATTATTTCTGCTTGTCGAGTCTGCGCCCTGTATGCCAGTCTGGTGATGTATTATTCTACACCCTACGGAGCAGAGCGAGTGCGTATTCGTCATTTATACGTGAAAGGCACTCCTAGTATACCTCATCCCATCTCACCGTTCTCTCGTCCCTTCTCGAGACGATTCTGCCTCAATGGTACAGCAAGTAATTGAGGCGGGCGGATAACCTCTCATTCACACGACTGTAGCCAAGTCTTTATGTCATTTCCCTTCTCAACAAACTATGTTTCTTGCCTAAACGTTTTCCTCGTGGCGGCCACGAGGATTCCGGCGCCCTTGATCCCGCCGTCATGGCAAGGGCTAAGAACGATTCTCACCGGCAGAGGCGACTGTGATTCTGGTCCGCCCGCAGAGTATTCTAGCTTTACGATCTTGTCTAAAAAGTCTTGCGTGTCGGCGAGGTAATCTTGGAAATGGGAGATGCAGCCACCCGTGTAACCGACGCCTAGCTCCATACTAGGAGGGATGCCTTGCTTCCGCTGGTGGTGGGGGTGCCCGTGTTGGTGGTTTTCGTCTTGATGATGATGGTGGTGACCCTTTGGGACAGGAGGTGGGACGTCTTCTGCGAGTTTCAAGAGGGCGAAGGTGGCGGCTGCGACGATGCCTGCGGCACGGATCTCTATTGCTTTGGCGATGTGGTAGAGGGCCGCTGCGATTGTTTGCGTCCATTGGAAAGGGGGTGATGGTCCCGTTCCTGCTTCTACTTCTCCTACTGGGAACTGCTTTTCCAGCATTGACAGTAGAGGGGACGGGTCGGAAGGATTGTCATCGGCAGGTTTAAAATGGCTCAAGAACGTCGTCGTCAGCGCGTACCTCGTGAGCAAGCCTTCTGGCAATGAGGATTCGTCGAAGCCAAGAACGGTACGGAGGTAGTCGACTAGAACGAGGCGACCCAGCTCGCCGAGATAGCGGCCGGCCGTCATGTACTCCAGGGGCTGGAAGCCAGCAATCTCACCTGGCCCGACGAGGGCATCGTCAAGGGCTGTGTCCCATGCTGTGATGAAGCCCAGTTCACGTAGGGGTGGAGCCGTACCGCGGATACTCCATTCTGTGTTCACGGCGATACGGATGTGGCCGGCGGGTTCGCCGGGAAGGGTGCTCACAGCTTCGGGCCATTTTCCGGGGCCCAGGGCGGTGAGAGGGAGGGAAATGGTGGCGTTGCAGCCTGTACCGACAATGAGGCCCATGCTTGCCTTTTTGATAATGAGGGGCGGTGACTTGGATTCAGACTTTGATTTTGTCTTGGGGTTCGACTTGAAGTCGTCAAAGAGATAGATGAAGGTGATTAGTGTTGAGACGGAATCGTTTGATATGGCGGCGGCGTGGATGGGGGGCAGAGGGCTACTATGGATTCCGTTGGATTGGGCATTGCGAGCTTTGTCGTAGCCCCTGATGAGCAAAGGACCTAGTGTAGCGTAGCCTTTTATACTGAAGCCTTTTCCCATTGTCATGATTTGTGCTTCGGCGATAGAACGCTGGATCATGGGGAAGCTGAATGTGATACCCATGGGAATGGACTCCTCATCATCGGGCAGTAGGGACTCCTTGCGGGCATTGCGGACGACGGATGCAATGCGGGCGCCAATCCAGTCGAAGAGGAGCTGGGGATCCCCTTTGGCATCTGCTTTGACGCGATCGTCTATGGGCCATGCTTCCTCTCTGAGTTTGAGGGTTGATGAGGATGAGGTTCCATTGGGCTTGGCCGAGGATGAGGTTGTCTTGTTGGTGTCTGTGGAGTATTTGCGCCCCAGCTCGACGAGGCCTACCCTCAGATTCGTTCCGCCGCTGACGTGGAGGTTAGTCATTTGATTCATTCTTTAGAGAAGCCTTGCAACATGGCGAGATGCGCATTGCGGCAGACAGTTGGAAGAGCTTGGTTGGGGAGGGCGCTGGCGACATACATGTCAATGGCCAGGTGTCTACATTGCGTCGTTAGCTTCAGTATCAAACATGGCAATCCGCACACCGATTTCATCACAACTTTCCACTACTCCGGGTGATTTGAAAGAGTACTTTAAAAGAGATGACTGGCATCTCAGGAAGCCGGGTGGAGTCGAGAAAGAATCGAGGGGTTAAAGAAGGGAACCATCATACCTTCCACGACCTTCTTGGCTGACATGTCGTAAGATGGACTCTGAGATGGGCGTGGAGAGGAACTGATCCTGGGCGTGAAGAGCAAGGTCTTTGAAATTGGACAAGAAAAGGCTGGACAGTGTATGAATCTTGTGGGCATCGACCTGGAGGGGCTGCAGGAAGTGCTGCAGGGTAGAGCCGGGATCCATGTCGTTTGTGCTCAGGCGCGGGGGTTGGTGGTGAGGCGTGAGTGAGGCGCGAGGCGACGAGGCGATGAGGCTGTTTCCTACGTTTCTATGTTTGTATAATGATCTGTAGCTTTGTCTACTGTGTATGTCACTCTGCTACCCTTGCTGTGCTTCGCCGGGTCCAAGGCCGGTCGCTTGGTTGGATGGGTGTTCGTTTGCGGATTAGGTAGGTATGCTCGCTTGGGTGGCTGAAATAAAGCTTTACAGGCAGAGAGTTGAAAATGGCCTGGTTGTCGGGAATAAAGAAATCTAAAAGTTGAATCTGACGTTTGAAGTTGCGCAATGTGTGGAAAAAGGAGATGGGAGAATGACAATATGGAGCATTGAGTATGGAGCAGGGCACGTTACACTCAGCTGAGATGCGCCTGCTCCATCATCCACACCTGATGTCCTTGCCGTCGTAGCTCGGCCCAGAACAGGAAGGGGAGAGCTCCTCTCCTCAGTGGAAACTTGAAAGCAAGAGCGGGCCACTGAGTCACTTCCTGGGGATAGGTACATATGACATGAAGCTTCACGGGCACTTTATACAGGTACCGTTGCCAACTTATACTTGCTTGACATATCTTATGAAATCAACATCTCTTCTTGTGGTTTCTCCCAACAAAAGAGGAGTATTCTACTATTCAGTCGACATAAATAAGGTCTGATGAGGTCAGATGGGTAGGTACAGTCGAGGGGCAGAAGTACCTCGCACTGTTACATCAGCGCCAATGGACCCTCCCGCACCTGACGATGGAATGCAACAGCTGATAAGATAAGGCAGTGAGGAGCTGACGGGACGGGAGGTTCGCCAGGAACAGGAAGCCCCCCCGCTGTTGCCCGTTGATGCTGATGGCGTGCCGCCGGACGCGGAGCTTACAAGGTGGAGATATATGAGTACTTTGATTTCCCACCGGAGCTCACCATAATCTCATGTACTCTGATAATCTCAGCTAGCGTTTCCCCATCCAGCTAGCGTCGACGTTCCACCAACGTCCGCTCCGTCGTCGTTGCTAAGGGTCTCTCTGTACGGATCCCATACTCCTATTGGCTGAAGAGTGCATTGTGCATTGCGCGCATCCTGCGTCTCTGTCGCAATCTCACAGACACACACACACACACACGCCAGTGCCAGTGCACCACCACCACCACCCCTCGCGACGTGATCCCGTCATTACTAAACTTTGCTTCGGGGGGACCTCTCGAACATCTGCAGCTCCTCTTCTCCAAATGGGGGCGCATCGAGGCTGTTCAGAACACCGCTCCGTCTACCGTCAACAGCGCCAAGAAGAAGCTCGATCCCAATCTACTATCGACCCGACGACCACGACTACTCCCGTATCCGCAACTCCTTCTCCGTACCGATACCCCGAGTCCGAATACCCCGTTGTCATGGACGAAAAGCGAGACTATTACGGACACCGCACATCGACACCTCCTCCCTACCCGGCCATGTCTGCGCGGATGACCCGGAGAAGGGGCATCTTGCCCGCCCTGGCTATGGCCGTCTTGTTCGCCTACTCTCTGTGGAATTATCTGCGTCACCCTTTGAGCAGCAGCAGCAAATCTCGCATCGTGCCTCAGGAGCCGCCGGTCGAGGTTGCCAAGAGCTTGGTGCCTTTGGAGGCGCATATCATGAGCAAGTGTCCGGATGCTAGGGTATGCAACAATCCATGTCGAGATGACATATCTATGATTGAGGAGAGGATGCTGATGCCATCCGTGCTTAGGACTGCTTGAGAGATTTGGTTCTGCCTACCATGGTCAAGTCCCTCGACAAGGTCAACTTTACCCTGTCGTATATCGGCACGTAAGTAACTACTCTCCTTCGAGGCTCTCTGGTGGTCCACGAAACTGACTGATGATGCCACTATCTAGACCGACCGAGAATGATGGCGTAGACTGCAAGCACGGCCCTGCCGAGTGTATGTTTGCTCCTACCTAAAACACAATCCGCACTACATGTGAATGCTAACCTCGATGACAGGCATGGGAAACATTATTGAGCTTTGCGCCATCCACCTCTACCCCGATCCCAAGATCAACCTCGGATTCACCATGTGTCTTACCCGCGAATACAGCGCCATCCCCGACCGTACTCTGGTCGAGGACTGCGCTCTGGAACACGCCATTGACATCAAGGCCCTTGACGACTGTGCTACCCAGGACGACGGTGGCTTCGGCGTTGGTATGCTGCGTGACAGCGTCCGCCGGAGTAAGGATGTAAGTCTTGCCCACATTTCCCTCCTATCTCATCTATGTCTAATCAATTGTATAGGCTGGCGTTACCAAGAGCTGCACCGTCAGGCTCAACGAGGAGATTTACTGCATCCGGGACGGCGGTGAGTGGAAGGACTGTCCGCACGGTGCCGGCCCTAACGATCTTGTCATCGCTATTGAGAAGCTGTACCGTTCTGCTTAGAGTTCTTGAGGGGCGCGTACACCTCTGTCCATAGCTCGCTGGCTTCGCCAAGTGTGTAACTTAGTGCAATACCATCCATACCCGCCTCCTCATCTCCCTTCATGATCTCGAGCGTCTCCACGATGCTGTCGAGACCAACCGCCTTGCCCACCGCCTGCGTCGCGCCGGCCTCCAGCTGCACGTGTACAATGTGAATGTGGAAGTGATAGTACGTCGGCTGGTAGTGGACGTAGAGCTTGAGCTGGTCGATCTCGATGTCGGGGTACTGCTTCACCGTCGCAGCCAGCAACTTGGCCTTCATGTGCTCCAGCCAGGGTATGTGCTTCTTGCGGAGGTCGCGCAGGGACCAGATGTCGCGGCGCTCGACGAGAGCCAGTAGGTGGAGGCCCTCGATCGTCTTGCGGTCCCAGTTGAGGTCCGGGATGAGCAGGAACCCCTCGTCGCCTTGGGTGCCAAGCTCGGTGCGGTAGATTACGTCTTCGACTTCGGTGCGGCCTTCGATGATGTTGAAGACCCAGTCCAGTCGGCCGTCGCCGCGCTTGCGTTGCATGTAGGGGCGGATGTGGGAGGCATAGAGCTCTGGAGTCTCTGTGACGAAGCGAACGCCTTGTTTGCTGTATTTTTTGATGTGGGTGGCGGTGCAGGGGTAGATTAGGTTTATCTTGAGGTCGGCGAGGGAGGTGTCGGTGGAGGTGGAGGAGGTGTTGGCGAGGTACCAGTGGTAGATGTCGTTTGCGCCTAGGTTCGTGATGGAGGAGAGGGTTGTCGGGGTTGCGGCTAGGTAGGAGGGGTCGGCTGGGAAGGGGGCGCGTTCGAGGATTAAGAGGGCCGGGTTGGAGTCGATTGTTCCTAGAAGAGAGGTGCGGCGGCCTGCTTGGTCTGGTGAGGGTATCGTCAGTGTTGGTGCCCGGGAGATGATGGTGGCGGTGTGGCTGGATCATACCTTGGTTAAGGACGCGATCGAGCTTGAATTTGGGGATTAACGCCTCGGCGTTTGCTTTGACGTCTGCCATGGTGTCGATTGGGAGTGTGGGCGGAACCTTGGGAATTGGATTGTACCTTATCGTGAGGTGAGGGAGTTTACGCAGCGGGCTTAAACGGGACGGGAGTTGACGATGGAAAAAAGCTGGCGGGATCGGCACCCGGGTTGATGTGGCCGAGTGGCAGGAGTACTCCGTACACCGCAGCAGGTCCTGACCCCGCGACGGGCTACCCCGCGGTGGGGCACCAGCTCCTGCCATTGCCGCCGCTGCTCATCGTCCGTCGTCCCTGCCTCCGTCCAGTGTCGAGAATTCGGGAGGAAGGTGCAGAATATCCGTAGGTACCCTGATGGCTTTGATGATTTCGACTCAATTCTTTCCAGTCATCTCATCATTCCGTGATCATTTCATCCTTTCGACATATGATGTTTGCTGCACTCGGCTCTCTGAGCGGCACAGATTCATACAAGCCTCAAAAATCAGATATGTCTGTCAATGAGATACAATGACGTACCGCTGCATGGTACATCATATCATTCTTGTTTCGTCCAGGTATCCAGATACCACCTCTGAGATGTACTCAGTGTCAAGGCTGACGTGTAAATCCAGGCGCCACAGCCTGCTTGACCCGGGATCGAAGATCAAAGCACGGCCCGTCCTAAGCCGCTCCGGAGCTCAAGTCTACCCGACTCCTCTCCCAAGCTCCGTCCCGGGCCTGAACTCAACCCTGAATTCGATACAGCCGTGGACAGCGGTGGATACGACATATCAATTTCAATCATGGGGCGGAGACATTCGAGGACTTTGAGATACAGTGTCATCTTGCACTGACCACGTAGTACTCCGTTTGACGAAATCGAGTAGAATGCGATCGAGAAAGGAGAACAGGACAAGCCATATCTCCGCGGTTTCGGCGTTTTCGCCTCGGGAAATTCGCGCCTTACTCTCGGCGGCGACGGCGCAGCGCGACGAAACAGCACAAATCGCTCGCCGGCTTGTCAACCTCCCACACTATTGAAAGTGCACTGCTTGGCGGTTCGACGCTGCGTAACCCGGCAATATTCGCGCAACGAGCGCCATTACTGCGTTCAACATTGTTGGCTATGACAGTGACGATGCGTCGAATTACCTCCACAGCGGCAGAAGTACCGCAGCACTGAGATCACCGATGCCCGCAAGAACAGAGTTCAGGGCCGAAAGACGAGAGTCATTAGCGGAGTAATCCACCCCAGCGCGGGCCTGTCCGCCGCCAATCGCTGCATCATGAGAGTCCATCGACCGGAGGGTCGGCGTTGCAAACCCGCCGAACTCTATTCGCCCGCTCCGGTTGCAACTCCCGGGCCTCTGGATCACGACTCGAACACTTCTGGTTTCCAGGTCGTGGCATTATCGATTGAACGACAAAGTGTCCTCCACCAACATGCATCGGCTTCGGGGAATTGTTCAAAAGTGCGTCGCGGCTTGGAAAGGCGCCCGAGAGGAATAACAAGCACCCCCGCAAGAGTCGAATGACACCGCAGGCAGGCAGCGCAATGCGAGCGAGAGACATTTTCGCGGCGGCCAAATTTGATGTCTCAGAACTTAGCCACTGGGTGTACTCGTATGCCAGCCACTTCCCACGCGCCGTCAGCCCTAGTGTAGCTGGGAGACACCAGGCACTTTACACAGAAGCTAGGCCTGTCGCATTAGGTTTGTCTCTGTAAAGTCCTTGCTACAATCGCTGCCTATATGTGTAGATAGCTATGCGCTTTGGGCCGTAGATGCGCGTCCCAACCAACAGTTTCACATAGGATAGGCATTTTCAACCAACCGCTGCAGGCAAAGATCCTTCGTTTCGTGCCGCTATCCGTACCAACTAGTGTACTTCAGAACCGGGGCAAGACAAACCAAGTAGCGTCGATGACTGGCCAAAGATTGAGGGGCTACAAGTACGAACACCTTAGTTGGACTCGCCCTCTAAAGGTTACGAGCACCTCGCGCATCTCTATCCAATACCCCTGGCGCTGTATCCGGACCAACGTACATGTCGACCCGCTCAACCCCATACCAACGCAATCATCCTTTTAAAAGCCAGCTTTTGATCATCTTTTCGTCCGCATCTCTCAGATTCCCCTGCTCACTACTGTTGCTAGCGTTCCCACATGCCCAGCGTTCTGGGTTGACAAGAAGGCGCCACGATACTACTAAAAATCGAAAGGCCGTCGGCCATTAGCCATTGAGATTATCGCTAGGGATCATTGGAGACGGTGGGAATTCACCGAGTTGTTCCACAGCTCCACACGCATCTCCCTTCTCTACCTCTCCACCCTGCAACAACTCCGGAATATTGCTCTACCCTTGACGTAGACTCGTACTAGACTTGACTTGAGTCTTGAGTACAAGTTGAACGCTGTCCCCCCGTTCTCGTCCCATCTACAGTACTCAGTCATCCTCCGTGTCCCAAATCATACGACGTCAACCTCTGTCAACATGGCGGCCATAGAGGAGGTGCCTATCCCCGAACCAAGAGGTCTTCCCTTCTTAGGACACATTGCCGAGTTCAATCCTGAGAACCCATTGAACGACCTACATCGTTTGGCTGATACATATGGTAAGCTCATCGACTTTCTTCAAAGGCGTGTCTCCATAAGCCCAACTCAAGTTTGCTAAAAAAAACAACCATACTGCCAGGCGAGGTTTACCGGCTACGTATGCCAGGAATGACTGTGGTCTTCGTATCCACACAAGCCCTTGTCAACGAAGTGTGCGATGAGACTCGCTTCCAAAAGTCCTTGAACAATGTCCTTCGCGTAAGACAGACCAAGAGTCCCCCGGACAGCAAGTAAGGCTAATTGTCCTTCCAGGAAGTCAGACACATCGCCAACGATGGTCTCTTCACTGTAAGAACCCCCTCCATACTCATGGTAGCATTCTAGCTAAGAAACTTCCAGGCCAAACCAGAGGAACCCAACTGGGGCATCGCGCACAGAATCCTCATCCCAGCTTTCGGTCCCGTCACCATCCGCGGCATGTTCGACGAGATGGCCGACGTTGCCTCCCAAATGGCCATGAAATGGGCCCGCCACGGAAGTCAGACACCGATTCGCGTCACCGACGACTTCACTCGGCTGACCCTTGACACAATTGCCCTCTGCTCAATGGACTTCCGCTTCAACTCGTACTACCGCGAGGAACTCCACCCCTTCATCAACGCCATGGGCGACGCTCTCACAGAATGCGGCAACAGGGACAAGAGACCAGCCTTTGCCAACTACTTCTTCCGGAGCACGGAGCAAAAGTTCTTCGCCGACATTGAGCTGTTGCGCAAAACGGCCAGAGAAGTTCTTGAATCACGCAAGGCAAACCCATCAGACAGGAAGGACCTGTTGTCTGCAATGCTGAACGGCGTGGACCCCAAGACGGGCCAGAAGATGACCGATGCCAGCATCATTGATAACCTGATTACCTTCCTTATTGCCGGCCATGAGACAACCTCCGGCATGCTGTCTTTTGCATTCTTTGAGCTTTTGCGCCAGCCAGCGGCCTACCGAAAGGCCCAGCAGGAAGTTGACGATGTCATTGGGCAAGCCCCCATTACAATAGACCACCTTTCAAAGCTGCCTTACCTGAATGCCGTAAGTCTCGACAGCTCTATACACGGGCGCTTAAGACAATGACACTGATATTTCGACTTGCTAGGTTCTCCGCGAGACTCTCCGTCTTTGCGCCACGATCCCGGCCTTTGCCGTTGAAGCTAAGGAAGACACCCTCATCGGCGGCAAATACCCAGTCAAGAAGGGCGAATCCATTGCCTGCCTGCTCGGCAAATCCCAACTTGACCCTATCGTCTACGGCGACGATGCCGGCGAGTTCAAGCCCGAGAGAATGCTGGACGAAAACTTTGAGCGAACCCAGAAAGAATTCCCGAATTCGTGGAAACCCTTTGGCAACGGTATGCGCGCTTGTATCGGCCGGCCATTCGCCTGGCAAGAGGCTCTGCTCGCCACAGCCATGCTGCTGCAAAACTTCAATTTTACCATGGACGACCCGAATTACCAGCTCAAGATTTCTGAGTCTCTCACGATTAAACCGAAGGACTTTTATATGCGCGCGACTCTGCGGCACGGCATGAGTCCCACAGAGCTGGAGCACAAACTCGCGGGTAGGGGACCGAGTAAGACCAAGCTGGCCCATCGGCCTTCGCCATCAGCTCAGGCGAACGGTGAACAGACCAACGGAAACGAGGCCTCCGCACGAAGCGGGAGACCCATTAGTATCTACTATGGCTCCAACAGTGGCACCTGTGAGGCCCTTGCCCAACGCCTTGCGACCGACGCGAGTTCCCACGGATTCGACGCCACGGTCGTCGAGCCTCTTGATACCGCCCGTGAAAATCTCGTCAAAAACCAGCCCGTGGTCATCATTACTGCTTCATACGAAGGCCAGCCACCAGATAACGCAGCCCATTTCGTCGCCTGGCTCGAGAGCCTGAAGGGCCAGGAGCTGCAGGATGTCCCCTATGCCGTCTTTGGCTGTGGACACCATGACTGGGTGCAAACCTTCCACCGCATCCCACATCTGGTTGATACTACCATGGAGAAGCATGGAGGCAGCAGACTCGTTCCCATGGGTCTTACTGACGCTGCCGAGCGAGACATGTTTTCCGACTTTGAAGTCTGGGAAGACGAAATCCTGTGGCCGGCTCTTGCTGAAAAGTACGAAGTGGCCGAGGCACAGGACGGCAGTGGCTTGCAATCCGGCCTCGCCGTGCAGATCTCCAACCCGCGCACATCTACGCTGCGGTCCGATGTCCAGGAGGCTGTCGTTATGGAGGAGAAGATGCTGACTTCGCCTGGTGAACCCGAGAAGAGACACATGGATATCCAGCTCCCATCAAATATGACGTACAGGTCGGGAGATTACCTCGCGGTGTTGCCCCTGAACCCACGCAGCAATGTCGAGAGAGTTTTTAGGAGGTTCCAGCTAGCGTGGGATGCGTGCCTGACCATCTCTGGCGATAAGAGGACTGCCTTGCCAGTCAATCAGACGATCTCTGCCCTGGATATTCTCAGCGCGTATGTGGAGCTCGCGCAGCCGGCGACGAAGCGGAATATTTTGTCTCTGATGGAAGCGACCCAAGATGATGACACCATCAAGAAGCTGGAGCAGCTCGCAGGCGATGAGTATCAAGAGGAAATCACCCAAAAGCGGGTTACCGTCCTAGATCTCCTAGAGAGATTCCCGTCCATCGCGCTGCCTATCGGCGCGTTCCTCGCCATGCTCCCTCCCATGCGTGTTCGCCAATAGTATGTTCTCTCTGCTTCTCTCTTCCGAAACACATATCAGCTAACTTCTTGCTTCCTTCAGCTCAATCTCATCCTCTCCACTCCGCAACCCCTCCCAAGCAACGCTAACCTACTCGGTCCTCGACTCGCCCTCCTTATCGGGCCAAGGCCGCCACGTCGGCGTAGCAACAAGCTACCTCGCCGCCCTCAAGAAGGGCGACAAGCTGCACGTCGCGGTTCGACCCTCACACGCCGCATTCCACTTGCCTCGCGACCCGGAAAACACCCCGCTGATTCTCGTCGCCGCCGGATCCGGCATCGCACCCTTCCGCGGTTTCGTACAGGAGCGCGCGGCGATGCTGGCTGCGGGACGGACGCTTGCGCCTGCTTTGCTGTTCTACGGATGCCGGAGACCGGGCGCGGATGATTTGTACCGCGAGGAGTTCGATGCCTGGGAGAAGATGGGTGCTGTTTCTGTTCGGAGAGCGTACTCTCGTGCTGCTACGGCTCAAGGGGAAGGGGAAGTAGAGGGTGGAAGTTGTCGGTATGTGCAGGATAGAATGTACCGGGATAAGAAGGATGTATCGGAGCTGTGGGCTCGTGGGGCCAAGTTGTTTGTGTGCGGGACGAGGAGTGTGGGGAAGGCGGTAGAGGAGGCTTGCGTGAGGGTCATTTTAGAGTCTGCGAAGGAGGGCAAGGGTGAGGGACTTGCTGAGTTGAGGGATTTGGATTATGAGGGGGCGAAGAAGTGGTTTGAGGGTATTCGGAATGAGAGGTATGCTACGGATGTGTTTGACTAAAGGGGTTCCTTGATGAGTACGGACTTGGTTTGATGGGCTGGATGGTGTTTGTGTTGAGTTTAGGATACCACTCCCCTCCGAGTGTTTGATTTCACATTTGCGTTTAGATATTAGAACGAGCAGGCATGTCTCATTACTGTACGAGCCAATAATTGGGGTATTCATGATTGCCCGTTATCTCGTGATGGTTCCTTGTGAGGATACAAGTCTTTGGATACATGCTCAATACTAGTAGTTATCAGGCATAACCGGATCCAATCTAGCCTGAGGATTTACATGACAACGACCACCCAGGATTCCACAATTTCAAGACATGTAGAACTATCAAATCTTTCCGATGTCAGTCTGAAGTTCAGAAACCAACCCTCCAATAGGTCAAGGCTCAGATGAAGAGTCAACCAAAATGTCCACCTTCTCCCTCATCCATACACCAAGAAGGGGTACGAGACCAGCCTCTTCCCCCTTTCCAAGAAACAATCTTTCTTCAATCAAACAGAAACCTCCTCACGTTATCCTCCCCCAAATCCCACGTCCCCGTCAGAGGGTTCTTGTCCATCGCCTTGGCAATCAACGCCCCCTGCTCGTCAACGCACGCAGACCGGTGCTGCAGCCGCCACCACTGCTCCTCGGGCGTGCCCTCCCTCGAGTTCGAAATCTCCAACATCTTATTCCTCATCATCAGCGCGTAGAAGAACCGGCTGTCCCACAGCCCGTCGCGCCGCGGGTTCTCCCGCAGCAGCCGGATCGCCTCGTTGCGCAGCTCCGGCACCCGGCACCGCGTCCCCGCGAGGAAGAGAGGCCAGGTGGGGCCCATGTCCATGGTGAAGATCTCGCCGGGGAGGGAGGAGCGCTTCTGGTAGTCGAGCAGGCCGGCGGAGAGCTGGATGACTTCGCGGAAGCGCGGGGTGAGGCGGGCCACGCGCTCGTAGCTGCAGCCGAGGGGGGACTCGAGGCAGTTGGAGAGGGTGAGGTATTGGGCGCGGAGGTGCGCTGCTTGGCTGTAGGATCTCTCGTCCGAGGTTTTGGCTTTGCGGGCGGCGGTCCAGAGGGGCGCGAAGCCGGTTTCCCATCGTGCTAGGGCGTCTCTGAAGTCTTGCCAGCGCGAGGCGGTGTCCTCGGCTCCTGTGGCCGCAGATGAGGACGAGGATGATTTGTTGACGGCTCCGGTTCGTAAGCGCTCGCTCTCTTCTAGCTGTCTGCGGATGCGCTCGTTGCATTCAGAGAGGAAGTCTTCGCTCAACCCTAGCTGGGTGACGCGGCAGACGATGTCGGAGGAGTGCGTCACGTAGTGCTGCGTCACATCCCACCATCGACGAGCTTCCTGGAGACTACTAAAGATGGCGGGCATCTTGTGAATCGCGCACTTCCTCCCCGGCCCTCCCTGGCAACACCACGACTCAGATGAGTACGAGTCCTTCTTCTCTTCCGCGACGAGATCACCCTCTACCTTCACGTGGCGCCTCTCCCGCCTTCGAAGCACACCGCAAGACCAAGACTGCTGGATAAGCCGCTGAAACACATGCAGCGCCTCCGTCTCGACGGCCTCGGCGCCAATGATGCTCTTATCCCGGCTCTTATCCTCCTCGCACCGACGCAGCAGCTCATCCATCATCGTCTGCCCGCTATTGATAAGCGCAAAGGCGGCCTTGCGATCGCCGTGGAGCACCTCGAAGCAGACAAAGAGCAGGCAGCAGACGATGGCGGCCCGGAGACTGCTGCTGCTGTTTGTCTCGTCGCGGGGCGCGGCGACGGCCTTGTGGACCTCGCGGATGGCGCGGCCGTAGTACGAGAGGGCGAGGCCGTAGTGGGGCCCGTTGGCGCCGAGCTGGGCGGGCGTGGTCGGCTTCAGGCTGTGGCGGAGGGCTTTGCCGATGCCGCCGACGGCCATGGCGGCGTACCGGACCGAGGCGTGCTGGTGGCTCATTTGCGGGATGGTCTCGGTCCATAGCTGCTCGTCGAAGAAGCCGCCGCCGAGGCGGTATCGGCGGGAGAGCCAGTAGTCAAAGTATTGGCGTTCAAAGACGTTGACGAAGAGGTTCTCTGTGGGTTCGAGTGGGAGGCTGATGTCGATTAGTTGAGATTGCGATCTGGGGCGGGCGTTTGCGACGAGCGGCTTCTTCTTGGAGACGCGAGCGACGGACGACGACGACGATGACGATGATGATGATGAGGATGCTGTCTTGTTGGTGTTGTCTGCGTCGTCTGAGCTAGGAGGGGAGGCCGAAGAGCTATTGGAAGAGTCGTATCCTTCACAGAACCCTTGCCATTTCACGCATCGCTGGCATGAGGGCTTCACTTCATCGCATTTGACGTGTCGGCGCCTGAGACCACAAGGCGTGAGAAGCTATTCCTGCTTTCCTTTCTCTCACTCTCACTACGAGGAAGAATACTCACTTGCCTGTGACGATGTTCTGATCAGCTACTATTGAAACATAGAAGAGAGCTCTCTCAAAATATGGACCGTGGTGGAACTGGCTTACAAGTAATGCATCCCGTCCGGACCTTGTTGGCGCTCGCCCGAGTCGCCCGTGGCCTTTTCTGTAAAGCAAACGTGAGAATCTGCGGCCTGTCACTGTTGCCTCCATTCCTGCTACAAATCAGAAAACAAAAAAATGTCAGCGGCCGATGTCCTGTCCTCTCTCGTTTGCCACCAACCAGATCTGCGTGTTCGCCGCCCTGCATGTCGGGATGGGATGGGGGTGGGATCATACTTGGGGGCCGTTGGGTGTCCCGCTGGTTCGGTCCATGCCACACCAGGTGTCCGGGGCATCAGGAAGTTGATTTGGGTTCCGCCGTAGGTGCACGCAGACGAAGTCATTGTGGTTCGTTTTGTTCCTACTTTTCGAGAATAGAAGAAAAGAGATTTGCGAATCTTGGAAATCTGCTTTTGGTAGGGCGAAACTCCCGTCTTTAAGAGTGAATTCCAGACTATTAACAAGAGCTTTCCAAGGGAAAAGAAGAAGTTTGGGGGCCGGAAATGGCCCCCAACACATATTACAACAAGGTTGAATATTGTCCCTCTTCCATGTACCACAAGGACTTGCCCACCACCACCCCCATTCCTTCGCGTCTTTCGATTTGATCAGCCTTCTCGGAGTCAGATTCCCAAACAAGAGAAGCGCCCGTTAAGGCGGCACGATCAGAGACCTTGGATTGGGTGCAGCCGGCGCTACTTCTTACGCCAGGGGATAGCAAAGGGACCACCAAAGGTGGGAAGGGGGCACCGCAGCCGAGTTACTGGCACACGGGACACACCCGGGATCCCGTCCAGAAGCCAACTGCCAGCCTTACCCGCCCTGCCTAATTCAAACATACCCACTTAGTCCGAGGTCCTACTGACGTGCCTGTCCAACGTCGTCCGAGAAGTGCGAGGACTGGACCGGGGGGAAAGAGACATTGTATGCAACCTGCATATCAAGTGTGTGTCTGCCTAAGGGGACGTGTGTCTCTGGGGATCAGTCGTGGACTCTCTACCACTGGTTCGCCTGTCAGCATGGAGGTGTGTCTGTACGCCACACCCTCCCTGCGTTGAAGCCAAAGATTTGATGGCGAGTCTACCGCGATCTTGGGTGGTCGATGACGACGGTGAGGCCTCTGGAGATGTCGATGTGCCACGATGATTCACCCTCAGCCCTAAAGAGCGGACTCTATGATGTCCGCTGCAGGCGGTGCAGCGTCTCTTATGCAGGAGTCCAGGAGAAGACACCGCCGTTGCGAACTAATCTCGAGATGGCATCATAACTTTCATCATGTGAGGTGTCCGCTACTCCTTCGTTCTTCGTACCATACTAGGCAGTGTTGTCATCGCGACTACCAATAGCCGTTTCAGAAAGACACAGATGAGTCGAGGTGACGGAGGCTCATGGTACCCTTCTGCCTTGTTAGTCATGAGCATAGTCTTTACGGTCGAAGAAGATTGGTTAGAAAGAGAGTCTCGTTATTGATTCCGAAGAAATAAGCCGATGTCATTGCATACGTCTCAGCCACTCGTGATCTTCATCAGCGGGACTTTCTCGCAAAAACAAGAGCGCTCCAAGGACCCTGCCTGGCCAGCCACGCATTCGCGATCTTGGCGACGCCGTTCGCAGAGTCCTTGTGCGACACCAGACCTACTGTACCCTGAGCATCCGGGACCTTGGCGACTGATCTACAAGCGACTATCGATTGAAGACGGATACCTATCTCAACGGCTGCCAGTCGCTCGATGAGGATACTCTTCCAACCTCGCCTGGCAGATCATACCCACCCAGCATCCCAATCAATAGCGATCCAAAGGCGCCTGACAGGTAAACACACATATATGAATGCGGCCCAGATAATAGGATCGGGTAACACATCCAGCATTTCCAATGCAGAGCTTTCTTGGCCTTGGTCACAAAGTTCCTTAGAATCTCAAGAATCAGGACCAACATGGCGAGCCAGGGTCTCTTCGAAACCGCGAAACCCCTTGCAATCCCACCATGCGTGGTAAGGCTAGTCAAAAAGTCGCTACCACCACAGCACAACCGGAACGATAATAAGCTCTAGCAGGGGGAGAGGGGTTGAATGTACGGGCCAAAAAAGCAAATCAGCAGCAGCGCAAAAATGCGTTGTACCGGAACGGCCGAGACTCGTGCAGGAGGAGACCAAACCTCTTTGAGCCAGCCGATCTGCCGTCCTACGGGCCTGCTTACGCCAAGCCCTTGAGTCCCACGAGACTCTCAAAACTCAACCAAAGAGTCGACAAGACTTTTGCAGCTTTTGCAGCTTTCTCGTAGAATGTCCATAGAGCGGACTGGTTCATTCGTCTTGATAACATGATTTCCTGGTCTTGTTTTGGATTCTCGTGTGTACGATACAGTGGCTGAGCAAGTGTATTGTGGCTCTCTTATGCATGCTTTTGGTGTAGGTCGCTCGAATGCGCTTATTGCTCCAGTCGCACTAGCACGATATCGACGCCGAGTTCGAACCTTACATGTATGTAAACTTGGTTCGGAATGACGGGCACCGTTGCCGCCCTCTTTGGAAACCATGAGCCCCAAAGTCATATTTCATTGCCCTTTCGCTACTATCCAGCCAAACCCCTATGTAGCTGAAACCCCATGTCGTAAACACATCGTGGAATGCAGATGCATGGGCGGATTGCGGCGTAGTACAGCGGCGACTCCGTTATCGGTACGTGGACACGAAAAAACGCGGGGGATAAGGGCTGTGTGTGTACTCCGTAGGTCATTCATGTAGGCGTACGGGATATGCGTGCGAGTGTGAGGTGTGTGTGGATGCGCGGTGTATGGTGTGACGTCTGACTACACACTTTACCGACGTACGGCTGACAAGCCTCACTTCCCGGCTGACCAACATCGTGTGTGGTGGATACACCTACGTGCAGGAGGGACCCGACGAGAGCCAACTACGCAAGTCGTTTGAGCGAGACTGCACTTAGTCAAGCAAAGTCAAAATTGGCAACGATCTTGGTCATGACCGCCGGAAACCTGGGGTTCGAAACCCGCCAGGGCAGCGATAACGGGGAGGAGGGTGGCATCGACGGCTCGAGACCACCTCATGTACTGTGTAGTCTGGCGGTCAGCTTATCGATAATCTGGACATCTTTGCCTTGACGTCGGTCAAAGTTCAGGCTAGCTCATTTCAATGACTTGAGCTCTCCTCTCGCCCTTCTTGGATGGGCTGACGGGGGTTGGGCCACTTTGGAATGACGTTCTTGCATCGGTTCCGACCTTCCGAGACGGAAAACGATGTGGAATCATCCAATGGAGGGCGTTGGGTTCAGTCAGATAAACAACTGCCCTGCAGACGCCAGCGGGTGACGGTCGTGACTGGTGCCGGTGAAGAGGCCTCGTATGAGAGGTAAGAAGAGCCCCTTCCGTGATGATTGACTGATAGGCCTATGAAGAAACAAATCGATACTTGTTTGAACACCGGCTTGTAGACTACCTAGTGCTTGTTCCCCATCAAGAGATGTTTCCCATAATCATCTTCTACAAGGTGACTTAGGTCCGATGATAATTTCATTTCGTGGCAGGATAGCCAAACTCCCCATGCAGAAAAGCTTATGGAAGACTTGCCCCTTGTGATTCAGATAATCGGACCATAGGTAGCTTGTTTGCGATACAAATTGCTTCCTACGTGGCTTTGATGGTAAGTGGCAGGTCTTCCATGGGCAAAATGGTATCGTATCTACTGGCTTGTCTGGCTTGATCAACTTTACACACGGGGGAGCTTGATGTTTTGAGTCTTCGGAAACGTTTCCGTAGTTCTATTACTAAGACTAATGCTACACGACCTCCATCTTCATGCGCGCGAATAGCGACAATGTGGAGCTGCACCCGACTCCGATGTCTGTGTCGATCATGAGAACCAGTCCTTGACCTTCCCGCTAAATGTCGTCGGCTTGGCCTTCTCGGGGGCCCACTCTGACTCGTGAAGACGGCCAGACCAGAGATCGATCTCGTGAGCGCGGACGAACTAAGACAGTTAATAAGATGTCCTCGTCGATCAAGAGAAAGAAGTAAACATACCTTGGTCTTATGAACAATCTTCCAGACGATGATGGGCACGATGAAGATTGGGATGCCGATATACGATGAGATAAAGTCCGAGGTCGACCAGTTACCGGCAAGGAAGACGGAGAAGCCAGCGACGAAGACGATAATAGTCGATCCAATGAAGCCAAACCAAGCCGCGAACGGCTGGAAGGGCGCCTTCCAGGGCAAAGTATCACGGCTGACACCTTGCACCTTCATCGCCTTGTGGAAGCGGATGTAGCAGAAGCAAAGCGTCGCCCACGCGATCAGCCCAGCAACGGTACTCAAACTCAGCAACCAGTTAAACGCATCAGCAGCACCGCCAGACCCGAGACTGAGATACGCCAACGGGCCAAACAACCACGCGGTGATGACAGCAACGTACGGGACGCCGTGCTTGGTCGTGCGGCCAAAGAACTGCGGCAGCTGGCGGTCCGTCGTCATGGCGACGATCATGCGGGAGCCGACCCAGCAGTACGAGTTGCCGGCGCTCCAGGCGCTGACGAGGATGCAGGCGTTGACGATGGAGGGGAGGATGTTGATGCCGGCCTGGCGGATGGCGATGACCCAGGGGGAGGAGTTTGCGTTGCCTGAGTCGGAGACGAGGCCTTCTTCGCGGGGGTCGACGATGAGGGAGATGAGGAGGGCGCCGAGGACGTAGAAGAAGCCGATGCGCCATGTTACGCGGCGGGCGGCGTTGGGGATGGCTTTGTGGGGGTTGATTGATTCTGCGGCGCTGATGACGACTGTCTCGACCTGTTTTTGGTGTCAGTTTCTAGATGTGAAGAAGGGGGGACAGCAGAGGCCGGGAGAACGTACACCAATGAAGGAGAAGGACGCGTTCACAAAGGCAGCGAGGAAGCCCAGGAAGTGACCAGTCGACCCAGTGATGCCGTTGTAATCAACCCAGGCACCCGGGTTATTCCAGTACCGGAAGCCAATGGCCTCGTGGTTGGGACCTCCGCCGGCGGTGATGATGATGGAGGTGAAGACGAGGCCGATGAAGCAGAGGACCTTGATGGAGCCGCCCACGACCTCGGTCTCGCCGTACCAGCGCACGCTGAGCAGGTTGCAGAAGAGGATGAGGGCGAGGGATATCGTGATGACGACGGCGGGTGTTATGTCTGTCCAATACGACACCAGAATTGCGGCCGCGGAAGCCTCGGCACCGATGGAGATTGTGTAGCAGTAGCCGTATGAGATTGCAAGGGAGAAACCGACGGCCGGGTCGATGAAGCGGGTTGCCCAGTGGGGGAATGAACCGGCGGTGGGAATCTGTAGTTTAGAGTCAGTCTTGCTGTTTGCGCGTGATAGCTGCAGGCACCTCTTCCGCAGTGGAAAGCTCTGTAACACATACCAAGGTCGCAAGCTCTCCGATACTCTGCATCACACACCACAAGACAGCACCGACGATGATGTAGGCAAGCAGAAGACCAGCCGGACCGGCTTTGGCGTAGGCCGAGCCCGTTCCGATGAAGAGACCGGTTCCGATACCACTGCAGAAACCAATCATGGTGACCTGGTAGTCGCGCAGGCGGCGCTGGGTGCGGCCATGGCCACCCACGTTGAGCTGGGGCTCCAGAATGGCGGCCTTGTCGTCGTGGTGGTCGTGGTGGTCCTCGGCGCCAGACTTCTCAATGTCGCGGACCGCATCGTCGTCGGCGGCGGGCCCGATGGACCGGGGCCGGGAGGAATCGTACGCCGTCATGGCTGAATATCCTGTTTCTCAAGGACAGTGACTGAAGCCGGCGATTGTTCCGTTTGGGGCTAGGTGCCTATGTTTGTTCGAAACTTGAAGGATCGAACAGTGGAAATGTTGTCCAGAAGGTACGGTCTCCAAGACGTGGAGGGCCCATATCGAGATTATATGAAATACCTAGCGGCAGTCAATCCCATCTGCAAGATTTTTTCGCATCCCTAGGGCGAGACCGGAGGACTGGGCACTAGACAGTGGCATCATCGGGCTAGTTCGCGGGGCGTTCCTGGGTAGTGTGGGGGCATGAGGGGCGAAGATGAGAGCTTGCAGCAGATCGTGAAGCTGGGCGCTCTCACCGAGCTTGGCCGCGCTTCACCTCTTCACCTCGGTCTGCTTTCGGTCTGGATGTAGTCGTCTGTCACGGTGACTCGATTACCACATGCAGTGAGGGTCTTGATGGCATCTCAAACGTGTCGCATTTGATACAACGCATCAAAAAGCATAGACACGAAGCTTTAGAAGCTATTCCATCTCCGGTCTCGCAGAAAAAGCTTTGAGAAATGGAGCGATGGCAATTCCAGGTACGTAAAAATTCTTCCCAAGTTGGCCGAGGCGGGCGGGTCCGGGGTCGCGGAGAACGGGGTGCTGTGGGCCCCATCCCATTTGCGCCGGCGGTACGGAGGTACAAAGCGCGGTAGCGCGGTATGTGGCGGGCCCGATTCCACTCATTCCAGCACCAAGTAGACTTGTGAGTGGCTAGAAGCGCCGGTTGCAATCTGCGAACAGGGAGGCGAACGCATGAGTCGTTCATCTGAAAATCTTCCAAAAATCTTCTGGAAGAATACGTGAATGGCAAGAAAAAACTTGCGCCGAGCAAATAATGTCTGTGACAAAGAGCACTTGCAAGAAAGGGTCCATCCCCACGTGCTCCCTCCCGAAAGACATGGCCAAGACGGGATCTTACCTCCAAGACCGGGAGAGGCATGAGGGGTTCTTGTTAATGATGGGAGCTGATAGCATAGTTGATAGGAAGCCCTGGCGTCCCTCTGCGTCAGACAGATCGATGTAAGTGGAGGTCCAAATTGATCAACATCTTCAAGATCTACCAAACGGGGGGAAACCTGCCAAACACCGCGTCGCGGCAATTGATCATGGTATGACATTCTGAAAACATAGCCGCCGTGAGTCAAATCCCCCAAAATTCTGCCCACTTCTCAATGACCGCCTCGAATTGCGCGATCCGGAAACCCCGAGCCAGACTCTACTGCGTACGTACCCACAAGCCACACACTGATTCTTTCTTTTGGTCACAGGCGCATCAAGGCAAACTCACCTCGCACTTGTGCCCGACAGGGCTGATCATGAAGAAGTTCTCCATCTCCATCATCTTATCCGTCATCTCAGGCGCCATCTTTAGATCCCTGCACTCCCGAAAGAGCACGGCCACAGCTAGTCTGAGTTCCATTCTCGCGAGCTCTACGCCCAAACAGATCCGCGAGCCGGCGCCCCATGGCGAGAAGAGGAGTTTCTGGTCCGCTGTGAGTTTGCTCTGGTCCATAAATCGTGTCTCGTCGAAGCTTTTGTCACGTCAGTTGGTTGCTTCTTTGCGACGCCATAACCATCGCAACACCACATTCGTTAGTAATCAGGGAGAGCCCTACCGTAGGGGACCCGGCCACACCTCCGGATCCCGGTGAAGTGTGTACGCTTGCGTCTCCACCGTGACGCCGCCGGGGACGAAGTAACCCCCGAGCGTGGCGCCGCCCGCCGGCACCGACCTCGACAGTTGTCCCGGTACAGCGCCGTACAGCCTCAACGTCTCGTCAATCACGGCGTTGAGCAGCGGCAGCTTTTCCAGTGCATCATCGTCGAAATTGGGGCTCAATCCCGCAAGTTCATCTTCCAATTTGATTCTCAACTCGGGTCGCTTTACGACTGCCCACACTAGGTATGCCAGTGTGATAGACGTCGTATCCGAGCCGCCGATGATCATGCTCCGGCTTTCTCTCTGCACCATTTCTTCTGTTAGCTTCGCATTGCTACTATTCTCTTTTTCCTCTTTGTCGTTGGTATCGTCTGCGTCGAGGGCATTCAGCAAGGTCGCGAACAGAGTCCTGTTGCGATCGCTATTCTGGCGAAGGTTCTCAACCGCGCGATCACCGTAGCTGTCAAGGACAGCTTGTGCGTCGACGAAGTCTGTCGAGGACTTGAGGAACGGCACGCGGGAGCGGATAAAGTGCAGCCAGGGCAGCTCGTAGCGCGTAATGTTCTGGACCGAGATGAGCTCCAGCATCTTCATGTAGTCGTTTTTCTTTCGTCGTGTCATTAGTATGCTGGCATGAGGTCGGCGTAGAATCAGGAACAGCCTACCTCGCCTACTTCGAGCATCTTGAAAGACTCCCCGAAGCACAAGTGAGCCACGACATCAGTCGCCATCATGGTGAACCACTTCAAGATATCCGAGCACCCACCCCCCTCAGCCTCTGCACGTATCTTATCTACTGCTACATCAACCTTCTCTCTAACGATGCCCTCCCACTCTTTCCTGAGCGAAGCCTTCGTAAACACCCTACCGAGAAGTCTCCTGCGAATCGCATGTTTCCTGGGATCCCGCATCGCAAAAATACTCGGCTCGCCCCCGTCGGGCGAGTTGGACTCCTCGTACCACGACGCTTTGAGGAATCCGCCCCCGATGCGGTGGATTGCGGTAAAGCCTGCTGGATCTGCGACAGCCACCTCGTGGGGAGAGATGCGAACGATAGGGCCGTGGCTGGCGTGCAGCGCGTGGACATAGTACATTCGTCGGCCGCTGAGGACGTGGTATTTGAGAGGGAGGTGGGTGAGGAGCGTATGCCATGGCCCTGGGATGTGTCGGAGGGGATTGCTGAAATTTGCGTCGATTATCTGGAAGGATCAGCTCCTACACACTGAATGAAGATAGCACGATATTTCTTGCAAGGTCGTCGTGACACAGAGGCTCTACTGAATGGATAGGCATCTCTCCGCTGTCCGTTGTTTGACGACAATGCTTACATAGATAATGAGGACTAGGATTAAACCAATGGCAGTATAACCCATTCCGACCTGTCGCGTGAGGTCTGTGGATAGCATCATTATAATAGGTGCACAGCTCTACGTGCACTGAATTGACTGGAGGAGGCAAATGGAGTTTGTGTAGATGATGGAGATTGAGTTCACACAATCATGCCATCCTAGGACCTCGCGGAGGATGAGAACGCGAGTGGAGGGTTAGAGTGCTTTTCAACGCATTCCTTCTCAGGTTTTGACTTCCTCCGCTATCGTTTTCGCTCACTGTTCCGCCGAAAATTTGCCTGAAGAAGAGAAGAGGAACAAGGCAACCTGTGATGAAGTCATCTTCCCCTCAGTATCTGGTCTCCATGAAAGCATAAAGTGAGCACGCAAGAAAGCGGGATATCATTCAAGGTTTGAACCTTGCCATGATTGTCCAATCTGCTGCTAGGGGCTCAATATTTGGGTTGAAACTACTACTCTGGGGTGTTGAATACTACACCCATATCACTAATCAGGTCATCCCCGACTTGGATTTGTCGAAGAAAGGTGTCTAATCAGACACCCGAGAAAAGAAATGGGCAGTTGACTTCTTGGTCATTATAAGCCAGTTCTGAACGCGAAGGCTTAAATTCTCACTAAATTGACTGGCATCGGAAATACTTGGCAATCAGATACTTTACGGCACCCGATTTACCTGGCATCGGTAATGAAGCAAAGTCCAACAAAGCTAACGAGAGCCTTCTGCTGCTGCCTATACATGCAGCTGACTATTTTGAGTAAAAGAAAACTCTTACATCGATCTCTATATCTATTGAGGTAGTGTGGGATGCAATACATATCTAGCGCCCCGCCAGGCTGCCATAAGTCTGCTCAGGTCTGCCATTCAAAACCGAGCTAAGGTTGCGTCCCCCACGATGAGAGCTACTCTCAAGGCCTATCCTGTATCTTGTTCCGTGACCCCCTCAAAGGCGCCGGGATCCGCTACCCTCCTCAAGATCCCGAGCTTCCATTTCTGGCTCGTCGCCATCGCTAAGCGGTGTGTACTCGGATACGGTAGACGAGAAGAAGCCCGCCTTGGATACACTACGGCAGTGAGGACAGTCGCAGCTGCGACTGACAAGAAAATGAAGCGCCTGCGGTAGGACAATGTACAAATGGACGCCCCTGAAGAACATTGTCAGCCTTGAGACGCTCGGTCAACTCCGAGACAAGAGCAATACTCACAAGTCAAACATCATGAATACAGTGCAATACGTCCCCAGCACAATGAGTGGCTCGTGCCACGGATCCGTCAGGAGAATCCAACTCGGAATGAGAAATGTTAGGTGAAAGACCGCGAGAAGGCAGTCGGCCCAGAAGATGTTGGATTCGGAGAGGGCTTGAATCGGTGAGCCGAGAGCGGCGACGGCATCGCGGTTGAGGACGAAGAGGCCAAGGAGGGCCGAGGCGGCGAGTGGGAGGAGACCCAAGGCTGGGAAGGCTCGTTCGGATGCAATTCCGTGGGCGATGAGGAGGATTAATGCTGGTGGGAAGGCGATGATTTCGAGACGCCGGAGGGTGACGGTTCTGGCTGCTGAGGACATCTTGGCTTGGGTGATGCACGTGTTTGGTTTTTGTTGGTTGCTTTGATTGTTTCACAGGATGAAGATACTAGACCAAAGTTTGAGGATTAGATTCTTGGGTATACGAGTAGACTTATATCAAGATCAGATCCTTAAGGTGGTGCCTAAAACCTGTCCTCATCTGGAGTGTAAGTGCAGATGTTACATGCACGTATCAAGCCAAGTGCAAAGCCACACACAACCAACGGTATGGAATGGGAATTCTGGTGCGGTACAAGAAGATCTCATAGGTCCAGCGTCCAAGAGAGCGTCAAGCCACAGGGCTGAAAAACATCCCGGGATCCTAAATTGGGAAGATGGGATGCCTGGACTGCCGATCTGCATGGGTCCGAATCCTTCCTAAGCACACTAACATGCTTTAGGGTGCCGTCCTGCCAAAACAGGCCAATTGGAGGAGAGGTCACTTGGAAGTAGCTGTGTTTTGCCCAGGACACAGATTGTGGCTGCGTCAAGAAGTCAGGCAGACTTGAGTGTATGCCTGCCGGTTCGAAGGGAGTGTGGTGATGACTTCGGCCTGCGCTAGTATGAGGTTTTTACTAACCACGGGCGTATGCTTTCAGCTCTACAGGTACATTGTTATCGACGAGATTGGATTCTTTGGATTCTTTGTGAGTCACAAGTTGGAGAATACAGTTTCAATACAATAGTGGACTCCGTTTACAGATAAGGAGAGGATCTATTAGCACTTGGTCAGCTCGATTTGACGTGGCCTTTTGCAATGTGGACACCGTGGTGTTCCTGTCGTGCAGGTTCAAAAAAGCACTTTCATCGTGTAACAGCTCTTTACGAGCAATTCTGAGTCCAAGACACGTGTCAAGCAATGGAGTTTGAATTGAACGGAAGTAAATGCGCGCTAGATGCGTGAATTCGATTACTTGATTTGCATGGACGGTGTTGCTGCCTAGTCGGGTATTTGCGAAGCCTGGGTTTGTTGTGTGTAAATATCCTTGCGCTGCTGAACAGAGTGGATTATAAGAGGAACTACAGGACTGGACACGTCACTGAAGATCGGCCTACTGGTAGATCAATGAAATCAACTTAATTGGTTTGAATGATACAAAATTCTTGCGACTGGGTATCCCAGGATGAAATTCAAACTCCCCTAACCTTACCTGACTTACTTACTTGAGCAGAGAACCCAACAATAGAAGAAGAAAGTCAACCGAAACGCCCTCCAAAATCAGTGAATATGTTTGCCCAGCGCGAAGTTTCTACCAGTTACCTTATGCAAAGGTAAAGTGCTTATCCAGTTCCTTCCTCAACTCCTTGGACTCCGCGTCGACAGCGTCCAAGTTCCTGCCCAGCCAGGCACAATCCCAGAACGTAAAGAGTGCCCAAACCTTGATTAAAGAGTGAGCGTAAGCGAAGAGAATCTGGCATGGTATCAAGGGGATATCGGCAGGGTGGCGAAGGATGTGCGGCCAGAGCTTGATGGTCTTGGTCCACAGGACCCAAAGCGCAAGCAGGCCCATCTCGCTCGTGAAAACACCCCTGGTATGCCATGAAAGATACAGAGACACGAAGAGAGTTGCGTCCCAGAACAAAGCAAAGTTGAAGAGGGCCGCTGCGTATACCGCCACGTAGGTGTATGGCATTCTCCAGGTGTAAACGTCGCTGACACGCCTCAACATGCACGGGTTGCTTCGGAAGGTCGTTCTAGCCCAGCGAACTAGCTGGCCCCGGAACTTGACGGCATTTTCGTCGCCCAGCGACGTCTCGACCACGCTGTCTTCGGTCTGCTGGAACTTGACTTTCCAACCGTGTCGGTACGCTTCGCGGGTGAGAAAGTTATCGTCGTCGGGGCCGAGACCTTTACCGCCAAAAAGACCAAAGAAAAAACGCTCCCTGCAGAATCTGTCCATGAAACCCATTGACTTGAGGAGCTTGGTTCGGTAGGCGGCGGTGCGGCCGGAGACGACAAAGACGCCTCCGTCGATGGCATTGGAGGCGCGTAGCTCCCAGTTATGGCGAAGGAGGTAGAAACATCCGATCAGGTTGACAATAGAGATGACGGACCACTTACCGGGTGTCGTGCGAAGCACGCGCTTGTATGTCGCCACCACTCCCATGTTGTTGTCCTCGAAGGGGGCCAGGACCGAGGGTATGAATTCGGTGCTGGGCCAGTAAACGTGGTCGTCGGCGAGGATCGTGATTTCGGTGTCGACGTGCGGTACGGCGTGGGCCACCTGACGTCGCTTCGAGGGATGGAGGATGGCACTCACACCGATTCTTGTGGAAGGGTACAGTTTCTTGTAGCGCCTGGCGACTTTCTCGCAGCGACGGCGCATTCTGGCGCCGACGGTGACGATGAGAATGGCCGCTGGTCTGTTCTCGAGTACGGAGATGATGCATTTAACAAACTTTACGTTACCTGGGTCAATCGTGGGGAGAATCACGGTGACGTCTCTGTTGGTCCACTTCGGCCAGGCCTGAACGGGGGATGGCTCGTACCGCCAACTTCCCCAGATATTGCAGAATAGGCGAGTGTAGCGAAGGACGAAGGTGTACTGGAAAATCGTGGCCCAGTCCCCTGCAGTGTAGTCATAAAACGGCGTTGCTAGTTTGCTGTAAATCTCTAGCTTCCAAGATAGCAAGATGGTGAAAATGAAGAAGACGAACTGTTTCGGATTATTTCGAGGGAATCCTAGTATCGTAGTCAGAAGTGAACTGGGGTTGAGTTGGGTTTCAGGACGGACCTGGCCGCCAGAGACATGCTGTATCGAGTGAACTGATGATACAGAACCTTCCGTATCAGAACTGTCCGTGTAGTCGTCAGTGTAAGACATTGTGAGTCGTACTATTGGTATCGAACAAGTGGGAGAGAATGCTGGAGAATGTATTGACAACTCACAACTCCGAATGTCTTAGATCAACGACGTTGAGCCTAGTTATATGACACAAGTAGCACGATACGACAGAGATTGAACAAATCTATCACGCTGATGGACATTGGAAACAATGACACACGCCTTCGCATTCAGTCTTTGTTGGCGACCGATAATTCTTCGTTCTCTACTAAAGAAACGTTAAAACAATGCTTACATCAGATTAAATGGAAACAAAACAATAGCCTTTGTCAAGGTGCGAATGAATTGGCAAAGAAAACAAGGCAGTAAACCCGAGGGTTGTTCACTATTCTTAAAGACGATGGCCTTGTTGCGAGTTGTCTCAGGAGCAAGGCTATTGTCTCGACAAGGCTTCGGAGGCGTCGAAGTCTGGAACATCGCAACTATTATTGGACTATATTGATTGGAATGGGCAAAAGAACTTCACACCCATGCGCTTCAGAGAAGCAAGGTTCTACCTAAGCTGCGGATCTCTCAAGTAGGACTGGAAGCCCAAGGCGAAGTCTTCTCATTTGTCATTGAGCATGGCAAATTCTTCGTTACCATATATGGAATTGATCAATTGAATCTTGTTAGCAAGGTCGGTATCTCAGGTGTGAAAAATGGAAGTGAAACATAGTGCTCTCAAGAGCCTATGTACAATGACTATCGCTAATCTTAGTGCATCATAGGACGAGCATCCTCTACCATCTCACTTGAGCCAAAATACTTTTCCAGCTCGTTCTCAAGCTCTCTCCCCTCAACGTGACGCATCTCTCTGGCGCGTTTGACAGGGTTGACTTTGTCGGCGTGCGCGCTGGCGAAGATAACATCAAGCTCCTCCAAGCTCCGCCCCTTGGGTTCAGGGAAGAAGAAGTACACGCAGGGAATGATGGCGGCGTTGAAGACCGCAAACATCACATATGTCTGATAGCCCAAGTTTGCAAAAGCAGGGGGCGTGATCATGACAATCAGGAAATTGGAAAGCCAGTTGGAGCAGGTGGATAGGGCGTTGGCTTGGATGCGGATTCGTAGGTTCGTGATCTCGGCAGGGTAGAGCCAAGTCATTCCAAGCCAGCCTGATTGAACATTAGTGTCTGATCAGAAAGAGGCCTTGGCAGTGGTGGGAGGGGCTTACCGATAGCGAAAAATGAGTTAAAGACGAAGAGGAAGACTGTTGCGGTGACACCATAGCGAGTCTCGAGATTGGGGGCTCCGTTATCTGCAACTGTGCCCGTTGAGACAGTGCCGGCCAGGATCGCCATTGATGCCATCATGCCGAATGCGCCGAAAAGCATCAGCTTGCGTCGACCGGTTCTCTCAATTAGTGGTAAAGCAACCAGTGACGCTAGGAAATACTCGGTGCCGTTGAGAGCGGCGAGAAGTCGAGAGAGTTCGGGACCAAAGCCAAGAGAATTCTCGAACAAAAAGCCAGCATAGTAAGTAATCAGATTGATACCTATGGAACGTGTCAGTCAAAAAGTCTAATAAAGGGCAGTTGTCCCGACTTGACCTACCGCAGATCTGCTGAAAGAATTGTGCGGCAATGCCGAGCAGAGTCCTCCTCAAGTTTTGCGAAGGGCCGTTTGTCAGGAGCTCTTTGTATTTGAAACCTCCACCTTGGCTCTGAACCTCGAGGGCATCCTGAATGGCTTTGACTTCGAGAGTGACTTCCTCGTCATCAATGGGTTTACCAAGAAGGCGAGACGTCACTTCACGAGCTTCTTCCATACGGCCCTTCATGGCTAGCCAACGGGGCGAGTCTGGAAGGTAGAGGAGTCCAATCATGACGATGATGGTGAAGAATGATTGGAAAGCTACAGGGAACCGCCAGCGGATGGTGCCTTCAAGGAAGTAGAATCCGTAATCCTATTGCAACTTCAGGTCTTGTAAATGAGACAGTCGTGGGGTAAAAGAACTTACCACCCAGTATGCAATCATGATACCACCAGAAATGAGAGCGCCAGAGAGGGTAATGAGGAATCCGCGCTGATGAGGTCGAGCGCATTCCGATTGCCACGTTGGGATAGCTGCGCTTTGGTTAGGTCATGACCTTAGCAGACAAGAGAAAAGGACTGCGAGTGGTCTTACTTGATGTGACCATTCCATTTCCAACCCCTCCGATTATTCTTCCGGCTGAAAACAGCCCGTATTCATGCGCTCCAGCCTGCAGAATTGTGCCAAAGATCATGATTGCACTACCCCAGAACGTGGACGACTTGCGACCCCAGGTCTCTCCGTAGAAGAGGATCAGGAAAGCTCCCAGGAAGCAACCAATCTGATAGACGGCCACGGCTGCGGCCTGCGTGTTCGGATCACCGGTGCACTGGCTGTAGTCTCGCTGGGTATTTTCGGGGTAGTCGAGCCAGCACAGGGCGTTTGACTGGTCCAGGGGCGTCATCAAGGTAATGCTCCTCTGAAAGTCATCGAGAGTCAGAAGCGAGCTAAGGACACCTCTGGGTACTAGTATTAGAATCTGGTTTCTTAAACATATGGAGCAAAAGACACGTACTGATCATAACCAAACATCAAGAAACCGCAAGACGCGATGAATCCGATACTCCAGTTGAGCAGCTTGCCCTCGAGACGTTTCCCGCGGAACCCCCATTCTGGCAGATCGCCCATCTTGGCGAAGAATCCCATCAAGCCTCCAGGCGACTTTGATTTCTGGTCGACGGCGCGGCTGCTGTTGGCCGATGACGGCGTTCGGCTGTCGCTGTCGCTGGGTTGTTCGCGCTTTTCCTGTTTCTCGGTCATATTGGGCTCAACAGCCGTGCTGTGTTCGGCCATGGTTATCCAGCTACCGACCCAAGTCGAGAAGTTGGAAATTGCATGTAGTGGTGGACGATCACTCGAAGCTTGAAGGTCTTGGGTAAAATGTGACTGCAGGATGTGCGTCCGTCTTTGTACTTGCTCACTTCTCACTCCCGGCTTAGCGTCTTGACCAACATCGTGGGCCACCGATGAGACGGTTCTTGATGAAAGATGACTTGGCTGAGGTCATATTGAGAATTGGGAAAGCTGACAGGCGAACAGGAGACATCGATATGGAGACTTTGCGTCTTGGAACAGCGCTACCCACATCTTTCTCCGGGTGAATGTCTTGGGTGTTGGTGGTCAAGCGCCGTTGGTTGGTTTCTCCAGCCAACTGCAGAAAACGGCCCGATGCCATGTTGTCGGTTGACTAGCCGAATGTATTTCACAATGCTACTTTCTGATTGCGAATCTTGACGTTTTCTTTTCCTCTTGACGTTTTCTTTTCTCCTTTTTTTTTTTTTGCCATCCTTCGGAGAGGCAGATGCAGATTCAGACAGGCCTGTGGAGGTAGTTGAGCTCTTCGACAACGATGAGCTCCAGTCAACCTCTGAGATACAATAGGTGAGATGAATCGAATGCTAGAGAACATGTCTTCATGATACCAGTCGATAGCCAGCTGACTTCTGGCAGTGGATCGCGAAAATCATCGCCGAGCCCGAAGAGCCAACATCCTCCCGCACGGGTTGCCCAATAGAGTAAGCCGAGGCTGGGCGGTCCAAAACTTTTTTTCTTTGACCTTGACAAAAAATAATTGCAGCAAGCTGAAAGGTTTATGGGAAGAGTAAGACCCTTTTTTTCGTCTTGGTGTTGTCTTGGTCGTCGCTTGGTGTTCCTCGGCGGGCAAGGGTTCGCTTGCGGAAATGACGTTGGCCAAGTTTTAAGCTTAAATCGCTTGTTGGTTGATGTTGGACTCTTTGATACCCACGGGGATCTTGAGTCTCTCCACTCCCATGTCAGCAGCTGCGGAACCTCCATATTGGCGAGCCTTGAGCCAAAGTATTTGGGCGGCTTTGTTTCCGAGGGTGGACATACACGGCGTGATCTGCGAGAAACGGGAAAACCTTGTTCGGACGGCAATGAATGTCGTCTCTAGGCAACGCGGTCTTGGGGAGCCGAACTCATATGACTCTCCAGCAACTTCGTGTCTCGCATCAAGTATGAGCCAAAACAATTCCTCATTCTCAGCTGTCGGAAACAGACTGATATCAAATCTCCGCTCGCAATGGAGGAGACTTTCGATCCCACAGTTTGCGGTAAGCCGGCCTAGACTTGCACTCGTGAAGCAAAGAAGAGCGGGTGGAGTGAGAACTCCTTCTGCGACATGACCTGAGTTGCGTAGCCGCCGTTACTTGAGACGACTCAGCTATCAACGGAACCAAATTTGGCACGAGAGATGTCATCAGTCATAACTTTTCCATTTTCATTCAAATGTTACGATATGGTCCATTAAAGCTTGAGAATAGCCTTGCCGAAGTTCTTTCCGGTAAGCATGCCGATCAGACCATCGGCAGCGTTGTCAATGCCCTCAGTAACTGCCAGTTTGGACTTGACACTTCCCTCAGACAGCCACTTCTGCAAGTTCTCCTGGTGATCCTTGAAGTGGGCGGGGCCGAACTTGGGGTTGCCAACGAGGAAACCCTGGAGGGTGATCTGCTTGGTAACGAGCTGCATCAAGCCGTTGATGCCCTTTTGTTGGTCGGCAGGGGTGTTGTAGTTTGAGATCTGTCCTACCCATTAGCGTCCTATTCATACCCATATAGGTATCAAGGTCTCAATTCCACTACTTACCATGCCACAGACAGCGATGCGGCCCTCGGTGTTCATGCTGGTGAGCGCAGCCTCGAGGTGGTCTCCACCGACGTTCTCAAAGTAAATGTCGATTCCGTTAGGGGCCAGTTTGGGAAGAGCCTCGGCGGGCTTCTCTTTCTTGTAGTTGAATCCAGCATCGAAACCAAGCTCCTTGGTGATAAAGTCAAGCTTCTCATCTGAACCGACGGAGCCGATCACGGTAAGACCCTCCCGCTTGGCAATCTGGCCGACGAGCTGGCCGACAGCACCCGCAGCCGAGCTGACAAAGATAGTCTCGCCCTTCTTCGGCTGTCCAATCTTGTGCAGACCGGACCAGGCGGTCAAACCCGGCATTCCGAGAGGTCCAAGGAAGAGCCCGAGGTCCAGGTTGTGGGGGTTCTGCACCTTGCGGCCTTGCTGCAGGATCTGAGGTGTGACGCGTGCGTACTGGGCGATGGGAGTGTGGGAGTAGACGAGGTCGCCCTCCGCAAAGTCGGAGCTGTTGCTCTTGAGAACCTTGCCGATTGTGCTGTTGGTGACGGGCCCGTCGAGCTCGAAGGCGGGGGAGTATGATTTTTTGCCGGCGTCGCGCATGCGGCCACGCTGGTAGGGGTCGAAGGAGGCATAGAGAACCTCGATGACCAGGCCGCCCTCGGGAGCATCGTTAAGGTCAATAGGGCGGTCCTCGATGGTGAGGTGCTCCCCCGCTACCGGGAGACCGGTGGGGATCTTCTTAAAAATGAGGGTCTTGTTTTGGGTCATGGTGAATGATGTGGGTTGGAGGAGCTTCTTAGATGAAGTCTGGTGAGTGGTCTTGGATTGTGAGCTTGAGGATGGTCCAAAAGCCAGTAATTAGTTTCTGATAACTAGGAGACCGGACTTCAAGAAATAGTCTTTCAATTAAAGCTGCATTGACGTAGTTGTGGGCAGAAAGTTGTGCCGAGGTATGTGAGCTGTGATTTGTAAGGATATTAACGCCGATAAAGAGAACCAACCCCGCGCGTTCCACGCCTCACCCCGCCTTTTCTCGACTACGATGCTTTGGACAGTTACACGCGAGTAAGGTGCAGTAAATATGACGTGCTGTTGCTTAATCATCACAAAAACTATCGCACGACAACGGCGATAATGACAATCCATGGCAAATCGCCACAGACTGGTCTTCGAGATGAATGAGGCTATTCGCAAACCAGCTGACTCATGATGAAGTCTGCGAATTGGAGCCGACTGTGATTCGTCTGGGTACTTGGCTGGCTGACATGTCATGCCAGCACTCTAAGATCATACCCTGCCCTCTTACGTCGCATCTCTACCGAGTTCTGGCAGCTCGTTAGCGCATTTATATTCCAAGGTGTAGTGCTTGGAGGGTTTTTTGTATTGTTGATTTGTTAGATAGGATAAGGAATCAAAATAATGCTGCTGTAAATGAGCTCCTGTACTGGGGAGGTTGGACTCTGAATACTTAGTCATATCTAGGTCCCTAAAACAGGTCACTTGCACGCACTCTATAGTTTCCTGTCTATCGCGTTCATTTCATCATCTCGATCGCATTGTGAGCGTCATGATATCTCTTCGAGACCTCTTACTCTACCAACAATTCGCTTTTGAGCAGAAACCATCCAAGTCTGCGTGCCTGATCAAGCGGAAGACTGCCAGATACACTGCCAACTCCACATGCAGTAGTCGCACGGAAGACCATTTCGTCACAATCAACTTCTCAGCGTTGCCAAGAAACCACGAAACTAAAGAAACCGACACCATCGAAAACCAGAATCGCCAAGCCAGAAGATAATATCGGCATGGACCGAAGTAAATCTCAACCGTCGTCCATGTGCCGACCCCTAACAGCCACATGAAAGCTCTCCCAAAATTCCATTTCCACTTGGACATCTGCGTCATGCTGCCGCCCGTTTTCAAGTGAAGACCTGCGAGGCGGCTCCATCCCTCCAATATTGCTCTGATGTCACCTCGTGTTCGAGGCGGCCACCAGCGTAGAATGTTGGCCTTTGGATTGCAGAAGCCGTTTGGGACAACTGAGGAGACCGTAGCCGACGTTGCGGTGGGGAGGATGAAATAGCTCATAAGCGTAAGGGTTTGTCGGAGAGTGCCGTTTTCCAAGAGAGATCGCGGACCAGATTCTGCCGGGAAAAAGTCGACGAGACATTGAGATCCGTTGGTGATTATGTACTTGCCACCAAGGATCACTATGATGGTTTTGAAGATAATGGCAGTGGTCTCGGTGGCTCCTCTGAACCAGGACTCTGAAGATGACGACGACTGGGCTACACTTGGATCCCCTACCGCCCAAGACAGACCCTAGAGATGGGAATGGGATCCACCAGTTGATTGGGGGAAGAAAAGCATCCAAGGCGACTTTTGCCATGGCGAGGCATATTACTGTTAGTGAGACAAGCACCAAGTATACAGGGGTGCTCATCCTCTCCGGCTGCATATGCTCTCTCGGTGCCATCGGAATATGGTCATGGTCTCGACGGTTCGAATTTCCTCGCGCCGCCAGGCCATCATGCTCCCCTTCTCGCTCCGGCCGGTCATTCCGGGTACCTCGGAGTTCCGGATTCATATCATTGACGAGTGGCTCCATGGACCCTGCTACAGCCTTATCACGGGCGATTTGACTTTGACGAGGTCTAAGGTCCGCTTCCGTCCGCCACGTAAAAGGTTCGCGTTCTGAAAGTGATGATATCGATATGGTTGAATACAGTTTGACTGAACATAATAAGGAAGCCTGGCATGGTGAGATTACGAGGTGCAGGTGAGATGCAGCTTATCTAAAGTACTTTACTTAGTAAGTAGTTGCTGTGCCTCCCACTGGACAAAAAGCCTCAGGCCAAGGAATGGCCAACCTACAAAAGTAGCTCAATGAACGATTGGCTGAAAAGGTAAGGTTGTACAAGGTCAGTCACGTCCATTGTGGTCGGCAGCAATCAGCTTTTGGTTCTTGCTTTGTGAGAATAATCTTCCTATTTTATGTTCTTGTTTCTGTCTTTCAATCCAACCCCTTACTGCCTTCCTGCGGATTCGAGAACCCCTTTAGTTTCTCAACGACGGAAATGGCTTCCCTCAACTTACCATAGATACACAACCATCAACTCGTGGCCTTGGCTTGTCAGACCATATTCTGTAGCTTGACATACCGGCACTATAGTGAGCAGTAATCAAGAAACAGCATGGTGTGGGATCTGTCAGCGCACAATGTAACGTATCCCATCCACTAAGCGACGGCCCGTTTTCCCCTTAAATCCCTCCAGTATTCATCCCCCAATCTGTCACCATGCCCGAGAGGAAATCCTACGCTGTGCTGACGTCTTGCTAGGGGACCAAAGACTATCGAATCTGACAGCTGGCTAAATCCAACAACAGAATCCGAGCCGACCTTACAGCACTTCTGAACCAACCTCACGACGCCCGTATAGCCCATCTTCAGGGGTATTTAAGCATGCTAGCCTGATTCCACAGTAGTGGCGCATATGACCCGCGTTCCGACGACTCAATCCATGATGGATTCCCACGTACGATGATGCGATTCGGAGGGTATACATAAGTATAGACTCAAGTCATTGACCTTCATCATGGACTTCCCCAGGGAGTTCAGCTCGGCTCACTCCTTCAAGATTCTTCGAGCAAAACGCGCTCATCGATTGAAGTATCAAGCGACAAACCCACCCTTCACAACATAATGCTGCGGACTTTCATCTTGTCGCTTGTGAGCCTCGCGGCGGCGCAAGACCGCCTCTTTTCCTCGGCCTTTGGGTACCCCGGCCGCAATGCAAGCTACGATTACATCGTCATCGGCGGCGGCACCGCCGGCCTAACTATCGCGTCGCGCCTCGCCGCAACCTCGGCCTCCGTCGCTGTAGTCGAGGCCGGCGGTTTCTACAAGGTCGAAAATGGCAACAACAGCATCGTGCCCCTCCTCTCGCTGACCGGCATTGCCTTCATCGATCCATCGCCAGAGTTCACACCGCAGCCCCTGATGGACTGGTCCCTGGTTTCGGAACCGATCGCAGGCGCCGGAGGCCGACGGGTGCACTATGCGCAGGGAAAAACGCTTGGAGGGTCTTCTGCGATCAACACCATGTCGTATATCCGCGGAACAAAGGGATCCTATGACCTCTGGGCCGAGACAGTTGGCGATGAGACGTTTCGCTGGGAGAACATGCTCAGGTTTTTCAAGCGCTCTGTCGACCTCACGCCGCCGAACGAGGAGAAGAGGCAGAACACGAATGCGACTGTGAGGTTCGATCCTAGCGACTACGATAAGCAGGGAGGCCCGTTGCAGGTTTCTTGGAATAACTGGGTCGACCCGACGCTGACGTGGCTTGCTCAAGTGGTTCTGAGCCTCGGACTGAGTATCAGCCCCAAGGGATTCAGCAGTGGCAAGCTCGCGGGATACGGCGCGTGGGTGCCTTCGACGATCGAGCCGGAAAATACGCAGCGATCTACGAGCGAGAGCAGCTTTCTACGACAGGCTATCAAGAACACTGAAATCACTGTGTACACTCACACTCAGGCAACTAAGATCCTGTTCGATGGCACCAAGGCTGTGGGCGTGAGCGTCAACTCCCAAGGGGTCGAGTACACCCTGTTTGCTAATGAAGAAGTCATCCTCACCGCTGGCACGTTTCACTCTCCGCAACTTCTCCAAGTCTCTGGGATTGGTCCTCGCGAAAGACTGGAAGCTCTCTCAATCCCGGTCATCGCCCACATCCCCGGCGTGGGACAGAACCTGCAAGACCCAATCCAGATCTTCGTCGCGTACCCCGTTAGCACGCCTTCTGCACAATCTCTCACTAATGATCCAGCCCTCAATCCAGGCTTCGTCGAAGAGTATCTCAAATTTGGCACCGGTCCCTACAGTTCCGCTGCAGGCTTTTTGGCGCACGAGCGGCTTCCCAACTCTACTCTCGCCAATCTCACGCAAACAACTCGCGACAAGCTTGCTTCGGTTCCTTCTGACTGGCCTCAGCTTTCCTTCATCGTAGGATCCTTCTCAACTGGGCCAGGACAAACTAGCGGGACTCTCGCTGCTTACCTCCCTCTCGTTTTCTCCCGCGGTAACGTCACTATATCGTCAGCTTCCATTGACGCGAAGCCGGTCATCAACTTGAATTGGTTATCCGACTCCGCCGATGTAGAAATGGCTGTCACGGCCGTCAAGCGGCTACGTACGGCTTGGGCCTCACCATCCGCCAATACTCCCGGATTCAAGACTGGCCCTGAGCTGCTCCCAGGAGATTCGGTGCAGACCGACGAACAGATACTGGAGTATGTGAGGGCTAACGTGGGGCAAGTGTGGCATCCTGTGTCCACTGCTGCCATGGGAAAAGAGGAAGATGTCACATCGGGCAAGGCGGTGGTAGACAGCCGCGGGCGTGTGTTTGGTGTCCAGGGACTGAGAGTTGCTGATGCGAGCACTTTTCCATTTGCTCTGCCAGGACACCCTCAGTCTGCTGTATATGCTTTGGTAGAGAAGATCGCGGAGGACATAATAACCGGTCGTTGAACAAATCAAATTCATTGGTACTGTGTCGAATTGGCTATTGTGACTAGGGCCCTGTATTATCCTCTGGTGGCCCTGGCTGCGTAAAGCGGCATACCGCTTCTCCTCATTTCCAAGCCAGCTCACTGGCCATTCATAATCTCAATTCCGAGTCATTCCTCCTATCCATCTGTAAGGTACCCAATGTAGCGCAGTCGCGCTGCTTATGCAAGGTTGTCCAGTCGGTAGCCAGGTGAGAGCTCAGTGACATGCCTCAGTGTTTTTCCATGTGTTCGATGAACTCTTGCAGAGCCTTGCAGTCAGACTCTCAGCACGCGATCTCCGACTGGTCTCCCTCAAGGCAATCCGTCTCGTACTTGAGAAAATGCACACGACTCTGGTTCTCTGCAAGAGCTTCCTTGGCCATTTGCACCTTTTCGCGACGACCAATGCTTTGATTGACGGTGTGCAAAGTCATATAGAGATCAGAGTCGATCGTCATGATAGATTCGTCAGCCAGCTCGCAGAGTTCGCAGTTGCCTTGGGTGCAATACTCATCTGAAAGCTCCCTGTCGCCCAGATCTTTGTCGTTCTCCTCGTTCTATTAATCTGTTGTTAGCTTTGGACGTTCGTATAGTCATGTGACCTATTGTCCTGAGCTGATGTGATGGGATGTGAGGGGAATGGAGGTGCTGATCAAAAGGAACTCAAGGGAAGAAAGGAAATGTAGGCTAGTCTTACGGCGCCGGCACTGGCGTTGGCGTTGAAAAGCCTATGGCCCATCTTGTCTTAGTACAGCTTTTTCGCTGGTGTTGACGACGGAGAATTGCTAGAGTGTCTGTGATGGTAGGGCCTTGGTAAGAGGTCAGATGGAAATTTCCCAAGGAGATTCACAGTGTCTCACCGACTAAATGTAGACTGACTGGGTATTGGTTATAATTGAGCTGATTGCAAAAGTAAAGGTGAGGAAAAAAGAATCCAAGACACCTTCTTTTTGGAAGGACGCGCCGTTGCTTGTGTAGGTAGTGTGTCTGAGCAGGAATTTGTGTAAACAAAAGTTTGTGCGGAGGAATTTTTCTCAATCGAGTTCAAAGACTGCCTGCCAAATCTAAAGCAGAAATTACGTAGACAAATCGTTCGTTCCTTCCTTGAATCGTCTATGGGCAGACTGGGCTTGATCTGAAAAAGAAAGATTGGGTGGAATATACTGATGGAATACACGGAATACATGGAGCCTGGTCCTGGTTCTGCACCTCCAGCAGTACTGCGAATTCGTGTTAGAGGAACTGTTAACTCTGATACCTCCCAGTTGGGCCCGGGAGGTCTATTCGAAATGATTTAGATGAAAACATTTGTTCTTGGTTCTCAACACGACACGTAACCACAAAGTTCCTGGAAAGTGGGTTCCATACAAGCCTTCTCCAGACGAGCTTCATGGAGAACATCTACGACCTTGAGAATGCAAGTAGAAGCATTTTTGTGGAGTGGGTGAACGAGATAGGTGGAAGTCTAGGTAAAACATCTAGGTGAGTCGTGAGGAAACCTGCACTGTCTGCTGTAGTGAAGAAGCTCTCCGGGCCTTCAATGGAGATTAGTTATAATTCTGCTCTCCCCGATAGTGGTATACTCGGAAAAATATACTCAAGGCACCCAAAGCAGGGTGGGATTTATCTCTTTGTCGTCGGTGGTATATTTTGAAGTCCTGTGATGTTTCGATGCACCAAAACCTTACCCGCCAAGCTTCTGATCTTACTCACTATGAGCACGGTTCTATGTAATGGGACTGAGTGTATGAGAAAGTCAGCGCATGATTTATGGCATGCTCAGAAGCTCGAAAGATTAAGTAAGAATATCATGTACCAATAATTAATTCTGTTATACATCGAGAAGCATAGATGTGCACAAGTAATATAATAAATCGAGGTATGTACTCATATTCAGCAACAAAGGAGTATCATGTTGAAAGTGCCAGGCCTTTTTGAACCCAGGTCTCGTGGGATCGTCACATTAGGACGGAATTTGATGGAGTCTTATAAGCTAGTTGCCTCCACAACTATAGATGCTACGATGACTACACGACAGCTGATGTCTGTGCCGTTGTGCTCTTTCAGTATGACCGTCACTCTCACCCTGTCTTCTTATGTCGCTGTTTGCCCATCGAGAGGTGGTTTCCTATCAACCCCGCACTTTCAATTGCGCATGTGCCGCTTGTGCAGGATCAGAATGCAGAGATCTGCAAGCCAAACGCGTGATCCATAGAGGTAGGAGAGAGACGATTGGGGAAACGGGGTAAGCGATAAACGGAAAAAGTGTTACGCTTGTTGCTACTACTTAAAATTGTTCCTTGCCGTTTAATGCGCCCGCTTGCGTGTATCCTGTTTGTCTTCTGGAGAACAGATCTTATGTTGTCGGATGCCGCCTCAAGTTGAGCAGCACAATCGTTTACACCTCTACAAGCTTCAGGATTCGTTCCCAATTGCCAGAGACACACAAGAACGATGGAGACTACCAGCGAGAAGCTAGAAGGGAGGCCAGAGAGAGCAGGAGACCCCGCGCACATCGACATCGAGCTAGCAACGACAACAAGAAGCGCAACAGTAGCGGACCTCAAACAACAACAAGAGCTACAGCACATCGGAACACTTGACCGGAAACTGAAGTCGCGGCATGTTCAATTCCTGGCTCTGTCGGGAGCCATCGGCACGGGACTTTTCGTCGGCAGCGGCCAAGTTCTGTCGCTGGCCGGGCCGTTGTCCGCCTTCATCTGCTATGCGGTGACCGGGTTCAACCTCTACTGCGTGATCAACTGTCTCGGTGAGATGGCTGCATGGCTTCCGATTCCGGGAGCTGTGCCAATCTTTGCTGCGCGGTTCGTTGATCCCGCGTTGGGGTTCACTCTGGGATGGAACTACTGGTAAGCGACTCATTCCTGAAGACTTCGCGAGGCGCGGAGATGGACAGATAACTATGCTTGTTAAGACACCGGCAATCTAAGTTCCAGCTCCAAGACTATTGGAATGAGCGAACGCTCATCGTAAGACAGGTACCAATTCGCCATCGGCGTTCCGATCGAAGTTACCGTCTCGGTGGTCATCCTTGACTATTGGGACCACGCCATACCGCAAGCCGCCCTCATCACCATCTTCTTTGCAGCAATGGTCCTCGTCAACTGCCTCCCGGTGCGCATATACGGTGAAGCAGAGTTTTTCTTCGGCGCCATCAAACTCACTACCATCATCGGGCTCATCATCCTAATGTTCATCATCACCGTGGGTGGCGGGCCAAGTGGAGACGCCATCGGCTTCCGATACTGGCACGACCCCGGCCCGATGAACGAATACCTCCGGCCCGGCGCCCTCGGTCGTTTCCTTGCCTTCTGGAAAGTCTTCATCCAAGCTACTTTCTCTTACGGCGGCAGCGAAATGGTCGTCGTCGCGTCTGGCGAGACTGAAAACCCGCGGCGCAACATCCCAAAGGCAATCCGCCGCGTCTTTTGGCGCATCGCGATATTCTATGTCCTTGCCATCTTCCTCGTTGGGCTGTGCGTCTCTTCAGAGGACCCTAACCTGCTCAACGCGATCAGCAGCAGCAGTCCCGGCGCCGCGCAGAGCCCCTTTGTCATCGCTATCAGCAACGCCGGCATCGGGACGCTGCCCTCCATCATCAACGGCGTGATCCTCAGCAGTGCGTGGAGCGCCGGCAACAGCTTCTTCTACGCCTCCACGCGGGTCCTCTACGCTGCTGCACTCGACGGCAAGGCGCCCGCGATCCTTAAGTGGGAGCGCTTCGGCGTGCCGTACGCCTGCGTCGCTGCTACATCGGCGCTGGGGTGCTTGGTCTACCTCAACGTGAACAATCGCGCCGCCGAGGTGTTTTTCTGGATCAGCAACCTTAGCGCCGTGAGCACGCTGATTGTGTGGGCTAGCGTGTGCTATACCTACCTACGGTTCTACCAGTGCCTGCGACATAATGGTATTGATCGCGATACGTTGCCGTACAAGGCCCCGATGCAGCCGTTTCTCGCGTACTTTGCCATTGTTTTCTGTCTCGTCGTTGCGTTCTTCAATGGGTTTGATGCGTTTTTCCCAGGGCGGTTCAGTGCCAAGACGTTTTTGCCGCCGTACATTGACATTCCAATCTTCCTGTCACTTTTTCTAGGCTACAAGTTTGTCAAGAAGACCAAGTTTGTGAAAATTTCCGAGATGGACATCTGGTCGGGCAAGGCGGAGATTGATCGGCTTGAGCCGACGTGGCCGGTGGTGAAGCCTCGCAACTGGTTGGAACGGATTTGGTTTTGGATCGCGTGAAGCGCGGTGCACAATTTTCGGCGATGTGGCAGGGCGTTCGACTGTACACACAGTACACGTAGTAGGCATGGGTCACTTGATCTTCTTCGTCGCTGCTAGCACTTCCTTCGGCGACAAATTCTCGTGAGTTGGGCTGAAAAGAGGTGACGGACGTGGGAGTTGGATCTAGACCAGGAACTTGCCGCGGCAAACGACTACTTTCTGAAGCCCCAACCTTTGGAGAACTTCCTCTTAGGTTCCAGACCGGTGGAAACATAAATTCCCATGACCCCAGACCCAGCGGTGAGCAACTAGTTTTTCACGAGTGAAAATCTTTGATCAATAGCCAGATTCCTGGCGCACCCGACACTCTGGTCAATACCCACAGATCGGTGGCCGGGGAGCTCGGACGCCGCCTGGAACCCCAGCTCCGATGCTACTGCAAAATCCCGCCGACCCTCTTGTTTTGCATAGTCTTTTCTATGTGTCTCTTGACCCTCCTGCCTTGAGAAGAGATTAGATCCTTAGTTAGTGCTGTAGGTAGAATTCCAGGGAAAAGCCCAAAAGGTACTTGACAACGAGGTATTTTGCAGACACCATGATGCACTGATGCAGACGGCACTTCTGTTAGTGCCGCTGACTAGTACCGGTACCCTAGTGGAAAGACGGCAGTCAGACGCATCATTTGTGGCGTTTTAGTAGTGTTGGTGGCATGCGCGATCAAATCTCAGCTCTGCCCACCGGCCGACATGTTCGCAGTCGTCTTGTGGGGGAAGCTCGGAGTAGATATCATGAGTCCTGGCCCCCTAGCCTGAATGCAAAGAACTTCCGGACTAACGGGATTTCCAATGTTTTGTGGACAGCGTTCCACAGCAGAAGAATCAAGTGAAGCGATGACAGAGGGTCGTACGGTGGGTGTATTCTCTGAACAGGCCAAGAGACCTAGACTCTGAACGTGAACATGAGCCGATTTTTCCCACACGGAGAAACCAACCACCTCTAGTCGCCGAGGCCGCTGCCGTCCTTTCTTTGGCGGGAACCCTTTTTCGGTGGTGCTGACAGGCGCAAAGGCGGCCTCGTGGCTCGCGCGGGTGCAAATCCATCTGTCAAAAGCGACCGGGTTGACCGATGTTCTGATCACTTGGCCACCCCGTTCCTGAGCCAGTCAGGAGCATGCGGAGATTGGTCATAGAGTGGGGGCCGGAATTAGAGACACAGGGTCGTGGATTCGCGGGCTGTCTTTGTGGGCGACTTTTGGGGTGAACTGGGTTGGATTTGTGGTCCTTTACGAGGCAGCAGACTGAGAATAGGATCCTGACGCTTGTTGCAATAATTGCTCGTCAAAATAGTGCGCACAACGAGGTAGCAACGCTGTAGCCGTCAAATGGGCTGGGAGACTGTAGTTAGAAGATTTCTTACAACAAACAACAAAAGTGCGCCGAGGTCGTTGGTTGTGGCTGCGGGTAGCCTGATCGAGTCAAGCAGATGTTCTGCTGACTTCCTCTCTTTGGCGGCGGTACTTTTTCACAAGTGAAGAAGAGATGATGAGTGAGAATGAGACAAAAGAGAAAGGCCAACTCAAACTCGCAGTCTTGGCAACTTTCGTGCCGAGGAATGGGTGGGCGGATCATGGAATGCGCCACGACGGCTTGGAGGACGTTACCGTTTGCGGTATCGATCGCACCGGTTCGTGGTGCGAAAGGCGCACGCTAAATCAGATAAGATGGATCTGATAAAAAATTCTCTGACGGCGTGAGTCCTTGGTCCCGACACCATCAAGTTTCACGCCACCAACCTGGAGTGTTGGATACACTCAAGGACTTCAACTCCGAGGCTTGAAGACCCAGGGCCAGGGATCGAAAGGGCGCTAGTCTGTTAACTAACAAGATGCGAAAAAATCATCACGGCTAGCGCTGGCTGCGTCAGGCTGGATCGACTGGCTCAGTGGTTCGCCCCCTCCCCGTAGGTTTCCCAGTCTCTGGCTGCCCACCGAAATGGCTCCGATGGGCAGAGATGGCTGGAGCGGCCTTGATTGGGCAGCGTGCAGGCTGCCTGCGAGCCTGAGAGACAATGATAAAGCTCTATTCGCCATGTCTGGAAAGTTAAAAAGGGCCCTGGATGTAACCTCACCACCTCGTCCTCCCTGTCGTCCCTGCAGGCGGATCCTCTTGCTGAATTTTCTCCCTCTTTAATTCATTACATCCCCGGCCAGGTCATCAGTTTGACCTCGTCTCGTTGCTCTTCTTGTCTGTTGACAAATAGTTGCGCAGTGTGCTCTGTGCAATTGAGCAGACTCGAAACTCAGAGACACGACCTTCACCTAGACCCCGGATCTTTCACCTTCTCGGTCAACGCTCACCTCGGCGCATTGACCTTCGGTGTGTCGCAGCTCCTGCCACAGACCGCAAGACGTCACCGGAGCCCCGACTCCTTCCCGAGTAAGTGCCGCCGTCCTTTAACGTCACCTTCCGTCAGGTCCCTCAAGGTTGCCGGCGCGGAAGTGGAGTTTCGCCGACTTCGTCCGGGGATCTTGCGAAATTCAACTTCATCTCGACTACAACTCTCTCGCGAAAACTCTCTGTTCTCGTACTAACTTTTATCCCAGGCTCCCTTATCATCCATCTCATCTGGGTATTGTAGTGACTCAAGATGGGTCTCTTTGGTCGCAAGAAGGAGACTGAGTCTCCTTCGGATATCGTCTCGCCCACAGCCGATCTCACCTCCGCAGAGAAGAATGCTCCTCTCTCCCAAAGCAGCCCTCCTCCTCCCACGTATGAGTCCAACAGCATCTTCGGCGAAAAGTCGCCTGGTGTTGCGAGAATCGAGGCCCTCTCTGCCGCCATCACCACTACCGACCGCTACTTCATCTTCTTCGGCGTCTTCCTAGTGGCCTACGCCTACGGTCTTGATGGAACCCTCCGCTACGCCTACCAACCCACCGCCACGAGCAGCTACGCTACGCACTCCCTTCTGGCTACTGTTAACGTCCTTCGCTCCGTCATCGCCGCTGCTGCCCAGCCCACATCCGCCAAGATTGCCGATGTTTTTGGTCGTGTCGAGCTCATCTGCGTCTCTGTTATCTTCTACGTCGTTGGTACCATCGTCGAAGCCTGCGCCACCGAGGTTAAGGCCTTCGCCGCCGGCGCCGTCGTCTACCAGGTTGGCTACACTATGATCATGCTGCTTGTCGAGGTCATCATCGCCGATATTACCTCCACCCGCGCCCGTCTGCTGTTCAGTTACATTCCTGCGCTTCCTTTCATCATCAACACCTGGGTCAGTGGTAACATCTCCGCCAAGGTTCTCGGCGAAAGCACCTGGCAGTGGGGTATCGGCATGTGGTGTATCATCTACCCTGTCTGTGCCCTTCCCCTCATCATCAGCCTGTCCATTGTCGGCCGCCGCGCTAGGAAGCAGGGACTGCTCGACTCTTACTCGTCTCCTTTCCGCATGCTCGGCCCCAAGAAGTTCCTCATTGAGTTGTTCTGGCAGCTCGACGTCATCGGTATCATCCTGGTTATCGCCATCTTCGCCTTGATTTTGGTTCCTCTCACCATTGCCGGTGGCTTCTCGACAACGTGGCGCGAGGCTCACGTCATTGCCCCCCTCGTCATCGGTATCCTTTGCATCCCGGTCTTCGCCGTGTGGGAGATGAAGGCCAAGCACCCTCTCGTTCCCTTCAAGTTGATGCGCGATCGTGGCATCCTGGCCCCTCTCGGTATTGCACTGGGTCTTAACTGGGCTTGGTACATGCAGGGAGACTACCTCTACACCGTCTGTATCGTTGCTTTCGACTTCAGCATTGCGTCCGCTACCCGGATCACGTCGCTCTACTCCTTCTGCAGTGTCATCACCGGCTTCATCCTGGGCTTCATCGTCTTCAAGGTCCGCCGCCTCAAATACTTTATCATCGCTGGTACCATGCTCTTCATGGTCGCTTTCGGTCTGTTGATCCACTACCGTGGTTCTCCTACCTCCGCCGGACAAAGCGGTGTCATCGGTGCCCAGGTCCTTCTCGGTATTGCAGGTGGCATGTTCCCCTATCCTGCGCAAGCCTCGCTCCAGACTACTCTGAAGCACGAGCACCTTGCAATCATGACCGGTCTTTACCTCTCCACTTATAACATTGGATCTGCCTTCGGCAACACAGTATCTGGCGCTATTTGGACTCAGGTTCTGCCTTCCGTCCTTCAAGAGAACCTTGCACCCTTTGGTAATGACTCTCTGGCTACCGTAACCTACGCCCAGCCTTTTGTTGCCATCGCCGAGTACCCCGTTGGAACCCCCGAGCGCGCGGCCATAATCGACTCGTACCAGCACGTTCAGCGTCTTCTTACTATTACCGGTATCTGCTTGACAGTCCCTCTTATCGCGTTCGCCTTCCTCCTGAGGAACCCCAAGTTGAACGACCAGCAAACTCTTGCGGTTGACGACGTCCAGATCCGCCCTGCGGAGAACAATGACAACCTGCCTAGCAAGATCTAAGCATCGAGTTTGGATGTACCAAGACTGTTGATGTAATGATTTCACGTAATTGATTTATGGATATCCGAAACCCTGTACGAGGCACGATGAGTCGAGTCTTCATTTAGAGATCGTGGTTAGAGATACCATTCACAGAAAGATTTAGTCGTAATTTAATATCCTTCCCAATTCACAATCAACCCTCACAATGCCTGGTTACGTCTGCGCTTAACCATAACGGCCACTTCTCTATCACGCAGAATATGCCAAGACTGACTTGACGTCGCTACTGCTTACTTGCGTCTGTGCCAGCCTCCGTTGACACCGCACTTTGAGCCCTCCCCCGCACGCAACAACCCGACTTGAATGCAGTCATTCCACTCATAGTCATTTGAGGATCGGCTTCAATTCGTTACCTCTACAAAATAAAGCAAACACGCGCTATTCTAGGCTTAAGCATTCACATCGTTCTTAAAAACTAGCTCACGCAGCACATTCCGATTGGCGTTCCTGCGACTTTTCCCGGCTTGAGTTACTCCAATGCAACATCGTTTAGACTTCAGCTTACTGGCATATGCACGTACAGGGCTTCTGCATCGCGACAATGGCGAGATCGTTGCCATTCTCGTTGACGAGAGACTCATCTTTAAAGAGTGTCTCCGGCGTGTTCCTTCTTCATCGGCCCTTCCTCGTCGTTGTCCCTCCACCTCCTCAAGATACCCGTTCAACCTCGTCTGAGTCTAGTAGTACAGATGCCTAGTGTTCTTACAACACCCATGAAGGCCATTTTGGCGTTGCTGGCGTTGCTGGCGTTCAGCTCATCTTCACTAGCACTACAGGTCCCTCGCTACGCCACAATTGCCTCGCGAGATGCGGTTGCCGCAACTGACTATGACTTTGTCATTGCCGGCGGAGGCGTCTCGGGGCTTACCGTTGCCGATCGGCTGACCGAAGACCCAAGAAGTAAGTAGAGACCGTGCCATACTTCATCTACCTCAGACGTGAATCCTCTACCTAATGCATGTGATATAGTCAAAGTTCTAGTCATCGAGACCGGGCCTTTCGATAAGGATGAAGACAGCGTTCTCGTCCCGGGTGCCTTCTTCCCTGTGCCGTACCTTTGGCCCAACTTGAACAGCGCACCACAGTCTGCGTTGAACGACCGCGTCTTTTCGGTGCCTGCCGGTCGAGTAGTTGGAGGCGGTTCGGTTGTCAACGGCATGGTCTTTGTGCGCGGCGGGAAGTCAGAGTATGCGGCTTGGGAGCAGCTGGGTGCCGAAGGCTGGGGATGGGATGACCTGTTGCCGTACTTTCGGAAAGTGAGTTCTATCTGGATGTACATTCAGCATGGAACTAAGAATGCTAATCACACCTTTGCTAGAGCGAGAATTTCACGACCCCGCCTCAAGACTTTGCTGACGCTGCCAACATCTCGTGGGTAGAGTCGGCTCACGGCCACAACGGACCTGTCCGTGCCTCGTATCCCAATTATTACTTCCCCGGTGCTGGTATGTAGCTCAATACAAAGAGGAGGAGGTTTCTGGCGTAAAGTTTCCACTAAAATCACGTAGAAAACTTCTGGCAAGCCGCTCTACAAAGCGGGCTCACCCCTTCCCCGGACCCCAATGGCGGCGACCGGGCTGTCGGTCTCTTCAACTTCCCCACCCTCGCCGACGCAACAACCCGGACCCGGAGCCACGCGCGGATCAACCATTACCAACGTGTCAAAGACTCTCGTCCCAACTACCACATCTTGGCTGAACACACTGTATCCAAGATTCTATTCAAGGGAAAGCGGGCCGTTGGTCTCGAGTATCTACCTTCAACTGGTGGTGAGCGCCTGGAGGTCCACGCGAAGAAGGAGGTCCTCCTGGCTGCTGGGGCGCTCCATACACCACAGATTCTACAGCTTTCTGGCATCGGGTCAAAGAAGTTCTTGAAGAGCTTTAGAATTGATGCCATTGCTGATCTGCCTGGGGTCGGCGAGAACTTTATGGATCAGGGTGAACTCAAGGTTCCCTTCACATGTTGGTACCTTCCGATTCGAGAGCAAAAGTACAGTGACTGAAGAGAACGACGCAGTTGAGAACAACATTTTCCCCAACTCTGGAGCTCTAGACACCAACAAAACATACGATGCCGAACAACGCGCCCTTTACGACGCCCAAAAGAAGGGAGCGTACACCATCGTCAGAACCCTGAGCACAAACCTAGCCGTACCGCCGCTAGCCAACACAACCTCCTCCTGGCGCGACATCCTCGCCACTGCAAAGTCCCACGACCCCACCGAGTATCTTGCTCCAGGTACCCCTGCATCCGTTCAAGAAGGCTACAGGAAGCAGCGGGAAATCGTTCTCGACCAGCTCGCAGGACAAGACGTGCCCCTCGGCATGGTCCACTGGGGCACCGGCAATAGTATCACGCTCTACTTCCTCCGGGCGCTGAGCCGCGGGTCGGTGAAGATTAACTCTACGAACCCGCTGCAGCAACCCGTCATTGACTTTCGCACTGCTTCTGATCCCACTGACTTCGACCTCGCTGTGGCGCTGTTTGAGAAGGGGAAGGAGATCATGTCTGCGCCGGCGATGAAGATTCTTGGGCCCAAGATGGCGGCGCCGTATGATACCGCTTCCAAAGAAAAGATGAAGGTGTTGCTGGCTGCGAACATGTCACCTTCGAATGCCCATTCGTGTTGTACTGCGGCTATGGTGCCCAAGGATAAAGGAGGTGTAGTGGATACGGAGATGCAGGTCTATGGGGTCAAGGGGTTGAGGGTTATTGATGTTAGTTATTGGCCAATGGTGTTGACTGCAGCGCCGACGGCAACGACTTATGCCTCTGGAGAAAAGGTAAGAAGGGCATCTGAAGCGGTTTAGTACGCGATTACTAACTTCATTGCAGATTGCGGATATCATCAAGAAAAAGTATGATATCGCCTCACTCTGAACAATAATGAGGGAGCTTTAATTGCAGTCTCTTTTTCAGATAATAACCCAGGTCATTGGATTGATTAGGTAAATATTTTGAAGACTTGCTTGGTTCAAGCACATAATACCATGCCTGCGTGCCGGCGCGGGTTAACTATATTCGTGGTGCGTGTGTACTGTCGTTCCATTTGATACGTTCGCCACTCGGTCGCTTTTGACTTCATTCCGGCTTTTGTGCGTAAACCACATATCTGAGATACTGTCAGTTGGGCTTCGATCTCCCAACAAGGGAAAAGGCGATTGCTCACACTGGCCACCAGCCATGTATGGACCTGTCTCTCATGTCTTTCCTAGCATCCACCAAGAAGACCTCAAGCTGCTCCGCCGACCAACCCAACGCCCTAGTGAAAAGCGCCAAGCTAAGCCCGGATAAGCCGTTTCCTAGGTTCTCGTACGTCCACACGCCTTCGGAAAGCGATTCAGTCAGCATTTGGGTCCTATGTCACGGGTAAGAGCTGAACAGGAAGCCGGTTTACCTAGCTCTTTGTACTTTGGGTCCTTTGGCCAGGGGTTCGACGGCCACTTGTAAATCTTTTCCTCAATATTGGTGAACCCCGCTTCGGCGAGCTGCTCCTTGTAGAATTTGCAGCTGTCCAGCGGTCGTTTCCATATCGCTGCCGCTTCGAGCATGTGCCCTGCCCACTTTTGGGTTGCGCATTCGGGCCTGACTGTTCCGTCGTCGCTTTGGAGATCCAAGAGGATGTCGGACAACTCTATCCAGCCCCCGGGTTCGAGGTACCTATGATATACCGTCAGACAAGAAGGCGGAGCCGCGGAGGCGTATATATTCAGTTTTGGAGCCCGGGTGCAGCGAGTAAGAACTTACTCGTAGCTTTGGCGGATAAATCTTGGCCAGTCTGCTATGGAACCTGTGAGCATTCGGCCAAAGACGAAGTCGAACTTGTAGGAGTATGTCCAGTCATCTTCTAGGTCGTCGATGTAGAATGTCACGTTAGGAGGTACACTTCACATTGATTAGTGAATCAACACATCGAAAAACCTTGATTTGCAGGATTATTATCCTGATGGTGCTCACAATGGCGGTTGTATTGGGCTGAGATCGACACCGGTTATCTGCCAGTCTTTAGCTTTTGCCTGAGAAGGAATTTTTGGGCTCTGGGCGAGCTTACCAGTGTCTCTTGATGATCATCGGCTGCCAGGAAGAGGGCATTAGCCATCTTGTGTTACTTACTTCGCGGGTACAGCTATCTTACCAAAGTCCATTGCCCAAATTCCGGTTCCGGTTCCTGCATCTAATACTCTCTTTAAAGGCTTGTCTCGGCCAGCTGGCGATACAAACAGCTTTCCATCAAAGGTAAGTGTGTACAAATGATGTTGGAGGTCTATCACGCAGGCATGAGCATCTCTCTGTTGACAGAACAAATACTATGTCACTTACCAAGCCTGTCGTTTTCGACCTGCGATTCCAGATAGGCGACGCGTTAGCTCCAAGTTGAGGTTGGAGAAGGGCGGTTAAGCTGCTAAAGACCACCTACCGCGTCATATCAAGCAAAAACGCTTATCTCGCAAAAGCGATCGCGGATAACGTGAGATGCTATCAAACTGAAGAGCTTTGAATCACTTACTGCCCTCTCGATAAGCGTGGTATGTTCTTCCATTTTCTTCGCGGTAACGCATGATACTGCTTGTCATGGATGCAGATGACCCGAGCACAGACTGCAACACGGGTTAGCCTTACGCGTAACATTGTACCGCTAGACCGAGGTACCACTACTCACCACTCCCATGGCTGAGTCGCTGTCATCATTGGTGTTGTCGTTCTCCTCTCCATTCTATCGAAAAGAATCAGCATCAAGGTCTGTCGAGTGCAAGCAGATATGTTGAAAGGTCGTCAAACTGACGTCTGCTTCGAGCGGGCCGGCTTCCGCCGGTGCTGGATCCGCCATGATTGAATCTGTCGGAGCCTCGGAGGGTCGAGGCTTAAGAAGGAACCGAACGATGAGACCCTTTTAATGGGGTGTCAATTCAAAACTCAACGGCGATCAAGCTAACATGTGCAATTGAAGAAAAGTTGTGAAACGCGAAAAAAAAAAAATGTGAAGGGCAGAAGAATCTCCAGAAAAACAAAAGCCACAAGCTTCCTCAACCGCCAGATCGAAGATTAGGCAGAGTCTAATTGGACGGTTGGGCTGTGCCTCTCGTAATGAACCAGCAGATGGCATCTAACGGTGCAGATCAGGAGATGCGACCTCACCGCTTGCCCCCTCTCTGCATTCTTTCTCCTCCTTCTGGCAATGTCCCCCGGGCAAAGCCGTGCCCGTAGAACGTTGCATCATACCCCCGCTAGACGCATCCGTTGGCATTGGTCATTGCCGATGCGATTGAGGAGGAGGAGAGGGATAGCAGGGCATTGCAAAACACGGCAACAATCTCATTGGATTGAAACCCCGTCACGCCGGCCCCTGCTCCGTGCGGGAAGGTTGCATTCCCGAGTCTGCCGTGTCAATCATCTAAGCCGCCTAAAGACTAGGGGGTCCAGACCCATCGCAAGTATAGACGCTATTGGGCAGAGACCCGAACCGACAATGATATCGCCATGGGTCGTCAACTCGTCAGAAACTTTGGTAACATTTCGGCGTCATGTTCGCTGCTATTGCATGCTATTGCAGAGCCATTGAAGGATTTGACCGTCGTATCGATGCAGTCCTCTCGGTCAAAATATTCCCCAGCTCCTCCCAGGCTCCCCGTGCCCTCCACCGTGCCGCGGCATCCTTGACCGAGAAGGCAGTTCGTCTCAGGATCTCTCAGACTTTCTTTTTTTCCCCCTTCCCATGTGTGGCCCGAGACACTGTTTCCTCCTCTTATCCACACTCACAATCCCATGATCCAACCTTTTCATACACGAATCGGTTCCTCGTGGGCTCGAGTGCGACCATGAGTCGGGAATACCTCGCATACGCCAGCATCGCAGTCTCGGCCTTTATCGCGTACAGCGTCGTATCCATCGCTCGCCAATACCTAAGGCTCCGGCACATCAAGGGGCCACCGAGCGCCGGATTTTCGAAATGGTGGCTCGTTCGCGCCGTCGGCGGCGGTAGGACGCACCTCGACTTTTATGAGGCGTGCGAGAAATATGGTGTGTTTTATACTTCAACCCCTTAGCCTGCGCTATAGCGCTTGTGAAAAATAACCGTTTTCCATCTTTGCCGAATAGGGTCAATAGTTCGTGTCGGGCCGAATGATCTCATCACCAGCGATCCGGATCTCATGAAGCGTATGCTTAATGTGCGGACGACTTACAAGCGATCTAATTGGTATGATGGAATGCGACTCAAGCCTGGCCAAGACAATGTCTTATCCACCCGAGATGATGAGCTGCATAACAAACTCCGGTCAAAAATGGCCGCAGGTGTAAGCAATTGCATAAATGCTTGATGTATAAGAGAAAGGCACAGTGAACTAAGACGATAGATAGTACTCTGGTAAGGAAGTCGAAGATCTCGAAGCCAAAATTGATCAAAACGTCGTCCGCCTCATCGGCTTGATTGAGAAGTATGCTTCTCGCGACGAAGCTTTTGACTTTGGAGCCAAGGCGCAATACTTCACCCTCGATGTCATCTCTGACCTGGCTTTCGGTGAGCCGTTTGGAGACTTGGCAACTGATTCGGATGTCCATGAGTACATCAAGACCATGGAGCAAAACATGCCAACGATTCTCGTGACGAGTGTTCTGCCATGGCTTCTCGCACTCCTCTCTTCGCCTATTTTCAGGAGCATGATGCCTTCTGAAAAAGACGCAATCGGCGTGGGAAAGACGATGGGGTAAGTTCAAGTTGCATGCTCTTCCGCAAAACTTGCTGCCCACGCAGCCACCTTTACGCGTCGCCTCTGCTCACATTTGGCATTCTTCGCCGGGTCTAGCATTGCCAAGAAAGTAGCATCAGAGCGCTTCGGTCCAAACAAGAAGGTCCAGAAAGATATGCTTGGATCGTTCGTCGCGCGAGGGCTTACACAAGCTGAGGCCGAGTCGGAGATTCTCATGCAGTTGTAAGAGCCAACACTCACGCAGCGATCGTGGCAAAACTCTCTGACATTGAAAAAGACTAGCTGGTTCTGATACTACAGCGACCGCCATCCGGGCTACTATCCTGCACATAATCACGAATCCTCAGGTAACCTCTACACTCCGAGCCGAAATCGACGCTGTCAAGCTGTCATGGCCCATCGTCTCCGATGCAGAGGCTCGCGAGATGCCATACTTGCAAGCCGTCATCAAGGAGGGTCTTCGCATATTCCCACCAGTAGTCGGCCAAATGTCAAAGGAGGTCTCGAATGGAGGAGCCGGCGATGACTTCAAGGGTGTTCATCTTCCAGAAGGCACCCGTATCGGGTACTGTGCATGGGGAATCTTCCGCAGGCAGGACATCTGGGGTCAGGACTCCCACGTGTTCCGACCAGAACGATGGATAGAGTCCGACGTTGAAAAGCTGCGCTTGATGGAGGGCACGCTAGAGATCGTCTTTGGGTACGGTCGCTGGCAGTGCTTGGGTCGAAACGTAGCTTTAATGGAGCTGAACAAGGTCTTCGTGGAGGTGAGTCGTTCAACCCTGCGTCTTTCGTACTTGTCACTTTGCGACGCCGCATGCTGATGAAATGTACCTTCAATAGCTCTTAAGAAGGTTTGATCTTGTTCTCGTCGACCCGACAAATCCGTGGCACTCAGTGTGCAGCGGTGTCTTCTTGCAATCCCAATATTGGATACGAGGATACTCAAGGCAAACATCAAATCAGGACAAAGCTTTCTGATTCTTAACTTCATGATTGCTATGAACCAGTCGCACGACAAGTATAATTTAGTCTAGAAAACCGGCTCGCAGCTTCCAATTTGTTATTCGATTCGACATTACATCTAATTCACGTAATGGCCTTCGCACCTACGCTCGAATCCATTTGGACCTTCTAGTGATACTCATCGTAGAATATGAAACGTACACTTGTTACAAAGTGGATAATTCCTCTTTGATTATATTTCCAACATCAGGAATCTCTACTTTATGACGCTTCTGTACAATGACTCTATGTTATCAAATCGTACATTCCATCGATGGCTGTAGTCTCATCATTGGAATCTCACCAGTTTTCTTGACTAGTCATAGGGGCAAGGCAGTGCTGAACCAGTCTGAGTAGGGGTCGAAATAGATATTTCGCATACCGGCCTGTATCTCCGTCTCTTAAGCCACCACATCGCAATTGGGACACGATCTTTTGGGAAAGACGACAACTACGGAGAGTTCAACAAATCCTTCCATGACACTGAGCTTTGGAAGCAGCAACCCAAGTTATGATGCATTCATAAACCATCCCCTTCTTCTCACCTTGAGGTACGCATCTCGGGATTGCACGACTCTGCGGGCTTTTCCGTCTCTTATCAAACGAAGTTGTTGAAAGACAGGGAAAGGCGGCAATTCAAAGATACGAACACAACAGAACAGGGTTTTATGGGACAATAATAGTGCACCTTGACATACTGTATTGGGGAATCTGTCAATACATACTTAGTAATGATTGCTTCCGATAACCTGCGTATGTTCGTCTGCCTTTGCCAAACAGACGACCTAAACGGGCCATAGGAGCCTCCTGGTGCCCAGAACTCATTACTTATATTCCGTGTACAAGCCGATGTCAGCGGGGCTTTGTCCATCTGCATTCTGGGCATCGACTTTTGCCCCTTTGTCGATGAGGAGGTTCACAATCTTCTGTGTGCGTGGATCGAACTCATAATTACTGGCAGCCACGTAGTGAAGAGAGGTGTCGCCCTTGGAATCTCTAGTGTTTGGATCGACTTCCATTTCCTCCAGAAGAAACCGAGCTACCTCAACGTCTCGATATGCACAAGCTTGGTGAAGTGCATGAACTTTTCCCCTCTCCCGAGTAAGCAGGGATGACCCAGCCTTGATCAGCGCCTTGACAATCTTGAGACGAGAGCCAGTTGTATCGTCATCAACGAAAGTGTCCAAATACAATTCATTACGCTGCCCAGGATGAACGTACGCCGACTCCCACTTACAGCGGTTTGCGCGACTGAAACTGCCTTTCAGGGCAAAGAAGAGCGAGTTAGCCCGCATGGGCAAAGGTAACGGATCGCTCACATTGCCCATTCCGTGTCTCCCCAGATTGCTGATATATTCTGCGATCGTAACGGAGAACAAAACTCTATGGGGATCATCTCCATTGGTTTCTAACTTCTCCAAGCTATAAGACTCGTGGCTGAAAAAGTGATAGAAGCCCATGTCGGCCCTTTGGTGGACGTCGGCGCCAGACTCGAGGAGGTAATGTACCAGATCTGTGCATCCATATAAAGACGCCCAATGCAGAGCGGTCAAAGACGTTTCAACTGGGGTTCCCAAATCCGGGAATCGATGGTCTGATAGCATTTTTTCTTCAATGTGCATCAACGACCGATCAGGCTGATTGATATCAGCGCCGTGGCGAAGTGAAGCCGCGACACCCTCAATCTTGTTTCTTTTGACCGACAAATGCAATGACGATGCGTAATGCTGCCGAATATCATGCTTGAAGATTACTGGGCTGATGAGGTTGTAAAACCGTGTGCAAGTCTTTGCCGGTGGCATTTTGCACTCCCCTGCGGCGCCTATACTGGGGATGTGGATAGTCTTCATCTATATCGAGATATCCAGAAAGACTATCATCGTTAAGGAGCATGTCGACAGTACCTAGGACCACCAAACAGGGCATATATGCAAGTTGCGTGAGTTGCGACCCAGGCTGGGGTTCGCCTACGACCTCCTCCGAAGTATCGTCCATCACGGGGAGACTGGCCGGTCCAAAATGGCAATATTGGTACGTTAGGATGTATTGAAGAGATTGGGACCGTTGAGCCAATATGGCAAGTATGAAAAGAAAAGGGCGTTGAACGTGGCGATCCCCCAAGAGAGGAGGAAGAGAGTATGTCTCTTATGTAGTGAAAAAAAGCCTCAATCAGTGAAATTACCGATACCTGGGCGGCCGGTAATTTAAAGTACCTGGCAAGGCTAGAACTCTTCATGAGAAGTCTGTGATGACTCACAAGAATTAAGTTTCTGCGATGACAAGGTACTTAGAGAAGTCTGTGACCAAAGATTCTGGCGTTGTTCCATGGCAGCATTGAAACTTCTTCAAAGGTTGCATCCTCTTCTCTGCCCAGCCCACAAAGGTGCGAAGAGAGAGCTTGACTAAGCCGGCCGACTGAGAGGGAAAATCATGAAGGTGTGTCCTGGTGGAGTGCCCATCAAAGCAGGAGTATCTTCTTGTCAATTACATAAGTAGTGATGCGGAAATAGCATCCAATTTCTTTCTTCGCAAGACACTAATTGAAAATCAAAAGTGCTGCCATTGACATTCTTCATCATTGTGGGCGCTTAGTTATCAAAACTGCAACATATTGAGCCACATGAGCGGGCATGCGCATTATCACAAGGGAAAAACGTGATTGAAATTCGCGTGGCTCGCTTCGATCAAGAAGATGTTTATAGAGAACAAGAGGCTTCCGGAAGCAATTATTTCAAGGATCTGCCTCGAAAGGCTTCTGAGCCACTACGTTATGGCTACGCACCCTGTTAGCTGCAACATCCACAGACTGAACTATCTAATCGGACTTACATGTCAAACTGAGCATGGAAGGTGTGAACCGCCTTCAACTCCTTGCGTACCTGGGCAAGCAGGACCTCGGCCTCAACCTTGGTCCAGCCCAGCACGCCACAAAACGCCCTCATGGAGAACCCGTCAAGTCCTTCCAAAATCTGGGTCAAGTTGACCAGTCCCAACTCCCGGTAGTGCGGATCTTTTGGCCAAGGGCCGATGGGAAGAATGAACTTTCTGTGAGTAATATTCTGGAAATTACCGGCTTCGCGAACCCATCCCTCAAGCTGGGGACCTGGGCGGGCCTCGCGGCCCATGGAAGCGATGGTGTCCATGAGCATATCATTCCATTTGAAGGTGGCGTGCTCCTCCTTGAGAGTGCCATCTGGCGAGTAGTACTTGCCGCTCATGTCTGAGAACTCTGCCCAGCCTCCGGGGTTGAGGTTGTCGTAGATATTCTTGATCAGTTTTGGGTAGTCGGCGATCGAGCCGATCATGTAGCGGCAGAAGATAAAGTCGTACTTCCGATCGCCGATCCAGTCGCTCTCGACGTCGTCGATCTCAAACTTGACGTTCGGAGGAACCCTATGGACACGGACATTAGCTTGTAATCATGGGCTTCGTCCCCCTGGACACTCACCATTCTGGCTGGATAGCACTCAGATCGTTTCCATAAACCTAAGAATGGCTGCTTTAGCTTCTATGAGTTGCTTTACAACGAGAGATTTGTATACCTCCGCATTAGGAAAGAGGTCACCCATCTCCATGGCCCCTAAAACATTGTTAATGCCGTTCTAATTGGGTCGCGAGATCGGACCGAGTTCGTCAGCGACTCACAAATTCCGGTGCCAGTTCCAATGTCAAGGATTCTGTTGACTTTTTCTTTCTCAATCGGCGCCAAGTACAGCTTGTATCCCAGCATCCTCAGTGTAAGGTCGTGCGTCATATCAAGGCGGTCCATTTCAGTCTGCAAAAGTTAGCTCTTATTGTCGCGTGTGACATGTGCGCAAAGGCAGAATCGCTCACGTCGTCATTGGGCAAATAGTACGCTGGTAGTCAGATACCGAACCGTTAGCCGTCCACTCAAACGTGCTAGATGAATCCATGGTAAGAGCGCTGCTTACATCCAGGGCGGAAAGCATGGTAGCGGCGACCAAACTCAATGGGATAGTCTACAGCGCTTGATGCCAGTGAAGCCGTGTACGAGGAACTGTTCAGACCCGATCAGTCTACGTGAGCTAGGCAAAAGGGGATGAAGCTTATGAACAATACATTTGATCGTCGATGGAAGCGCCATCATCAGTTTCCTAGGAAGTCTCGTCAGCATATTTAGTCCTTTCAAAGCTCACCTAAGTGACGGACACTCGCTGGCTCTTGCGCTTCTAGAGCATCCACCGCTTCAATCGTGGCTTGAGGGTTGCTCGGCGAGTTACCCCGCGAGCTCTTAGGTGGGCTCCGAGGTGAGGCCGTTGTCGTGGGTTCCGCGGCCGGCACCGAGGGTGAGGTCGCGACAGGAGGCGAAGCCGGCTGGGCCTCTGGCGTGTTGACCATCTTTCACAAAAACAGGCGACTGAGACCTGGTCACTGGAATTAAGTTTGGCTTCGTTTTGCGACAACGATGAAGAAAGAGAGAAGAAAGAATGAGAGAAGGGGGGAAACAACCCTTACCGCCAACCAACGCACCAAACGGAGGGGGGTGGGCGTGCAGCAAAAGACATGGATAAAGGAACCGCAGTTGGCGCAAGCTGTTGGAGCAGGCTCTCCTGTTGCGATCCAATCACAGTTGACTCGGTTGACGAGGGTGCTGTTACCGAGAACAGCATGGTGATCCTTTCATCCTCGAACCTCGCGTTGTTCGGCGTGGAAAGAAAAGCTCCAGTACTGGGCAAGATAGGTATTGTCAGAATCGAGAACCAGTGTCGCTCCGATTTCAGCAAGTTGAGCGGGCACCCAATCACAAACAACTACGCCCTAACTTACGTTTGACATTTCAACTGCGTGTTGGGATCTCACCCTTATTTAACCGAATCAAATGTCTCTTTTACAAATCTTTATTTGTGCGGTGGGAGGTACGCCTGGTATCAACAACTGAAGCCAAGAGCTCTTTCGTCCCATCCACCTTATTTATACAATTGTCTAGTTATCAAACATCGTACACATGCCCAAATCCACCTTCTTGGGAGTTATCTTGCTTCTTTGTGTTTTAAACGCCGCCCTCGGGACCATCAGAAAAACGCCCCCTTTTTATACAATCATCAACGCCATCGCGGATGCAATCAATCAGAAATGTGCAGTCAATATCTCCCCAACAAAATGTCCTCTTCATGCGTGGCAAGTATGCCTCGCTTCCGCCCTGATGCACAGACCAGAGACGCAATTATGAGAAGAAGTATTCGCTCTCCTTGAGTCTCTGAACGTCGAAGTCGCCCTTCTCGGGAATCGGGGGGAAGGTCAAAGGAAGCCAGACCTGGATCGTCTTAGGACGTGAGGTCGACTTCCCGGGCTTAGCGAGAAGGTGTTGCTTGAAGTGCGATTCTTCCATGTTCTTCAGCATTTTCGTGGCGAATCGGGAGCTGGCTCCGCTGAGGAGCTCTTCATTGACGGCATGAGATGTCTCGGCGTCGTTGGCTTCATCGCCAGCACCTGACTCCATCTTGACGTCGGTCTCGTCCGCATCCTCTGAAATCTCACCGAGGCCGATGGCCTTCAGATCCTCGCCCTTCACGAGGGCTTCGGTAGCCGCCATCTCCTCAAAGATGCTAGCGGGGGTCACCATCTCCTTGGCCTCCGCAATCAGCTCGGGGTCCCCGGAGCGGAGCAGCGTCTGTCTTTTGTGCTCAGCCAGGAGCTCATCCTTGAATGACACCTTCTTCTTCTTTCTCAGGGCCGCAATCTTCTTCTCGACATCGGTTCCGACATTGATCTTTGCCATGTAGATGGAGCCACGGTAACGAGCCTCAAACTCGGCAGCGAGACGGCCAACAACATCCTCCTCGTGAATTCTGACGAAGGCGTCACGAAGAACACGGTTCATCGTGTTGACGTCAGCGGCGTGGGTCCAGAAGGAGTCGTGAACAGCAGCAAAGTCCAGTCCAAGCTCAGAGCACTCCAGCGCGGACAGAAGCATGTGCGTGGCATCGAGAGAGTGGATGAAGTTAGGAGGGAATGCTTGCAGCTGCTTCTTGCGGTGTACGGGATCGGAGCGCTCGGGAATTGTGAGTGAGAGATCCTGGAGGGACGTCTTGATGATTCGGGTTCCGCTCTTGCGGTACGGCTGGGCGATGGGCATGCGTAACGGTGTGGTCCAAACAATAGTGGCGCGGAATTGTGCCAGGAGTTCGTCAGTTGAGGTCCTATTCTCAACAGCCTTGGTCTTGGACAGCACGGGTACGATTCCATCATTCGCGATCCGCTCCAATTGCTCAGCGGACAAAGCCCTGCAGACCCGACCGCCAATCTCACCGAGCCAGTACTGAATGTCGTGAGCACCGCGGAACATGGACGAGAGAGCCTTGAAGACGAGAGTAGCCACATAGGATGCAGTAACGATGTTTTCGAAGCCGCACTCCTTCGGCAAGTTGGGGTACAGCGAATCAAGCTGCTTGCAGACCTGTTTCTTGGCACCGGCGAATGTGACACCGTAAACGTTGGTCATGACGGTCTGCTTGACCACCTTTCTCGTGATCTTTCCGTCCATAGCCTTCGCGAAAGGATTGCCACCCTCCGCGTCCTTGGCGATGTGGTCTTTGACAATGTTGGCAACGGCAGAGTAGACGTCGGCAGGCTTATCGCCGGGAACGAGATTGACCTGGCGAGCACCCCAAATGTCACCACCGAGGGCGGCATAGTGCTGAAGACCGTTGCAGGTGCCGTCCTGGTGCACTGGAAGGCTAGAGACGTATTTCTCTGGTTCCGGGGATTCAAGCGCTGCCTTGAGCTCGAAACAAGCTGCAAGACATTGCCAAGGGTCCTCGGCCTTGAGCCACCAGCGGGTGCCAGTAAGCGGGTTGGTGGCTGAGTCTATGACATTGGCCAAGTTGTC